ATGCGTAACCCAGCGGAGGGTGTTGCTTTTTTCCTGACGTTTTCCCTTTGAAATATGACAAGAAATATGACGGAGAGACGACGCTGCGCTCGCTGAGCAGGCTAAAAAGCACCATAAAAGTTAAGTGCAAGAAATTATGTTGAGTAAATGTAATTGCCTGGAAGAGAAGGCCCCCGATTTGAGAAACATATATGTATGTATTCATATATGCACAATGATATATGCAAAGCCATGTGGAAATGCGTTTAATTTGCACATTAGTGCGTGGGAGAGATTTGACGGGCAAATTACGCATGCATTTCGTAAGCAAGCTATACACAGAGAAAAATATACCAAAAAATTAGATAAAAAATGTTGAAATTTAAATGAGTTTATGGAAATTTTATTTTTTATTATTTAAGATTTTTTATAACAATAAGTCGCTGAAAAAAAGAGTAATTGACATTCATTATTTAATTTACAAAAATATAATTAGTTACAAATTCATAACATTATATAAATTTATATAAAATATATACTTTTATTAATAAAATTCAGTTTAAAAACATTTTAAATTTCACATACCACTATTTTATTCCAGTTTAAACCCTTATGTACCTATGAGCGACCTAGAAAATTGCCCCGTGCCGCTGACAGTGCAAGACATTTCATAAGGCTCAACAGCCGAAATTGGCAATAAAATTGGCCCGCTTAGTGTCGCAATCGTGGAGCAAACAACCGTTTCTGGCATTCGGCCAGGAAATTGACTTTTGGCCTATTAAAACACAATTTGAAAACGGGCAACAGTGCTGCTGCTGAATTGACTTTCATTGCTGACAACGTCTTGCTGATGGCCGATTTCATTCGAAGAGATTTTCATAAACAGACAGATTTCCTTATTGCAGCAGCCGCTCACTTCAACGGCTGATCGATTGGCAGATCGATCGATTGATCGGTTAGCCAGTTGGTTTTCTGTTAGGCAGAGCTAATGCCTCCACTTAACGGCAAGTAGATTGGAAAATTAATCCCACCGGAGGCCAAACGGAACCCATCTGTCTCCGGAAAACTCAAAGTGCAATCAGCCCGCTCAAGTGGCACAAGCCAAAAATACATGCGGAGATGGGGTTTCGTGTTGGCTTTGGCCAAAAAAAAAAAAAACATAAAATACAAATACAAAATATTCATTAAAAAGTAAAAGAAGCCAGCGATCGCCGCAACGAAAATGAAAGTAAAATTTTTTTTTTCAAGAGGCGCCCGCTGCCTGATCGCCACCAGTGGGCTTCAACGGCGTTGCTCGCTTCTTGGTGAAGTTTTTGGCCATTTTTTGGCGATGATGTCAACATAATTTCTCCACCTACACAGCGGGCCATCCGGAGGCAGGGAGTCACCTCTCCCCAGCTCTTTCTCTGCTTCTCTCTCGCCGTCTGACCCCCTGCGTGATTGCGATTGTGGAGTTTAATTTAAGGCGAGCACGCGCTTATGTAAGATGCGACCCCGTATCTGTTCGGGGTTCGTGCCTTGAGTCTTTTGTTTTTCGCGTCATTCGCCACGCCAGGAAGCCACTGCGAACTGAGCGCCAGCTACCCCTCATTTCCATGATAAATACTCGTGCATTCTGAACAATATTCGGCGTGCGATGCGGATAATGATCCGGAGTCCACAAAAAGAGATGCAGCAAATGATAATTATCATGGTATTATCATGGCAGTCGCTCCGAAGAAAGGTTAAGCCGCCAGCAGGGCGTCCGCCGTCCATCGGTGCGTATGCATAATGCTCACCACCACCGACAGCCATTCGCATTTGTTGCTGTAACATTTTATTGCTTTTTATTCGACATCATCACAGCGCGCGTCATAATATACATAATTTCTTAATTGCTCGGGGTCAGCTCGCGGATGGATGTCTGGCTGGCTGGATGGATGGACTGATGCTCGCAATGGTTGGTTATGGCTGATTGCTTCTGCTGTTTTTTATGCTTTTCGGTTTTCCCTCTTCTCTTACTTATCTTGAGTGTTTTTTGGGGCGCCACGCTGCGGCAGCTGGCATAAGAGTCAGCATGAGGTTTCGTCAAATAATCATAATCAAACAAAAACACCTTTTGAGGTGGTAAGAAAGCAGTGACGATAGCATATTGGGTCGCTAAAAATGTTAATATAGAATTTAGTGACGAAATTTAATTACTTTTAATTTTTCCTAAAAAAAATTATGTGTTTTATTAGTATGTATGTATATATCATATTCCCCTAAATACATGTTTTTATTATATGCATTAACCTTTTTCCCTTTAAATAATAAATTTATTTTTTTAGCTAATTTAATTTTATACTTAACTCACCTCCTGGTTAAATATATTTTCCTGTTTATGAATAAAAAATGCTAGTTTATACAGTAATCTTCTTCCTATCACTCATGATAAGCCTCGTCACTATGTTGTTATCAAGGGAATTCCCTTAAGTTTTTGTAAAATGCTTTGCCAAAATGCTCATATACAAATTCAACATTAAGAAAAATTATTTAATATCCAAGAGACTTTCACCTAATTGTTGAAAGTCAGTTTAATTAATAGGTTAGCAAAGCCAAGTTTAATTTAAAATCCAAATAATCCGAGATTTATCTGCATATATTTCTGGTTCTCTGATTCCTCCTTGCAATATTTCTTTCTGGAACTAATTGATTCACAGAAGGGCTTCTTTATAATTACTTACCTCTTATGATAATATCAACTCTCTAAGCTCTCTGATTGAGCCCTTAACCCAATTAGTATTCCAAAACCCCAATAATTATACCACTTCCTTGACCCCCGCTGATTTCACCAGTTCCTCTGCAACAGATCCTCCTCGTAAGCTCACCATAAACGCTCTATTGTGTTGCCCCTTTGTATCTCTGAACTTGAGATTATTCCTGCCCTGCTATTCCCAGACCCCGCGATATGCTAAACCTCTATTCACCTCTCTGATTCCGCCTTATTGTGCTGGACTTAAGCTGAATTTCGTTTGTATTTACTCGTTCGTTTGCTGTTCGCTAAACGTTAAAATATTTTTGCCTTAAACGTGCCTGATGAATATGTAAACAGGGCGAAAACCAAAAAAAAAAATAAACAAAATTCGCATATAACACTCGTAGTGCTCGTATTTGGGCTTCACTTTTTGGGTTAATGTTAATGGCGAATGCATCTGCGGATGGGCAATTTAAAAAAGTTCACCAAATTGTCTGACATCGACATGCAAATTTCATTTAACTTGTTTTCCCTTTGCGGTTTCCGTTTATTTTCTCCATCTGCCATGCCCATATCTGCATATATAGTATAGATGTATGTATAAATGTAGTTTACTATATATGCCGCCTGTATATCTATGCATAATTTGAACACTTAAGTCTTCGTACTCTTGCACAAAGGGTGGTGCTAATTTTGGCAAGAGACTTGTGAAATTGTGGTGGGAAGATGCTTTCATTTTGCAATTTCTGTATTTATAAAAGGGAATTTTTTCTATTTGCATAAATAGATTTATTAAATTGATGTCCTCATATTAGGTAAACTTTTATCTTTAGTCTGAGACCCCTTTTTAGGAGAGATTTATTTCATGGGGAATTGGATTTATATATAAATTTTGATAAAGATTACTTTGTGTGTTTAATTAGTCAATAAACTATGCTGCTCTTTAAAAAAAATAAGATAAATATTTGTTGTTTAAATGTAAGTAAGTAATGTAAATTTACAGTAAATGATATCTAAGCTTACATACAAATTTTTCTTTAATTTCTTAGGGCATTGCAGGTGTCGACTGTCCGTTCTTGTAGTCTTCTCGTAGCTGCTTGCATAAAAGCCAAAGAAATGCCTGGCTGAAAGCGTGGGTGCCTTTCACTCAGCTGGGCTCTGCTCAGCGCGAACTCTGGACAGGCGGCGTGCCATGTCAAAGTTGGACTCGAGACGAATGGGTATGGAGTTGGTGGCTTTTGCTTCTGCTGCAGCCTAGGCTTCAACTTCAGCTGCAGCTTCAGCTTCAGCTGGAAATGATTCAATTTCACGGCCATTCATTCCGCAGCGAGTGCTCGGCCACCACAATTTGGCGCAATTAGCAGCACGCAGACTTGCAGCTTGCAGCCGAGAGTCTGGCAGCCTGCACACGCCCCCACTGGAAAGCGAAAAAGGAAATCCCAAATGGGGGAAATGCACTCGTCCGGCTAAATGAGCAACGCCCGCTGACCAGAAGTGGGAGTGGGAATGGGAGTGGAAAGAGGAGGCGTGGCGTTGCCGACCTTGCAGCCACAATTGCTCCACAAATCGACGGTGGGCTTTGTCTTGGCTAATGACCACACAGCATGGACATGAGCATGGCCAGAAACGCTGACCTTTCGCCGAGAGCCATCGAGCAACTGAAGCGTGCCACCTGTGACATGGACACAACTACAACTGGATTGGCATCTTGGACTGGCGAGCGGATCCGAGTCGGATGTGGATGTGGATGTGGCCACCGGCCTGTGGATGCAATCAAGCGGTGAAGGCGGTGCGCTTCGATGGACCTCAAACCGGAGGACAGTTTCGTATTGCGACACTTCCAACTGCTGCTGTTGTTGTTGTTGTTGCCAACTTTGAGAGTCTTGCAACGCGGTCATTTGTGGTCAAGCGAAGAGGAAAACCAAAGCGATAAGACAAAAAGTCACTGCTGCCCACAGCCGAAACAAATATTTTCCAGTTGGCTGACAGACAAAGTTGCAAAATTCCCAGAACCAATTATAGAGCAAGAAAATTACAATCTTTTTTTTATTGTTTAATGCTTTGTTTTCTCAAAATTTGTTTCTTTTGCATACAGATTTAAATTAAGGTCTTTTGCGCGCCCAATAGTGACTTCCTGTCTTCTCCCTCTAACGAAAGCTTTTTGTTGAACCAAAAGCTTAGTAGCTAATAAGAATATATAGAACTGGTTCGAAATAAGGAACCAGTTTGTATCAGTGCTGTAAAACACTTTTATTGTAACCGTTAACATTTAAAAATGTTGAAAATTAAAGAAACTTTTTGATAATTGAACAGATTTTCTTGAATACATAGTTTTATTAGTCAATATTTATGAACAATTTCTGGTATAGCTGTCCTGAATGCTGGCTTACTGCATTCAAAGAAATTCTCAAACAATCTCTGCAAAAAAAAAAAAAAAGAAACATATTAAGTAATTGTAAAAATAAAAATTCCATAAAAACTATGAATATTTAAATTTGTTACAATTTCACACAAATACTTAGTTATTTTCTTTATAAACAAACTACAGCTGCAAATTCTTAAAATTTCTTGTAAATAAATTAAATAAATAAAATTACAAACTCACTCTTTTTGGTGTTTGTCCAACCAATTTTCGAATTGGCATCCTTATTGTACTTCTTAAGCCAATCCAACACGGGCTGATAGTACTCCAGCAGAGCCAGGCTGCTGAGGCCCGTGTTATTGGGCAGTATCTTGCCAACGACCTCTTTCCAGGGCTTCTTGGAGCCCAAGGACATCATGGATCTGATTACCCAAGCTTTGTTATTAAACTAAATAATAATAAAATAGAGACAAACTCACTTTAGGTCATTGCCAACGGCAAAGCTGCCATAGAAATCACAGTTGTGCAGCGGACCGCGACTGAGACTCTTCCTGCAAAACTGCCTATAGAACTGATAGCCCAGAATTTCGGATATAAATTTCCTAAAATGAATTAAATTAAAGTTTAATTTCACTACTTTTCGTAACTTTACTCACTGCGTCTGGAAGCTCTGGTCAATGTTTACGTAGAACTTGTAGGGGAAATCAATGGCGCCTTCTGCACGGTCAGACGGTGGCTCAATGCCCGCATGCTGCTCCAACAACCTCCAATAGTGCCTGTTCACGGTGTCCATGTCCACCGTGTCGCTCAGCAGATCATGCATCACCTTTGTGTGCACATAGTACTGAGGGATGCTGAGAATCGTATGGATTGCCTGCCAAGAGAAGCCAATTAGCAAAATTTTACCAAGATCAAGTTAACATGGTTACCATTCGGAAGAGGCGATTCATCAGAGCCTGGTCGCTGAGCACCCCTTTGGCCGAGAGCCGACCCGTGAGGTGAGACGGAGCGGAGGCGGACAGGACGACGGCCTCGCCCACAGCGAACTCCAGGTTGTAGGCCTTGAAGTAGTAGGAGGGCAGGCGGCGCTTCTGCTGGGCATAGTAGACGCGGGCCATGTGGCTGTGGTACTGCATCAGCTTCCGGAAGCTCACCTTCTCGCAGTACATGAGATAAACGTGCGGGGTGAGATCAAAAATCGAGGGCCTGCAGTCATCGTTGGGCCTGTCCTCGTTCGGCTCCTTCAGCTGATTCCGGTGAAAGTCTCCGGAGAGTGGCTCGAAGCCCAGCGAAGTGTAGAAGCTCTCCGATTCGTTGACCATCGCTTTGGCACTCAAATGATTCACGAAGAGATCAAACTCCGGCAGCTGGGCCCTCGGATAGTACTGCTCCAGGATGCTACCACCCGCCCAGGCCTGCTCCAGCACCTGTTGGAATAAGTGATCCGGAATGGGTCCGTTTGGATCCACCACATCGCCACCGTACTTCTGGTGCAGCTCGCGACGAACAAAAGCGTGGAGCTCCTGGTAGGCGGGTCGCAGCTCCGTCATTGCCTGCTCCATTTGCTGGAGTATCTCCGTGCTATCGGATCGATACCACAGCCGGTGCACTGGCACGTCCAGGATCTTAGCTGCCCGCTGGTAGGACTGGACGATTGTATAGAAGTTGACCGAGGCCCACAACTGGTTCTTCTCACGCCACGCCTCCCAGTAGTACTTCAGCTCGTCAGCATCCCGGCTGCTCTGTACGATCTTCTGGATGTCGGGATAGTAGGCCAGCGGACTGTCGTCCTGGTCGGGCATATTGGCCCCATCTAAATACGGCTCGATGTCCTTGTCCGTGGCCAGAGTCTGCAGGGCAGCCAGGTTCATCTGCACTGACGAAAAGTAGTCGTCGCCCAAGACAAACAAATCCCCTACACTTCGGAGCTCCTGCATGGCATGCTTGGTCTCCGGATCCCGTATCCTGTCCAGATTGAATCCTCCAGCCTGCCGGGAAATGCTCACCAGCTCCTCGGCAATACGCTTCACATTGTTCAGCTTGGAGAAGAGAGCATCGAAGTCATCTTCGTTGTTTGCCGAATATGTTTCGGCGGCAATCTCATTGTAGAATCTGTAGTAGCGATCGCTCGACTGATTCACAAACGTCTTGGCCTCCAGGTCAAGATTGGCAGCCGCAGAGGTGCACTGAGATAAGGAGGTATTAATAAACATTTAAGATGATATTTGGGTTGAAACAAGGTTCATTTTTAGACAAATGTATAAAGGAAAAGATTGCATATGAAATAATCTACTTAAAACTTTATTTAAAAGCAAATTAAGATTTGTATTATTAGAAAACGAAAGACGCAAACAAAATACGCAATAAGATGATGATGACTTTAAGAAACTTTTAAAATACATTTTTTGTATAATATCTCAAACTGACATCAAATATTGTTACTAAATAATCTCTATTATTATAAAATAATCTCTTTTTGTTATTAAATAATCTCTATAATATAAACTCTAAAATGCTTACGCCAATGCCTGCTATCAGCAGCAGCGGCAGCAGCAGGCTCATCTTCTTAGGAATCGGATTTGGATTTTGATTTGGATTCGGATTTACTTTCGCTCTCGACACCGGATCTTCGCGTACTGAACTGGGCTTTGCCCAGGGAGCTGGCATTTAAAGCTTCCACCGGACAGAGGCGCCTGGGATGATAAGCCTAGTGTGTAATCTCTAGGGGAGATTCTCGCCCGGAGGCCGAACGACCCGCCATAATTGAGCACAAAAGTATTTGCGTGGAATGCCATGATGTCTTGTTTATTAAGCGGCTCAATAAAGATGCAATATATTGCTAAGAGTTATATTGTCGTATATCTAAAAGAAGGTCGTCGTCGATTGGGGTCAGGGTGGGAGTGCATTCGTAGTCAGGTGGATCTCGTGGGTGCATCTAGCTCTGTCGCTGGACAGTGCGGTTCTCGTGGCGAATGGTCACATCCACAATGCTCATGTTGGGCGTGAGGAAGTTCACCAGACGATCGGCCCCGGTGCGGGGCAGGCGGTCGAAGGGGAAGCCCATGGCCTGGCGATCGGGATAGAGGCGATCGCGGACACCGCAGTAGGAGGCGGCATCGCTGCATTGACCCTGCAGCTGCTGGTCAATCTGGAGGAGGAGAAGAAAAGTCATTTAGCTTTCTATGAACTCATGTGCAATACCTACCCTATCGTTCTCGTAGTTGGAAACCATGATGAACAGGTCACAGCGCAGACCCTCGGGTAGACCCTTGGGCACCAGCATGTGGTTGGGCCAGCCGCAGCCGCAGAAGTTGAACTCCAGCTCACCCGCAGAGCCAGCAGCCGGGCGATTGGCGTCCAGGTTGCGGAAAGTTCGCTCGAAGGGAATGGTTACACTAGACTCTGTGGAACGGCGACGAATGGTGTTGGGTCCGGGGTTCAGGGCAGCCACAAACTTGTCCAGCTCAATCATCATGAGACGCTGCTCACGGAGCAGCATGGGCTGACCACGTTCGTCATTCTTGGGCGCCATGAAGATGCGCACATAGCCGAAGCGCTGGGCGCCGCTGGCATTGTTCACATTAATAGTGTAGGTGAAGGGCAGATGCTGCAGGTGACCGAAACGGGCAAAGACATTGCCACGCGGCAGGAAATCGAAGCCACGGGATAGATCCACATCGGATTCCTGCCAGAAGGTGCTAAGAGTGTTGGCCTGGCCGCCATTGGTGGCCACCTCAATGCCAGTGATAGAGATGCCCGAGTAGTTGAGCTGGGGCTCGGTGTAAGCCGGCAGACGGGACTTGTGTTCCTGGAAGATGCGATCGATGTAAGAGTGCCACTTGTAGAAGACTGGATCACGCATGGCGGTGGAGACGTCACCCATCACTGCGAAGGATTCCAAATGCTTGTTGCTGGGATCGTGGGCGTACGAGATGAAGGTGTGGCCGTTGTTGTGCAGATCACCGTACTGAAGAAGAGATTAGGCTTGAAATTGAATTTTTAGAAATTTATTAGAATCCCTTACCAGCGTGCGATTCGGCGACAGAATAGAAGCCTCAATCATATTGCCCAAGTGGTCGATGCCCTTGGTCTCATCCAGGGGGATTCGATTGCCGCGCTCCTGTAATGAAATATAAAATTAAAACACCTTCCAGGAGTAACTCCTACCCTAAACCCACATCCATAACGAAGCCCTGGTGGATAGCCTCGTAGATGCGATCGCGCCAGCGCTCCAGATCACCAATCTCCACGTTCAGTTGGTCCGCCTCGCGATTGAGATCGCTCAGCTTGGTGTTCTCGAAGCGCGGTGGCCAGGCACGACTGGCCACTAGGGAGTCCATCTTGGGGAAATAGCCCTCGGCAATGGGCTCTCGCAGATTGTTGAAGGGCTGCACCCGGGCAAGGTTGTTGCTGAACCGCTCCGCATTGTAGCGGGCGATCACCTGCTGGTGCATGTAGTAGAAAAGCTCGCCGCGACGATCCTTGTCCACAATGCTGCGGTCAGAGGCCTCGAAGGGATAGACCAGATGCCAATGCCAATGATGAAGGTTGATGCCCAGATCCTCACGGAAGTACCACAGTCGGTGCTCCTGATCCAAGTCGGAGGCGGTGTAGTCCCGCGGAATGGTGATCGGGATTCGGGAGCCAGGGTTCACCACGAAGGACTCCTCACGCAGCTGGCGCATCACCTGCGAGTCAATGAAGCGATCGGGGAAGGACTGCATGAAGGAAGGCAGGTCCAGTCCCTGAGTATCAGGCCGATGGAGCAGGGCCACCGACAGCGCGTAGTTGAAAAGAATCGGATTGAGGCGATCCCGGGCATAGACAGCCACGCTCTGCAGGTCATCCACAGAGCGCATGTTCATGAAGATGTCGATCAGGCGGCCGGCGATTCTGCGGTGCTTCGGCAGAAACAGCGAGAACTTTTCGTCGCGGCCCAGGGACATGGGGATCCTCAGATCCGGAATTGAGATCTCACGCACTGGAATGCGCTGCTCCACCTTGTCGCCGACACGGCTCTGAACCTCGTTGCTGATCGGCTTGTAGCGATCCGTGAGGAAGGAGTCGGGCACATCGAAGACGGTCACCCGCTTGCCCTTGTCCATGAACACAGGCTCGGTGGGATGATCGAACAGCAGCAGGAGGTTCTTCTTGTCGGCCATGGTGATAGGTGGGTCTTCTGTCTCAGGATCTCTCAAAGGAAAACTCTTGAACTGTCACTTGAAGCTCTGAGACTTCACAACTGTGACTATCCAAGGGCCGGACTGGGCTTTATATACCCCAAGATCCCCGGTTTATCAACATCAACCAGTAAAACCACATGGGAAAAGTAGCCCTAACCACCATTGATAAGGTTCAAAGAGAAATTTTGTGTTTTTTTTTTAACAGGAAAACCGCAATGTTTGCTTTTTGCATACTTCTAAAATACATTCTTTATTATTTCAAGTACTGTTTTCTTTGGTATATTGCATAGGCTTATCTATACACATGTACTATTTGGGAATGAAATTTTTGTTTCGGTTATCTCGTCTGGTTTGTGTGTGAAAAATCAAAACTTCGCGCTAAGATCCCTTTTCTAAACAATTAGTTATATGTATATATATTTATATATGCCACTACATGCACAATATAGTAATAATAATAATTCCAATTCGGCTATAATCGTTCAACAGTTTCCCTAACTCGTTATCTTCGATATATAATTATCATTATAGCGCTAGAGAAATAGAGATACAACGAGAGATATTTTGGCGAGTGAGAACATGAGGAAATATCGGCGCGATAAGCAGAGCTTTCTATATAGAGTGTATATATACAAGGGTCTGTAGAAATTGTTCCTTCCGGTCTTTGTGTAAAAGCGATAGTTGTTCAGTTGGTTAGATCTTGTAAAAAGTATCTTAGAAAAGCCCTTGGTTTATGTCCCGTGTCCCGTGTGACGTGGCCATGATATGTTGTGTTTAAGCTCTTAGAGTATAGGGTATATATAGAGTATAGAGAGTTAATGGGGTCTTCAGCAGCAGATCTGGTTCCCTCGATCCGAACCGATCGATTCTCGTCCAGATGAGGCAGTAAGAAAAAGGGATGGCAGATGGAAATATCGATATATCGAAAATGCATCGATATTTGATATATAATATTTGATTTTCAATGTTCCAGCTTATGTTGTCGATATACCGATTTTCTGTATGATATATCGGACCCAGTTTTGATCTTGTTTGCAATTCTTCCAAATTTGTATTGAGCTTCAGTAATTTCGATCATTTAAATGTGCGATAACTTTCGATATTTCCAATTTCGATATACCAAACTGCGATATTTTCAATATTTTACTCTCGATAGACATCCCTAGTAAGAAGTTACAGAGAGAGATAGGGTTTCGTGTGTAAAATGTATAAACTTTAATCACATCCAAAAATGCATACACATGTATTTACATAATATAGTGCAGTATATATATAAATCAAGGGTTTTACAAAAATATATCTTTGTGTATAATATACAAAATCCATAAAAGAATTCAGTGCCGTTTAAACAACTCAAAACTGTTGTTCCAAATCGATGTGTTCTTAAGTGGGGAGAGTATTTGATGTTTCGCTCGACTTTTGTTTTGATTTTCTGTTAGTTTTGTTTTTGGTTTTAAGCGTCGACACCTTCTCTGGGGGGTAGGGGGCTAAGCAATTATCTACTCTTGTATACATATATACTTATATAAAACTTTGAAATCTGATCCGGTAACGACGTCATGGCATAGATATACATATTACATACATACATAGTTACAAATAGTTTTTGTTGTCGGTATAATACTTGTTCGATTTTTGATTTGCCTCCCAAGTGGAGGGGGTCGGGGCCTTTGTTTAAGGTTTGCATGTGTATATTGGTGCCCAAATAGTTTCCAGACTACGCTAAAGCTACGGATAACATCTAGTTCTAGTTTGGTTTTCTTCCCTTCAAGTTTACTCGCTTTTAGGTTTTTATATGCGATGAATGGCATCAAAAAGTACACATTTATTGAGGAACTTTCACTACTGCAACTCTGTACGGAGAAAATAAACATCTATATCCGGTGCATATATATATGTGTATGTATGATCTAACTCCGATCCGATGCCCGGCCTTTGTACTGAGGTTCGCCCGTATCACCTTGCTTGCACTCGAGTACACGGGCTCTAGTACCTAGTACTAGCTCCCAGTACCACCTACTACTTACTTACGCAGATACTTTGAACGTCTGGGACTCAGGTACACACGTTTCCTTCGATGCGATGCGGTGCAGAAATCAAAAATGTCGAAAAAAAACATAACCCAAAGTAAAAACAATAAAAACAACTAGACCCTCTACCCAAGGACTTTCTTGGGTTTTACTTCCGTTCCTTTGGCCGTTGTTCCCTTCCGGATTTCAATTCCTTAGTTGGCGGTGGCTGTGGCATTTTGGAACTCCTGCCGGCAGTAGCCCATCACGATATCCGCCCGGCAATCGCCGCCCATTAGTCCGGGTAGCAGCACTGCCGCCCCCAGAATGGTCACCAGGGCACCAAAGACGACCAGACCCAAAGCGGGCAGCTTCTCGCGACTCAGCAGGGCGTGCGGCTCCATTTGGATGTAGGCCAGGCCGGGCAGGATGTACGCCAGAGGGATGGCAGCCAGGAGACCCTGAAATGGGTGAAGCAGGGCATAAATTTGCATGGCAAATATACCGAGAGAAAACCGAGATACAAGAGGGAGTAGGGACCCAGACTGAGACCCAATGTGGGCAATACCCGTGACCAGAATGCAGGGGCCAAACGACTTGGTGATGATAATAAACTTGCCCAGTTCCAGTCCCAGTCCCAGCCCAAAGGGTCTCTCGCTTGGGCCATGTGAATTAGTCTCAGATGTATTTGATGAAGTATTTTAAAAATTCAGATTCCGATTCCCTCTTAACATTAAGGGGCAATGCGGTGAAAGGCAGTCAATTTGTCTACTTTATAGGTGGCTCTTAGAGAATCGAATGGGAAAATGTTGAATTTATACACAAGAGTAAACTGAGAACTTGAAACTTTAGTTATTGTTATTACTTTCTCTATAAACTGCTCTTAAATGAGGAATATGAAGCAGTTTTGAGTGCGTCAATACCGAGTTCCTTAAGGGCAAAGCTTAGCAATTCCAACTCACATTCAGCTCCAGCACCGAGCCCAGGCAGTCGGTCATGGGCGAGATGACGAAGGCGCTGAACACGATGGCCATGGTAATGGCTTTCGAGTACTCATCGATCTCGGCGCCCTTCTCCAGGCTGGGGTCCTTGTCCTGGGTAAACTCGCTGATGGGCTCCTTCAGCACGAATCGATGGACGAGGGCGCGCACAATCTGGGGGGTAATGTTTGTGGGGGATTATGGGAGGAGGGTCCAGCCCCTAAGTGAGACGTAACTTACCTCCCGGGAAACGAAACACTCGATGGGGAAGGTCAGGAGGATGGACACCGAGAAGAGGACACGCGAGAAGTTCATCAGGTCGTCATCCCAGCAGTAGTTCTCCAGCAGGTCGCCTGCGACAAACAAATCCCATCAGCAAATAAGGCAGTTGAGCCAAAAACCCAACAGGAAGACACAGACAGGCGGCAGGAAATTCCCGCAAATTGCCTGTCACTGCAATTAAATGCAATTTGTGTCAATCCGTCTCTCTCGCCTCACCTTGGGATAAGGCGCGGAAGGTGGAGTAACCGGCGATGCCGAATAGGGCCGCCACCGTCCAGGCGAATCCAATCGAGATGTGGGTGACCTTCTCCCAGCGCTCCATGGTCGCTTCGCGCATCGATTGATAAACGAGGAAGGTATTGTGATGACACATGAAAGCTGCCCGGGACAGGCGTCCCAGAGAAAGACAGACAGATTGATATATCGATATAGAAGCACTCGGAAAATATACATGAGGATGTCTTGATGTGTAAAACCAATCAATTTGAGTTTGTATAACTCATAAAACTAATATTCGGGTTAATAATAAATAAAGAAAAATAAAGATAATTAAAGGTACAGTAACTATTATCTATATAGAAACTAAAAAACTAAAAACCAATTCAATTAATAAATAAGGAGAATAAAAAAATAATTTGTTTTACAATTACAAGTCTAAAAAAATATTTAAAATATATTTCCTACAATATCTATGAATTCCAAGTGTATTCCCTTAAATTAAATGTACAAAGTTAGGCCCTAGTGTAGCCATCATGACTGGAAAAATCCACTTGCAACTCACCAAAGACCATGATGCCCGTGGCCGGGATAAGATCCGAGTTAGCAAAGCGCCATGACTCCGCCGTGTCCGTTCTGCAAATAAATCAACACGGAAAAGGAGACAACGAAAAGAGGGCGCAAAGTAAGTATGAAGGTTATTTTCTTTTTTATTCAGGGAAAACATTACACAAAAGTTAACACCAAATTAACATTTCGTGGCCGGCCCACGGACGGACCTGCGAGATGTGAATTATTCTCATAAAAAATGAGTAAAAACAAAAGGTGCGGTCCGCCGCAGATAAGATGTAAAGAAAGAAGAAGGAAAGCCGCAAATTGGAAATTTATTTAAATTTTATACCAAGTCGGAATGCGCATTCAAGGGTACGAAACCCGAGCGGCGTTCCCTTGGATATCCAGTCGCAACAATCCCAGATCCCCCGTGACCCTGAGACTGCAAGTGAAAGTGTTGCCTTGCTGTCCCCTCCAGCTGCTCCCCTCCCCATATGTACTATATATATGTGCATACAACTAAGTTGCCACTGCAGCGGGGACTCGGCAAAAACTCAACTCGACTCGCCTAATGAAAAGCCATAAAAGGCAAACAAGTGGCACACTAAATTTTATGAGCTCTGCGCTCCCCCAGCAGCTTTTGCACCACCAGGAGTGGGAGCAGGAGCCAGTGCAGGAGCGACCAGGAGTTGGTACCACCGCCCTGGGCAGTTGATACAGATTTGAAAGCACTAAAGCGCCACTTAGCACTAAAACCCGGCAACCACCTCCAAAACACCGCCCAGAAACCATCCCCACCGCAGGAGCAGGAGCAGGAGCCCTATTCCCAAGCCCAGGTCCAACTGGTTGCAACTTTGTTCGCGGTTAGTGGGGAGGCGAAAAGTACACAATTTGTAATTAAAATGCAAATAAATCTTTGCGCGTTTGCCCAGCAATATTTATGTTTTTTTCGGTAATTTTTATAAATTGCTGTTGGCGGCAACAAAGTTTTCCACTAATTTGAAATAGGTTGCGTGGGAATGTCTAATGTTCACTCTAAAAAAAATACCTTTAAAAGCGGAAAAGAACCTCTTTAAAGTCACTAGAACTATGGAGAAAATATTTAGATATATGCTTGCAGCTTAAAAAAAATTAAATCCTGGATTATTCTATTTAAAAGGTTCTTAAATAATTGTTTATTTTCCTTTAAAGCTAAACGACTTTTTAGATTATTCTTCTAACAAAAGCTTTATCTTTTTTTAAATTCGAAATTTAAAATAGAAAACACTGACAAGTACTCATAGTTAAGTTAACAAAAATCGAAGCTCTACTAAATTCCACACAAGAAACTTTTCAGATTGCTTCTTAACTTGTTTTTATTGCTCACAATTTCCAATTAAAATGCAAATAGTCTTGACGCTGTGGCACAGCAATTATTATCGTTCTGTTTTCATAGTTTCCATAAACTATTTTCAAAAAAACATTTAAAAGTGGTTTTAAAAAAATGAAAATTGTCAAAAACTAATAAATGTGCATAGCTAATTGAATAAATATAAACTGCGAATTGAAACCATTGAATAGAGAAATCGGATCTGGCCATTAATTAAAAACGCGTTCCACTGAATGCACATTATCTAGTTTTCTAAATCCCATTTGGTAAGCTTCCTCATCCGCGGAAATCTCTTAATGAATTATCTATGTGGGGGCAGCCATCTCAAATGAAATTGATTAGCTGAATTAAAGCCTTAATTGACTAAATCGATAGCACTTTTCACTTGTGGATACTTGTGGGTCTCGATGGCAATTCATTAAAATTGTACACCTTCAATGGGTCAATCGTGTAAGGATTACGTTCCATTTTTTAAGGGCAATCTGGGAACTTTGTAAAAAATACTTTGTAAGCAAGCCACTTAAAAATGAGACTTAAAGAAAAGTACATCACTTTTCTCATCTTTCTTTACTTTTTTAGGTGGATAAGAGGTACATATACTCACACTTTGTAATCGCCCGACATGAGCTTGATGATGACCGCAAACAGGATGAAGACCACGCAGGCCAGGCTAACGAAGCTGGCTCTGGCCAGCCGGGACACATTCTTGTAGAGACACAGGGGCATCACTACGCCCACGTTCACAAAGAAGACCACGCCCAGCCGGACGGCGCCCATGGAAGCGCCCCAGGATGGAAAGAAGCGGACCAGGACTTTTGACAGTGTATCGCCCACGACAACGTTGTAGGATATCATGGCTGTGAAGGAAAGACAGAATGTGTCATCAAATCGAAGTGCGTCTTAAAAATGTCATATTTGACCCTTTAAAATTAAGAAAATAATAAAGATAAAGATCAAAGGCATTAACATTATTACAAGACTTATTTGGAATAACCCATAACAAGATAAAAGCCTCAATCCCTTTATCTTTTGTTATTCCTTAACTTAAATTTAATATTTTAAAAATTCAAACGAATTTCGATAGCTTAACTTTACTCACCCAGAAAGGGGTACATGAACTGCAGGAGCGAGAGCAGGTAGTAGCCGTATTTTCCGTAGGCGGCCTCCATGATGCCCGGATAGCTGAACCGGCCGCAGATGTGACCGCATCTGACCTGCAAATGAAATGGGGCTTGAAAAGCCAAACAGCTAACCAGGCAATCTGCTAAATGCAGGATACACGCCACCCCATCGCCGATGTGTGCGCTTCTTAATTATGCAAATAATGCTAGTCGCAAAATCAAACGGAAATGCGTTTTCCCGGCGACTTTGGACATCGTGTACCGGGTGTGCGGTAAAATTGCCACTTTAAACCAATTTTCGTGGCAGGCATCGATGCCGGAGCAATTTTCGTGCCTCATTTTGGGTTTCAGCTTACACAGAGAAAAAGTTTTTGAAGCAATAATTTTCCCTTTCTTTTTAAATAATATTTTTCCTATAGTTTTTACCTTCTTTGGTGCCATTGTATTTTAACAAATTAAAATTATATTTGGTCTTGAAAGTGCTCAAGTATAAAATGTATAAATTATATTTTACAAACCAACAAATCGAATTATTTTTTATATCAATAGAAAAGCTTTTTTACATGTAATTTTCATGTTCATCTCACAATAATTGAAATTAACCCTCATTTCATGTCAATCAAATTTTCTTTACAGAATTCAGCACTCTACTGGCACTTACCATGAGGATGAGCGAGTAGTCGGTGATGTAGGCCACCAGGATGAGCAGGGCCAGGCCGAGGCCGAAGCCGGCACGATGGAGGGCGTAGGGTATGCCGATGACGCCGCTGCCCACAATGGAGTTGATGTAGTTAAACGAGGCCTGTGGCAGCGAGGACAACGTGTCGCCCAGCCCGACATCCTGCTGTGGCTGCTGCTGCGAAGGATGATGCTGCTGCTGTTGCTGTTGCTGCTGCGAAGGATGCTGCTGCTGCTGCTGCTGTTGGCCCTGTTGCTGATGTGTCTGATGGTTGTTCTAGGACAGGGCGAGGCAACAACGAAAGGTTAGCAACTGGTCTCCCTTGTGCTCTCCATTACTGCACGTTGATTGGGATAAGAGCGCAAAATTGCCTCGAGTGCCTCTTTACATCAAAAGCAAAAACCAACGGGACCCCGCCACTCACCATCCCTATCTCATCTCCATCTCCATCCATCCCATCCCAAGCACCCCCAGCTAGCCATTGTGGCGTATACGCAATATTCAGGTAGAGGTAAAAGACAAAGGCAGCTCGTATCGTCTCCGTATCGTAAATTGCGGTTGTGCCAAAACCCTTCCCTTTCCCCCTCTCCCCTGGGCGTGTGTGTAAGCACTGAGAAAAATCATATTTCCGAGAATGAATACTGGTTAATATTGAATGGGCTTGAAATTAAACAGAGTATTTTGTTTCCTAGAAGTGAAACACAATTTTCCTGATTGTATTTTACAGAAAAATCATTTTTGGTACAGATTTTCATATTGATATAAGTTGTTTTCCTTGAAAAAATAAATAAAAATACATATAATAATACAAATTAAGACTTGCTAACTTTGTAATCACTTTACAAATGTACCGTGATGGCTGCTTTTGAGTCTAGATTCGTGTTCAATACGAAAAACCATTTAGAAATACTAAAAGACATCAAAAATAATATATATTCTGCAACAAAAAAATACACAAACAGAAAACAAAAACAAAAAAACGAGTAAAAATAATAAAAACCGAAGGGATAAGGCCAAATTGGAGAGAAACTTTCGCCAGCTGGTTGGCAATTAAAGAAGTTTTCTCTCAACTAAACTTCGGCGCAAACAAACAGCAGCAGTGGAGCACTGGAAACAGCAAACAAACACTGTAAAAGTTTGCTTTTCTACTCTCCCAGCTTAACCCCCCAACGCCCTTTAAAAAGTCAACATTATCCAGAACTACTATAAAATGGTTTCTGGAGGTGTCCGGGTCATGCGATGGCATAATGAACATTTCCAAAGGCAAATTACGCGCGAGTTGAGTTGAGTTTTCAATTCAATTAAGTGGCGCCAAAGGTCTCAGTGAGGTGTTTTTTTTTTCGTCCGGCTGCTGAGTGTATCAAAGAAAATGGCTAATTAAGGGGCAGACAGAAAGAAAACCCTGCCAAAGTCAAAGTGAAAGTTTCAGTGCCAAGGCTGAGCCGCCGCCAGGACAAGGTTACGGCAGCTGCGGCCCAATGAAATTACAGAGTGTCCTGTCCGTTGTCTCCAGTTCGCCATTTCGCAGTCCTTAGTCCTTTTTCCCACTCGTGAAAGAGGAGGACACAAAAAAACGAGATACAAATTGCGCCGTCGAAGGCAAATGGGGCAACGTTAATCTCCAGCCGGGGAGCAAAACCCTTGAAGGCTGCGAAAATGCCACACTCTTAACTGGATAATTTATAGCCAGCGGCTTTGATTAGTTTATCGTGTTAAACATTTCCCCGCCATTAAAGTGTGTGCACGGCGTCCACTTGTCCTTCGCCCGAGTTAAAGTTTCATCGTGGAGCCAACCCGAGCGCAACAGAAATCATAAATAAATGCCTGAATAAATAATTGCAATAAATGAATAACTCTGCTTCCGCTGTTCAATCGAGCGATATTTTGGGTCTACATGTGTAAACAGCACGAAATAAATTGGATATTCTACGGTTAAGTGCTTGCTTGTTGGTAATTCGATGATATTTTACATTCGTTACAATTTTATCCCTTAATCGCAAAGGGAATATTAAATATTGTTACTTGGAAAATAAAAGGTTTGGATACTTGAATATTTGAAAATATAAATTAATACCTTGCAAGGAAGGTACAATAATTTTAGTCTAAAGTTTACAACGAAATGAAAGAAAAAATATGTATATTCTTCAACAGCCGAGTTGATCTAGTCATGTCCTTATGTCTGTTTCAACGTAAACTAGTCTCTAAGTTGCGAAACGAATTCAATGAATCTTTGCAGGTAGTCTTCTTTCTATTCATAGATAGTCATAGATAGTATTCCTTCTTTCATATTGCTGTCATAAGAACAATAGGTAAATGTAAAGGAAAATGTAACACTGTAAATGTAAAAATAAAATAAATAAATAATACTTTAAGCCTTTCTTTAATTAAAGGTTTTGTTGAATTATAGCAAGGGCACACTGGTTTTGAATACAGTGTCATAACTCTATAACCCTATAAATAATTTGGTTTGTTGCATTGTAATTTTAAGTATTGTTTTCTAATAAAACTAATACTTCGTATCCATTATTCTTTTGGTGTATACATTTAGGTTAAATTTTAGGCACCGGATATCTCATATATTGATGAGTGCTGCTCCTTGTCAAGTGACACACATTAAAGTTCACTTTAATTTCCAACTCAAATGCTCATAAATAATTTGCCCAAATTCCCGTGTCGGCAATTAAATGTTACAAATCCAATTAATGTACAAAGAGGAAAATGAAAGAGCAGCACAAAAAAAAATGGAAAGAAAAAGAATCCCAGTCGAAACTCAATTGAGCCAAAGGCGTGTGAAACGGAAAAAGCAGCGGAAAAAAAAAACAAGGAAAAGCAAGTACCAAAATCGTGTGGAGGGAAAAACAAGAGATGAAAATTGTTCAGGGGCTTCCCAGGTGCTTACCCATACACGCACGTGCTCACACACAAGCCTCCCCACCCCAGACCAATCCCAAGCCCCAAACCCAATACCTAGGAGCCCAAATCTCCCATACCGAAGTCTACAAGTCCACCTGTCCAACAGAACGCTTCTAATAAAAGACAAACATTGTCGAAGGCAAATACAAACTCAAACACAAATACGAGCAGCAAACAACGCCAAACACGAAAGGCAATCTGCATTGGGAGGGACGGGTCTCCAGCAAGCGGTCCTTGGCCTCCGCATCCACATTCACCAGCTCCTCCTAATGGCAAACAAAGCATTTTATGCACTGCACGATTTTAATTAATAACACTCATGTCTCGGGGCTCCACCCCGTTGCTTTCAACTCCTATTTCCCACACAAAGCTGAACCCGTGTACCGCAATAATGGTATTAAAAATACCCTTTTCGTAATATATATAAATATATAGAAAAAAGCTTATATGGGTTCCTTTCTGTACGAATGGAAGGAAGGGAAATTTACAAGCCTCTTTTTACTGTGTCCTAAAATACCCATAAATATCTGACTTACAAAAGCAAGGGAACACACAACTCGTAAGCTGGTATATGAAGGGGATTGAAATATCATAGAAAATGTTCCTGAAATATCCGGCTAACTGAACTTGGAGTTTCAACAAAGTTGTAAAGGTTAAAGTACACACAATTCATATTCAAAATACCCACACAATTTGCTACATGTGTGAGACCAAGTCTAAATTAGTGTTATTTTCATTAGCTTTTATTTAATTTGAGTTTTTAAATGAAAACATTAGTTTGCTTAAAAATTTCTTCTACAATCTAACAGCCTTTATTATATTTAGTTTGAAATACCCAAGAGAAGAATATTAATTACCGTGTGTGTAACTTTTATTGAAACTCCAATTATAAGTATGTGATACTCGAAATATTCCTGTGGATAAATGTAACCTGCACTTGGGTCCAAACAATTTGCTTTTTGCCAAATGCCAGACTCATATTTGTCTGGCCCTAATGAAATTAGAGAAAAGTTGGCAGGAAGGCAGCTACAATGGGAGCAACAATTTGCACTTTAATGGAAGTATTTTGGTTAACACAATGCGGTCGCAAAATGGGTCCTAGGGTAGGCTGGCAAAAACAATTAACCAGGCCACCAGGGGAAACAGGCAAAATTATGCGCATGCCAAAATGGCAAAATGCTGGCAAAATGCTGGCAAAATGCTAACCTCTGCCGGCTGTTGTCGCTGAAATTGCAGAGTTTTTGCATTCGTGCATTTTGTGCCCCGCTGAACTATTGACACAGCCGTGTCGGCATTGTTGTCATTTCAGTTTCAGGCGTTGCCGGGGCCTTCAGCCCCCCTATTGCCGCGAAAGACAAACAGGGGGAATGTCCTATCCCCTACCAGTAGGAGGATATGGTGCAGAGGCAAACACAAACATGCAAGGCAGCCAAATGGTACTAGGGTCAGGTCCTGCCAGGGGGTTGGGTTCAGTTTGGGGGCTCAGACAGCAAGGGAAAAGGGTTTGACCTTCTACCAGCCTGTGGCACGTATAAAAATACGAAAACATTTCAATTCTACTTGAAATTAAATGTAAAAGTAATTAGTTCTAGATATTTATAAAGTAAAAAACCTTTTAAACTCTGAAACATATAAAAATCTGATTAGTTGCCTTAATCAGCTGGCAAAGTTAATTTTTAAATAAATTTTAGAAATTCATTTGCTTATTTTTCCAAGTGTTTTTGTGTGCTGACACTGTGCCCTGCAAATTTTCGTGTTTAATTTAATTTTTGCAGTTCCCTTTCATTGCAATTAATGAGTATGCTTCGTCGCCGTCTCCGGCGCCAATGCCGCCAAGAGCTGTTCCACTTTCCGCTGGAACTAACCTAATTGAGGAACAGCGCGGCGAGTGTCTCAACTATTGGCAATTTGCCTTTGAGCCGGCTCTCGTCCTCTCGGTTGTGGCCATTAGTTGTGCAAACAATCAGGGCCGGCTTCTTCTATTCGCACCCCCTCGTTAATGCTGGCATTTTTTGGCCATTTCAGCCTTGGCCGCCTAATGGCTTTGCCAACAACGAAACTTTCGGTGCGAGGCCTAAGAAAACAACAAAGGGCCAGAAAAAAAAACACACTAATACACACACTCATACATCTAGCACACAAAGGGATGCGAATGAAATTCCTTACTTATGCATGGTAATGCATCAAATATTACACAATGTTCCCTTCAAGTTCTAGGCCAACACTCACCGCCCTGCCACCACTTCCGCCCACCGAAGCCCTAGCCCTCGGTCCTATTCGAGTGTATATGTTTGGGAAATCCTTTCAGGCCTTTTCCGACAGACATTCTCTGGTATTAGTTGCCGGGATTAGCTTCGGCTTAAAGCCAAGTCAGCTTGCAGTGCTCTTATGTACTCCTTTTTCGTCCGCTACCCACCTGCGTTTAATAAGCTGTAAGCCAGATGGATGGCCAAATTCCCTGTGAGCCGAGGTAAATTCCATAACTCAACTTTTTGGGGATTAGGAAGTTTAAAGTTTGTGTATTGATTGCATTTGTTTTAATGAAAACTGCAATAAACTTTTGGAGAATAGATGGATAATTTTCTTAGGCGAGTTTTTCCCTGGCAATTTAAGCTTAAATTTTTTATCTAAAAAGAGATTCTCCTTCCATTTATATAAGTGTAGGAAATGTGCTATATTTTCTCCTCCCAAAAATTCCCTTTGAGACTGCAATCATGTTACTTCAAAAAGAATGACAAAAGGGGCTGTAATCTGGCTCTATTCTTGGTCTCTGAATTAAGTTTAATATTAAATTCTAATGCAATATACGTTTCCCATTGTGTTAGATCTTTATTATGAACCCGTACATGCTTTTTGCCTAATGCAATATTTAATAATCTGTAGAAAAGTCAGGGAAATATTTCTTAATAAGAAAATTCTTTTGATGTCCAGAGACCAAAAGCAATTTGCACTCGTACCAACAGAAAGACCTCGCAAAGGTCGCGTACAGAATGCCAGAATGCCACAGCCTGTGTTTCCGTCTCGTGCCCACTTTCTCGTTCCATCTCTATCTAGGCTCGCTCTCTGTCTCTTTCGACGTAGGCGTTACTCGGAATTTAATGAATGTGAAGGGGACTAGAGTGTGAATACGACTACGTTTCGCAATTCGCAGTCCTCGGATTCGGAATGCAAGTGGTGCAGGCAAGTGAAAGTGGGTAGCGGGAAAGTGGGTCAAAGTTCGTACCTTCATTAAATTGTTGAAGTCATCGAATGCATACGCCTCGGCAACGGAGACATCGCTGCCCTGATGGATGAACCAAGAGAATCAGATTGTTAACCATTAAATCGAGTTCACTCCGCACAACTGAGTGATTCGCTTAAAACATAAACATAAAATCCATATCAAATCAAGCCAACAGACATACATGCATGTGGATGTACGTATTGTGCACTGCATACCGAAATGGAAGAAGAATCATATCGCAAAAACAACAAAAATAAATTCCAATTTATTCGCATGCCAAATAATATATGTATTCTATCTGTATATGTGGAATATATATGTATATATGTACATGTGTGTGTGTGTGCACATATCTTTATGGAACACGTGTTTTTATATATCGCTGGGGGAAATGCGCGCAAGAGTTCAGCGGTTCGCTGAGTTTTTCAGAGTCTGTTATTATACCCTAACAGAGGGTTATAACTATCAATTGGATTTATCTAAAAAATACTACGAATTTACTGTGATATTGTGTGATGATAAGCGCACAATAGGTGTTTAAAAGAAAACCTGAAACATATATAAAACCCATTACACAAATGTATCCCTTTCAACCTTTCATTTTCCTTGATACTTTATTAATTTTACTTCATAATAATCCACCCAAGAAGAGTATTAAGCCTTCGGCTTGCCAAATTCCTCATTCTTTTATCGTTTTGCTCGTCAATTTCGGAGATACGGACGCGTTTACTTTTATTGTTTGGCCAACAATGGGTGTGTGGTGTGCGAGCCGCGGTGCCTGAATCCGTCAGGGCGGAAATCGAAGCCATTTAAGACACCCCACTTGCGAGCCAGGAGATGGACTTAGAGCGCCTTTTCAGGCGCCAGGTCTCGAAGGGGATTTGGCGCTATTCACCTTGATTGCCTGTGAGCCGGAACAGCAGCTGAGCTGGCGAGTGTGCAACAGTTATTGCATAACTGCGGTGCGGTGGCGTATGCGTGATGTGCATGTTGCTCATACGCCATGTGTGCGGCCCGTCCTAACGCAAGCACTCAACACACTGAACTCAACCACTTAGTCCCCCGAGCTCCTGTCACTGCCAACGGACATTGTTAACGACCATCAATGGCCATTGCCTTTCAAATTTATTTAAATTGGGTTTTCCGCTTTACGACTTTCTCCCCCCGCCCCGCCCCGGACATCGAACATTGTTTGATTTAATTGGGTCAATTGGCATCGGGATTGAGTTAAGCGTTTGAGCTGACTGTCTGTCTGACGATTTGAAATTCGGATTCAAATGCGAACTTAATTGTCGGAGCTTGAGTTTTCCCAGCTGCGAGTGCATCAGGCTGCGTCTGACATTGATTTCTGTCACCGCACAGGAGGGTGCTGGTAGTGCTGCTGCTGCGGCTGGCATTCTTATTTGATGCCTCAGCTGGCACAGGCTCCTCCCCCTCCTCCCCCCAAGGAGCATAGAGAGAGCTAGGAGCAGCGAGCAGGCTGGCCAAGGCCAGACGAGGAGAGGCGAGGCAATACCACCGCATGACCTGCATACTAAGCGACGATTAAGTGGATGTGGCCATAGATATAGAGCTGGAGCAGAACTCATAAATCCGGAAATCCTTCGCGGGCGTAAATATATTATGTATAGATGTTGTGTGCCTGCGTTTGGGGTTGTGTAATTAAAGGTCGAGCTTGCCGCTTATTGATTTTCTTATCAAGGGGCGGGCTTAATTAAGTCTTGAAGGATCTCGGACAAATTTTCACGCCCGTCAAAGGTCACCGGTGAGACAATAAATACCACCCGGCTAGCATTTCCCAGCCCCTGGCAAATCCTCGTTAATCATAGCCTGTTGTGAATTGTGATTTGGATAATCGCTCAATCAAGACACGATTCGATGATTCTAATGTGTCATTGTCTGGCGCTGAGGGGCGGAGTCCTGCCAATCCCACTGGGGGCTGTGCCAGGGCCAGTGCCAGGGGGTGCTGAAAACAAATTGATTTAACAGTCTTTTTCACAGGACGAGTTGCGAACTGTGAGTTACGAGTTACGAGCTGGAGCTCGAGTATGTGTTCCGTGTGTGCAGACAGACAGACGGACGAGCACGCAAGCCAATTCCAGCAGTTGAGCGGAATGGAATGGGATTCATAACGAGCTTAAGGGATTATAGAGCATAACCCATGCACCCGGGCATCCTGCCGCCCGGCGGGCATCCTTCGGCGGTTAAAATTCCCTCGACCAGATTCATATGCAAATGTCTGTGGGGTGCAGGGCATTTATTAAGCCATGATTGATTGACGGGGCATTTGGTTTATTAACAATTCATCGGGCCAGAGCCCCAAAGTGCGCTCCATGAAAATGTGTCATTAAATCTATTGCGGCTTTTCAGCTGGCAAAAATTTAATTTTCTCATTCCAACAACAACCAAAAAAAAAACGTTGACAATGCCCAAAATTGATTGCTTCTTGGCTGACTTTTGACAGTCATTTTTGCCACAAAAAAAAGAAATTTAAATTTGCAGAAAATATATGAACCAAAATGTCAACATTTGTGACTGGAAAGGAAATCTAAATTCGCGAATACATATTAAATTTAAATAAATAAATACTAAAGTTGAGGGCTAGACATTCTAAACTTGAATTATAAATTTGGATTATTTTAAACAATACTATATTTAATTTTATTTAATTGTAATTTAAGTAGTTAGAAATACCTAAAAAGTATACTCAAGAAATCAGAATCTAAGGTTAAGATTTTCTGGAATATTTCATTGCATACTTTTGGACACTTCAAATAATGATTTAAAAACACAAACAGGATTAGTAGACATTCCAGATTAATGATTTGGGCACCTGACTAATGATGCACATAAAATTTCATCCAACAAAATGAAATATTGATTTATAAATTGTCAAAATGCAGGAATTCTAATTTGCTTGAGAGCTCTAGCTCTATTGTGGTCTAATTTCGAGGGAAAAACAATTAGGTGAAGACTCAAAGGTGGCCATATGGAAGTGAAGAGTGGAGGAGTGCCCAGAAGCCCCGACAAAGCCCCGACAATTTTGCCATATGGCCGGTGGTCGGTGGTCGAGCATTATGCACCTAGCATTTGAACAATCGCTCGGTCCGTGTGGGTGCAATTAGTCGGAGTTCCTGCGGCCGGGAAGTGTGTGAGAGTATGCAATTAGGTGCTGCCAAAGGAAGTGCTTTGCGAGGATTTCGGTGGTGGCGAGGACTCGAAAAAAACACTGGCACTGCTCAAGCCAAGTGCATATAATTACAAGGATACGAGAACTCACCTGGCGCTGCAGTATATAACTGAATTCCGTGGCCGTGTTCCGTCGACTGTCGTTCATTTTGCCTGGTGTCCTGTCCTTATCCTTGGCGTTTCGTGTGCTTTATTTTGTCTGTCTATATGTTTTGGTCTAACTTTTGGTAATAATAAAAGTTGTAACTGCTTCTGGCTTCAATTTTAGTTTAGTTCGTTTACTAAGTTGAGTTTAGGTCTAGTTTTTTGGTTGTTGCAGTTCAGTTTTAGGTGGGTTTCGTTGAATGTAGGTATGGAACGCACATTCGTGGAAGCAGCAGCCGCCTGCAAGCAGATAAGCAAATTTTGCAAACTGAAATAAGATAAAAGAGCAACTTTGAGCGAAAGTTGAGCAGTTTGGCCGCAGGCTTTGCCTTCTTATATTTTTCTCACTTTTAAAGTCTAGTTAATTATAAAGTTCTCATGGGGGAGGGAAGTGCGAAAGTTATACAAGAACTGGCAGCAGACACACTCTCACTTTTGACTCTGAACAACAACAAGAACTGCGCCAGCCAACTAGGCTTTGTTTTTATAATCTCTAGTTTATTTTGCAGGATACAATCATATTTTTTTAGACATTTTTATGGGTTTCCTTGTTGGGGTTTTATTGGTGTTGCATGGCTAACCGATTTATCGGGTGTTCGATGCGATTTGCTGCGAGTTGCTTCGACGCTTTCGATGAGACTGCTGCAATAAAAATATATTGCGAAACTCTCAACAAGGATACCGTTCACGTTGTCCCGTCGACGTCGGCGTCGCTGCCTTGTGCTCCTCGTCGTGTCCTGTCCCGTTAGACGCTGAAGTTCTGCCGCTGCTGCTGCTGCTGTCGCGCTCTCCGTAGTTTCTGTTTTCTCTCTTTAAGCGCTTGTTGTTGTTGCTGTTTGACTTTGAAATCGCCAACAATAATGCACACACACACACGCATACTCTCACACTCGCGCGCGCTCACACAATAACAAAGCAGAAGAAGCCGGAAACGAAAGCGAAAGTTGCCAGACCGTCGACTCAGCTGTTTGGCCCTGGAAGCTCTCTCTCAAGCCAAGCTTTCTCTCACACCACCGCGCAGAGCCTGAACCATCTGGCAGCCCTGCGCTCATTCATTCATCGTTTCGCCGAGAGAGCGCAAGAGAGCGAGCACGTGGTGGCAAAGCTCCAGCCGCTGCAACAGGACTGTCAATCCAGCTTTTATTTTAGGAAGTTTGATGCTTTAAAAATAAATTTAATAATTAGTTCAATGAAATTAATATTTATTTACTTATTAATAACAACCAAAACTAACGCCAGGGTATCACACGGTACTCCTGCAGATCCTCATCGTAAGTAAAAGTAATGTCCAGCTCGGTTTGCAGCATCACTTTGGCGTCCAGCAGGCGGCGCACAATCCTCGCCGAGTCAGCATCAAAGTGGTTGCCGTAGAGGGTTAAGCGCTCCAAATGGCAGCATTTCCGTCGGGATGTCAAAATGCGATTTATGGCCTCTGCGCCAATATCGTTGTTGGTTAGGAACAGGTCCTTCAACATTAGGCTCAAGCTGAGGTACTTGGCCACCCACTCACCGCCATGGGTACCAATAGAGTTGCTGCTGATGTCCAGGAGCTCAAGGTACCCACCACCGTCGATATTGCCGCGAAGCAGAAAGAGGACTCCGTCCGGACCGATCTTGTTGTTGGCCAGCCGCAATTGTTGCAGCTTCGACTTCCGGCGCGCCAAATGCTCGGCAATGGGTATCATATCCTGGGCGGTCAGCTCGCACAGCTCTAGGCGCAGGCTCCACAGGCGATTTTGCATAAGGACAGAGCCCACCATCGACATTATCTTCTCCGTGTCCAGACTGAGATAGCCGCCCAGCAGCCGATTGGCCGAGAAGCAGCTCACTCTTTCCGACTTGTGCAGCCCGTCAGCGATCAGGGCGAAATTGTATTGGGTCAGGCTGCAATGGTTTACGGAGAGCCCACGCAGCGTTTTGCTGACCAGCAGGAACTCCCGCAGGAGACGCACATCTTCGTCGCTGAGGGGAGTGCCTAGGGGAACAGTTAAGGATGTACAGCAAGGAGTTACCAGAACTTCTCACCGTCCAAACATAACTCCATTACGTCCATCTTTTTCGCATTGAGGCACAGCATGGCAAAGAATTCGCTGGGCAGCCGCATCAGGTTCAGGTGAATGGACGACAGGGGTATGAGAGAACGGACAAAGTCCTTCAGCAGATTTGCGTCCCAGTTAGAGACCACCACGCCCGTAATGGTCACCGAGCGCAGTCGGCGACTTAACAGGTAGTTCACAATGACCCGGAAATCCCGGACGCAGTGGAACTTTCGGCGCATCCGCTCCTCGAACTCCAAGCGCTTGAATCGAAAGTCTCGATAGGGTCTCTGGTCGTACTCCCGCTGCCAGCACCTCAGCAGCAACGTGGTGAACAGCGGGGTATGGCCATCATCCAAAGACTCCTTGGGCTGGTACGTGCATGGTAGCAGCACTTCGCACATTTTGATGCACTTGCTCCGGATCGGTTCTGTGTTGAAAAAAACTACTGTGGAAACGTGGAAAGTATAAGTTTTAATCGAACTTGTGACAATTTAGCCAGAGAAATATGAGAAATTATATTGATATGTAACTATCCTTGCAAACATTGATTTTCGTTGCATACTTTTTGGCTGACGTAGACGGTAAAGTCGGGAGTTGTCGAGTAAATAATTGGTTAATGTGTGGATGGTTGAATATAAAATAAAAAAATGCATTTAAATATTAAAATGTAAATATATTTCATTAAAGGAAATCTAAAATTTTTAGCGATTCCTTATCTTTAACTTATCAATTATCTCATAGAAGTTTGTAGGACCAACCAAAAATGAGTTAAGAATTTTGAATTATTGATCACAATTTCAATTAAATATGGAATCCACAAATCCCTAAGCTATTTATTATATTTATTATACATTTTTCAAATTTATATTTTGTTATATATTTTCCCCGTCATGTTTATTCTTATTGAAAGTTTATTAATATTGTCAGTATAAAGTTCCCAACTTGTAAAAGTTACTCTTAAAACTAAAATACTAGCCAGAAACTCTTTAATTGTCTGAATTCCTGTCACTTTTTTATTAATTATCTCCCACAGTAACTGGCCCGTCTAGTTACCTGGCCAGAAACCCATCGATCGCCTCAACTTCTTTGGCATTTCTTAAATAGTTATTTCAGTCACTGGAAAAATCCGTTTTAAGGCGTTCGCTTCTGGGAAACAACTGAATTACCGTCACATTTATACAAATAATTCTTACAGATACTGACCCGACTAGTTCAATAGCTAGAAACCCATCGATTGCCTCAATTACTGTCGCATTTTTATATAAAATCCTTGCAGTTACTGACTCGTCTAGTTTAAAAATAAGGAAAATATCCGTTTTAAGGCTTTCGCTTCTGGGAAGCAACTGAAGTGTCACAACCTTATAGAGACCGGAATGCTTCCTCATTTTCGTCATAGTCCTGCCAAAGGCATCCACAAGTTGCTCTCATTAGCATAGTTAGCAAACTAGGAGCACCAACTTGGTTGGTCTGAATTACCATAAACGCCAATTCATTCATTTATATGTCATTCTCGACCACGTGGACCCCATTCTCTGTTCTGCCCAAGTTCTGGCATCCTGGCGTGCCGGCACGCGCCGTCCCTGTCCTATAAATAAGTTGAACTCAAAGCCGATACTGTTGAGTTCTAAATATATATAAAGTACGCTCTCGAATCAGCCAGGATCTGCACGTACTCGTTGGGGAATCCATTGGGGTATGAGTGGCATTTATGCCGTTTATGGTCAGGTTGCATCTTCATTTATGTGATTGCTATTGACAGTGCTTTGGCGTTGAACAAAGAAATCAGTCAAGTGTGTTGGCTAGTTAGCCGTTATAAAATATTATATTGGGACTTTTAAAGCTTAAATTATACATCTTATCTTCTAAAAGAATGCAATCTGTAAAATAATAAAATTGTAAAGCCTTTGAGATAGAATAGTAAATTTGTATAGTTTCTTAACATTTTATAAAACCAAAAAAAAATATTAATTAATAAATTAATAAACATCTTAGTACAAAGACAATTTAATTACTGTCTTTTAGAGTCTTAAAAATATAATATTAAAAAACAAACTTAACTAGATTCCTTGGCATCACTGTTCGTAGCGAAGCCCATTGTCCTATGGCGTTGGCTGACTCTGAATGGGCAGGCTTCCTAGCTCCGATGACAGGTGCCCAATCTATGGACCAAATGATTACTGACAGCCTCGGCTGGAAATCATATTTCACTTTTACTACCAATGCTGCCTTGGTGATTGGACATGGACATGGACATGACCATGGTGCTTGAATCTACATCAATTTACGGTCATCGCTGGCCAGACAAACAGACAGCAGGGAGACAGCCGGGAGCCAGGACAAGAGGTTAGTCATCATGGTCAAGATGGCTGCTGATGCTGTTCGTGCTCCTGCTGACCAAAGGCAATTAACAGCGGCGACAATTCGGAGGCTGCCTTCGGGGCCTCAAAATTGAAATTCGAAAAGTGGCAGCTCCAGTCCGCGCCGATGCTTATCTGTGCTTAGAAAAAAAGCGCGATAATTAAAAATATTGTAAAATGCCAGACGGCCAGACGCTCATAATTGCTTGCAAAGGCAGAGGCATTGGCACAGGCGGAGGCTCGGCACCGACGGAGGCACTGGCAAAATCGCAGACGACAGAGAATCAGTCGAAGTCTCAGTTTACAGCTACCAGACAAGGCGACGCGACGCGAGGCAGCGCGGCGGAGGAGCACTGCATGTGCATATCAATTAAATAACTTTCCGCAGCTCAGCGCAAAAGTGTGAAACTGCAGCAACTATTCACCGTCGCGGCTCGACTGGGCTCTTCTCGTCTCTTCTCGGGTTGGCCTGGCCTGGCCTCACCTGCTCCAGCTCTCTACGATGCCAGCCAGAACCGACCATGGTCCATATTTGGATGCAACAACGACAGCGCATCTGCATCACTTAGGGACAGTGGCAGTGGCAACATCATGGAGTGCCTGCGATGGCCTCCAGACAAACTGCAGACGCGAGACATGCACTTGTCTCTGGCTGGCTGGGTCAGCCCCCAACTCCGGTTCCGTCCGCATCCCCGCATCCCCGTTTCCCGGTTTCCCGCTCCCGCTTCCCCATGCTCATTCCCCATCCGCAGGCGAACGCATTCATTGTCAATTTTGACAATCAACAAGATGCGGCTACACACACGTCTGCTTAAATGGCCCAGCATCAGTACACACGGAGAAACATCTATAAAAGCAATTTCCTTTCATTAAGGACATTCATTTCTAGATTGTTGACATATTTTTTTAATAATTAAAAGATTCAATAGGGTCTTATGTTAGTTATCTCACAAACACTATCAACAACCCATTATGATCTTCATGAACTTCCTGAGAATCATATTTTGTTATTTAATGTATTTTTGCCCAGTGCATCATCTTTTTCACAGCCTCTGCGACGGTCTGTCTGGCTCTCGGGGTCTCGGTCGTGGTCTCCGCCTTTTTTCTCCTTCTTCATCTCCACCTCGGTCTCGGTCTCGGTCTGCTCCATCATCGTCTGCTGGGATCTGGATCTGGCTGGAAGAGGCTGGGCCCAAAACAAAACGCCAAACAGAAGCCAAACGACGGCACGCGAAAGTCTTAAAAACCGAAAATGAAAATGCGAAAAAATTAATAACAATCAGGCCTTGGGCTAAAGCGAGTATTACGATAGGTAAATACTCTATACTGATCAGTAATTCATTCAATTTTACATACATTATCCGCTTATAAAATATGAAAATAATCGGTACAGTACTAGAATCTTCAGAGTAAAACTATACATTTTACTTACCAAATAAATGAATATAGATAATATATAATTAATTGAAAACAAATTTGTTTAGTCTCACCAGTCGTATGAGTAATACCCGTAGCAAAAGAAAGGGTATACCCAAAACAACAGCGAGCAGCCGCAGCTGAAGAGGCGGCTGCAAGTGAACAGTAGCACCGGTAGCCGGCAGAAGGCAGACAACAGCGCAATAACAAATTGGCTTCTGGTCTTTGCATTCCACATGCAATCTGAGACAACAATCACGACAACTGCATTCGGCACCCGGCACCCGTAGCCAGTAGCCAAGAGCCATTAGCTGAGTTGCGAGCACCGACAAGGTAACACCCTTGGTGCCTGTGTGGATGGCAAGAAGAACCCGGGACTGGCTAACTAACCAGCACCTATGTGTTCCGTCTGGGGTTGCGTCTGTTTATGGGTCTGGGAGCGCTACTCCGCCTGGAACTGTGACTGGGCTGGTGCTGACTTGACACGTCTGGTTCGCTGGCTGGCTGGCTGACGAACGTCGTGTACTTTTAATAGACTTGCACCAACACCAGCCCACCGGACCTAACCGCAGGCTGTCTCTTCCCTGTCTGCTCAGCGTTATTTTCCTCTGTCTCTACCTTAGACTGAGCCGAAAAATTTGACAATAACCATCAATTAACAAATAAAAAATCAATCAAAATAAATATTTACAAAATTTAAATTAAATTAATATGCGAAGCCATAAAAATAAAAATTAATTTTAAATTAATATTCAACTTGAATGCCTCATTCCCACTTAATAGCATTTTTCCTGCAGTGTACTCTTCGATTCTGTTGCCGATACATTATGTTGATTGTGCAAGTGAGGCGGAGTTTCTCTCGAGGATCCATCTTGCATCGACCAGCTTTTAGGGTGTGAGGGCTAATTAAGTTAACTACGTGTTTATGGTTAAATAATTTACCCCGGGTACTTGCATATTTAATGACCGTCAATATAATCATTGTATTAAACTGTCCAAATTTTGAGTTATTCGATCGGTTTTCAGAGACTTTGAAGGTCAAATCACGCACCACTGTCGATATCTATAGTTTCATTAGTTCTGTGTGCCATGACTGCTCAATAAACTTTATGTTAGTGCCTTGCGCCTTAAAAAAGACTTACTAGATAAGAGTTTCATACTATAATTTCCACACACTATAAATTCACAAAAAGTAATAACAATAAGCTATCGAAGCAATTAAAATGGGTTTTCCCTTAAATGTTTTGAAAGGTATTTATAATTTATTTATCACAGAATCGGGATGTTTAGTCTGTGTACTTTTACTTTTTGTTTGCCTATCAAGTTATTTAAGTCGCTGGTTTTTATTTTTATACCCGTTTAAGTTTGAATTTAGCTAAAATATTGTACAAGAAAACAGATTCTTTTACTTAGCAAAAACTTAACACAATTTTAAATAATTTTTTAACAGCATTTTTAGCTTAAGGAAATCAAAAGAAAATATATTTATATATTAAAAATTTTTATTACAAATATTAAAAGCTAACATGGCTAACAAACGACAAATTATTTATTAAAATTATTATTTTTGTTAAAAGATACTTAAGAAAAATGTTGACTTTCCTCCAACACAAGTATTCTTATGTGTGTTTTATTAAAGAGCATTTATTATTCTTTATATTTTTCACCAAAAAATCAATCTATTTCGACAGTTTCAATCAGGCTAAGCCGATAAGCACAGGTAGCCCTAAAACCTGGCCTTATCACTTTTACTGCCCGCCCATTATACGGATTGATGCTATGGCTAAATATAGAATGGTAGTTAACACTTGTAACCAGCCAGGAAATCACTCCTAATAGCTAATGGCCAACAACTATTTGCGAACATTTGGCTCCGGCAATCTGCTAAGGAAACAGCCAGATGTTTTCTAGCCAGGTGGCGATGGCTATGATTATGGCTTGGTGATATTGCGGTGCCGGTGGTGCTACCGGTCTTTTCTGGCGGGTCCCTCACGTGCCGCCACCCAGTTGGACGGAATTGTTGCTCATTGGCGGCAATTGCCGGCTACCGTTTAAAATTAAGCCGCACAAATTGGCACGAGCGTGAGGCATACCAGTACGTACGGATTTGTCAAAAAATTGCTTTCAAAAATAGCCCCGGAGATATGCCGACAAATACGACGTCTTTCAAGATCAAAGGAGAAAGACCAAAACCACATATTTAGATTCTGTATTTAGGATTTAGCCAATTATGGGTCTGATGTGGGCGTGGCGAAGAGGTGAGGCGGATCCACGCGAGCAAACAGCCTTGAAAAGTTAATGAAAAATCAAATAAAAAGGAAAGAAAGACAACTGAGACCGACTGCTGTCTTAATTTTGACTTGACTCATTTCGCATTCCAATTGTCTAGAAATATTTACACTGTGAAAAACTGAATCTTAATGGGATTTTATAAATATTGACCTTTTAATATATTTTTATATTTTAATATTTATTTATCTATAATTATTTATGTTTATATACTTTATTAGAAAATTTGTAGATTTTAGTATCATTTTTCAATATAAATAAAAAACAATATTTACCAACCTAGATGAACGTTTTTTAAATTTTAAAATATTTAATACATTTCTTCATTATAATTTTAAATTATTTAGAACAACTGCTGTACACTTATTTCACACTACAAATCATATATTACACTTTACACTGACAAAAACTAATCAATTTTCTCTCAGTGCTCCTGTCTGCATCCACTGTCTGACTATTTATTTTTGTTCTTGACTCTCTTTCTGTTGTTGCTGACGTCCACATTGTCCACAAAGTGGGACAAATTCTATGCGAGCGCTCAAATAAACAAACATTATTATATAAACTTCTCGACAAGAGGCGCTGATTGCGTCCTATATATATATATACACATTATATATGTGCATATATATGTTGTTTTCATTTTGGCCTCCTGTGCACGGGCGGGATTATGAGTCCCGGGCATTTGATGCGATTGCAATTTTACATAACAGCCGCCGTCTGGTAGTCTCTATTCAGAGCTTAAACGGTGTGTAGACATATCAGATGAATGGACAGCCGGATAGCTGGACAGCCGGACGACTGGGTAGACGGAGAGGAATCCGGGACAGACGTGGGAAGTGAGAAATCCAGACTTTATAAAGTGCTGCGAATTATACAATCATTTTGAAATTCAATTTTCGGGTCCCAGACGAAACATGGATGATGGGAAAGATGCTACTGGCGATGATTCTGATGATGATGTTTAGATGTTTTGATGGTGCAGCGGCAAGAGAGTAAATAAATAAATAAATCAAGAACGTCCTTGAAGTCTGGCTCTTTGGATTTCCGTATGTGAATTGAATGAATAATAAATACTGGGATAGCGCCAGAACTGTTTGGGTATGCCAATGGCGTAGATCGACCCACAAGGATGGGCTTTCTGGGGTTAAAACCGTACCAGGCACCGTAGTTCAAATCTTTTCTCTAATAGGATATATCCGCCCCATTCTCCTTTCAATTGATAAACTGCGTACGCACTTTCAGGCCTATCTTCTTGTCATCACTTTTATTAATCCGCACGCACGAATCCCGGCGGAGACAACTGAAAGTCAAAAGCAAAGGCACACCACACACACACAAGGGCCTTTTTTTGAGAATTTTTTGGTGCCCCCCCAAAAGTAGCACCGATAACACGCGTAGCACGACGCGTATCAAAACAATTTGATTAAGTCACTCTAATTGCAACGGAATAGAATCACTCCACGTTAATCTAATCACCCACGCACATAATAATAATAGAATGACGAGAACTATGACTACTTACTACCAGTTTTGCGGACATTCCTGCTATTTTAGTGGGTGCAAAATCGTTAAAAAGCTTGACACGCTCGACGGTTTGCTTGTTTGCCCAAACTCGAGTGGTGTTTAAAGTATTGATTGGGGGGATACGGGCACGCTTGTATCTGATAGTAATGGTTAGTAATTCAAGGACTGACCCTTGGCTGTTTGGGCCCAGATGCATCTCCCCGATAAGGCCACCGATTCCTCCTCCGATTGCCTCGATAAAGATACACCCATACTAGCCACTAGCCACCGACACAGATGCAGTATCTCACGCACATTCAACATGCCTACCTACGCCAACTTCAGCTGCGCGCCGGCAGATCCTCAAGCGCCGTTGATTGGTCGGCGACCACGGAGCCGAGCCGACCCGAAAGCCACACGAAGGCCAGTCCGAAGTACGCCAGCGCTACACTGAAATGAATCTGGAATGAGTTTGAAGGGAAGATAGCGGGAAGTTTTTCAAAATATTTATTAAAAGGAAAAAAATTAATAAATAAATTATTAATTAACGTATAATAATGAACTAATAAATTACAAACAATATATTGCAAGTAAATATTCGGAAAATACAAAAAACATTATTGAAATAAAAACAGAAAATACACAAATTGTATTATTATTTCAAAAAGTATTAAACTAGAAATTAATATCGATGTATTTTGAGGATTTACGGGATAAGTTTGGAACATTTCAGTGACTATTTCCTAATTAAATTATTATATTATAATTAAAATAATAATAAATAATATGGAAATGCAAGAAAAATAAAAACACATTCATTTTGCTTTAAAGAATATTAAAAAAAAAAAAAAAGAAAACAGTATTAAAATGATAAATTATTATTATTGATCATCAAAGTCATTGATAGAAAGGAAACCAATTCCAATTTCAAAAAAATATATTTTTTCTTTTATGATAAAAAATACAAAAAAAAACCTAAACCTAAGTTCTATTAAAAATAAGAGTTTAAGAAAATATTATTGATTGCCAAAACCTAAAATATATGTAAATAAAGTATATACAAAACAGACAACTATTAATTTAAAAAAAAAATATTTTTCATTAAAAAAATAAAAATTAAGTCAACTCAAACATTTGCCAGTAAAAATGTTAACTAAAATTATGTACTTCATATAATACATTTTAGAAATTAAAAACATTTAACTAGCTTAAAGCTAAAATTAAAATAAAAAGTTAAAATAAGCAAAAAACTATTATTCCAGAAATATAAGTCTTTCAGCGAGATAGTAAAGCATTCAACTTTTCTTGCAGTGCTGGCAGCAACGCAGCGTTTACGACCATAACAAAGTAGATATGCCCAGGCACAACCAAATTTTTTCTTATTTAAGACTAAAAAACCGACTGGCGCAAATCACTTCATACTTGGTTCTTAGAGCGAACACATCGAGAAGCTGAACCACAGCAAGACCACAGAAACCCAAATATTCAAATTAACATACCCATTGAAATTCTTTGGCTGAAAAAAAAACACTCTCTTTGGATTTGTGAAAGAGATGCAGTTCCAGTGAAAAATGTGCACAAAATACACGATCTAATTGTTGCAAATCATAAAAGACAACTTAATATTAGCCAGTGAGAATATTTAAATTTAAAAACATACAAGGACAAAAAACATAAAGATGACGAATGCCAAGTGTTGTGAAAAGTGCGCAGGGAGATGGATCCTGGTCCTGGTGGTGGTCCTAGCATCGCTGTCCGGCGACTCGCAGGCCTCGCCCTTCGATCCCTCCTTCTTTCCCGAGGGCGTGCAGTCGGTGGTGGTGAATCCCTTCAATCGCACCATCCTGAACCGCTTCAACCTGACCGAGGAGCAGATCCTGAGCATCCAGAATCGGAGCAATCCAAACATGAGAAACGACACCAGCACGGTGACCAACCAACAGCACCTGCAGCGGGCCACCGAGCGGTAAGTAAGATCTCAAGTGCCTCGAAAGTGTCCAAAACAATCACTGTCAATCACCGGCAGAAGTCGTCTTTGTCGTCTGTCTTCCCAGAAATAGATGTCTGTTCACCACAAATAGAAATCTTAAAAAAGACGCCCCCTGACCGGCAAAAAAAAAACAACAACAAAGTAAAACAAATTGTTGCTGACTACAATTTGTATACAAAAAAAGAAATCATTCTGAAACAATGCACTTTGCTTTAATTTGTAAACACACGCTGTCGGAAAATTCTCAAAAATTTCGCAAATGAATATATTTAAGTGCGAGATTTGTCCAAAAACCGCTGGCCAATTTCTCCCAAGGCTAAGAACATTTGTGCAACTCGCAATTGTGGTCAAGCACCCCGAAAAAGTATACGCGAGAGAGTGTATTTATTTATAAAAGTACATTGTACATGCTGTGCTTCACTTCACTTTCAACACGATCCAGCCGAATGCAGATCTATTCGCCGAATTAATCCAATTAAAACGTAGAAATCAATAATTTCTCGACTTGTTTTCGGCACTCGTGCACTCTCGATTTTCATTTAAGTTTATTTATTGACTGAATGCTTCGCTAAATGCATGATGTTCTTACAAAAGGGTCGTAAATGTAATGGCCTCGCTTAGCAGACTGGAACGTGGGGCCCATAAATATATAGAGTATCTATAGCTGAAAAGTGTGCCTCCTAATTGCGTCTTTTGTTTTGAGAAATCAGGAAATTTCGATGATTTTATAGCTATCAGTGGGGTTTCCTTTAATATTATTTCTTTATGACCTTTAAGCCATTAAAAACAAATATTTCTGCCATTAACTTATGGGCAATAAACATGATTACTTTATAATATTAAAACTAATTTAAGGATAAGTAGGATACAACCTATTCTATTAATACTAAAGTAAAGCTCATGGAACAAGGTTTTAAATATAATTTTATTTTCATTTAGTTTTACATATTTTTGAGATTATTTCAATAAGAACCCTTCTTATTTTTTAAGAACTTGAAGAGTTGAAGCTTCTTTCAAAGGTAAAAAAAAACACAATAACAAAACGCTGAATTAAATCTATTAAATATACTTAGATCTTTCTGGCTAATATAAAAATAGGAATTGATAATATGGTAAATATATTAATACACATATATTTCCAAGTCATATTTGAAAACCTCAAATCAAAAGAGACCTAATAAAACCGTTTAATCGTTATTAAATCAGAATAATCATTGCAATTACTAGATCTTAGATATGAACTTCAAAGGCCTCAAAGCTATTATAGTGTCCCTAATCGGAGCATAAAGTGCCCGAATAGATCACAGCGACACATACAGACCCAGATCCATCAATGGTGTGTCTGCTGTATCCATCAGATACTATAGTGCAACTGTCGCGACGACGACGGCGACGCCGCCGCTGCATAATGCACTGGATTCCGACAGTGGCGGTGGCGACCTCTGTATTTGTATCTGTATCTTTGTATCTTTGTGTGCCCGCGGATGTCTGGCGAGTGTCTGGGAGCAGTCTGGGCCATGTCTAGCTATCCGTCACCGTCTCTGCCTCCTGGTCTCCGGTAATGAACTTTTTGTAGGTCGTTGCTATGCGAGACGGCAAAACGGGCTTGCATTCGTGGGGCCAACAGCTGATACACGACTCGTATCTAAATCGTTTCATCTTATTTGATTGCTTTGGCAGAGTTCCGCACAGACGGCACACAAAAAACAAAAAGAGGAGAAAAAAAAAACAGCGACAGCAGCAACCTATGACGTATGAGTAATATTGCAGTGCAAACAGTTGTAGGCGTCTGCAGTTCGACTGACTGCAGCTTGGCTGCTTGTTGGCTGTTACTTGTTGGTTGTTCCTCGCATGATAATGAAGTGCAGCCGGCGAGACACTGTCTAGCCGCTCTTGCTGCTGTTACTGCCTCTGTGTTGCTACTATTGCAATTGTTGCTGCGGCCAAAGGCAACGTCTGCGACTGAGACGGCAGACCGCAGACGCAGACACACAGGCGATGCATTCAGGCAATGTCGTCTGAATGGAGGCCAGTGTGGAATTTCCACCATCCCCTAGAGCCCCGGCACCTGTCGCCCCCATGAAGACTTATCATCGTTGATCCCTGCCTCTGCGCATGCGTGACTCATGGCTTGCCCTGCTAAAAGGTGTCTATGTTACGGCAGGCCAAGTATATGCAGTAGCATCCACAGAGCACTGAAAGAAAAGAATTAACTTTCATAGGAGAATCGTATAGGTATATGCACATCAGTTAAGGAAAATTAGGGTAACTACAAGGTTGATATGGGAAAGCTGGCCTCAAAGATACATTCATTGATTTTTCATAAGATGTAAAACCTTTAACCAGATTAAAAATACAAATATAAAATGTAGAATGAAATAGTATTAACCATTTAAAATTTGTTTCAAATAGTTCATACAATTAAATACATATATAAATTTAAAAAAAAAAGGATCTCTCTCACTTTTAGGCCCCATGCCCTTCAGTTTTTGTCGCTGTGCAACAGCATCTACAGCTCTAGGCAAACCCAGACAGGCAGTCAGAGGAGCGAGCAAACAACGAGCGGACAGGGGAGCCGGAGTTGGACGGACTGACAATATGTCTAGACGGTGGCCAGACAGACGGCACCACCACTCGACGGGTTTTCAAGTTCATGCCACACAGTCGAGCTCCAGACGCCAGACTCCGCACTCTGGCATTTCTTGGCCAGCTAGCCAGACGGCCAGCGAGTCAGCCAGGCAGCTAGCCAGTTGGCCAGACAGCCTGTTAGCCTTTTGGCCAGACAGACTCGATACGATTCGGTGCGATCGCAACGTAAACATAAACATAAACAAGAACCGATAATAAGCCAGAGGCAACTTATTTCGACTCAGCTCGATTCGCCTCGACTTGGTTCAGTTTCGGTAAAGTGCAGACAGACAGCGACCGTGTTTTATAATTATTATTTCGTTTCGTTTCTTTTTTTTTTGTATTTTTTCGGCTAGACAAACTGCGCCGCAGGCCGCACCAAAAAGGCAAAACAATTAATCTGTTATTTCTCTTGATCTTTTTGTGCATCTCGTGGGGGAAAAAAAACGAAAGAAATGAAAGCGAAACGTCAAGCGTGTCTCAATTGCCGATCCAGACATCCAGCACACAATTGTCCAATTTTCTGGCGAGCTTCGAGTGAGTGTGGTCAGATTAGATCATAGCTAACTAACTATTGTTGTCTGCCCTGCTCCTCCGATGATAGTGCACTGGCAAAAAGAGTCTAAGGGCAAAGAAGATAAATTTTCAGGATGCCAGGGAATACCTAGTGACTTTAAATCTCCGAAAATATGCTATGACTACAGATAGATAATATTCAATGATTTCAAAGCTCTTTAATTTTCGCCCAAAAGTATGTTATTTTAAATGATATAATGATGAGAGATGCCTGTTTTCCACCTAAAAGTACTGCTTTGAAGCAGTTCCATTTATAAATTTTGAAATGATTATATGTCACTTTAAGAAACTCGCATTTTTTGTCACCGTGCACTGTCCCACACTCACAGAGACAGAGATCCGTCTCGATCGCAAAATGGGTATTTAAGTGACACGGGCCTGCCAGCTGCTCCACTATGCCCGCTTAGCTCATAATCAAGTTTAGGAAACACTCGCAACGAGCGAATCATGTGAAAGCATTTAATCAGCGCAAGTGTAGTAAATAGTTAAGTAGTAGTTAAGTCAGATGATTGGTCTTAAGATAGACTTTCCTAACCAATCTGGGCCCTTGATTAGATGCCATGACAAACTACGGTCAGCGGTTTTAATGTTCCAGCCACTTGGCATAGTTTGTTTTGACAACTTTAAAGCTCGTAGAGATTTGGCACTATTTCAAGAACTCCCGCAATCTGAGATAGCGAGTCCAAAGTAGTAAGATTATCTATCAATGAACCTAAAAGGTGGCCTATCAACTGATTTGAACTCGAAAATAAATCAGAACCCAATCGGGAAATTAGTTTTATGGCCAAGCGGAGCACTGAACCCTGGCTACGTCACAAATCATAGGGTATTATTAGGCAATCATCAGATCAGATTGTCTTCCATGGAATAGTTTGCTCATTTCGGGCGGTGGTGTTGGAGGTGGTTCCCTAACAATAGGTTTTACTAGTCCGCGATAAGAACTACAGACATAGTTTGGTCGCGTCTAGTCACAGACTAGATGTGTGTCCGCCTAAATTGAATAAAATTGTATAAATTCTCGCCAAATGGCAGCGGGCACGTTTCGGAGCTCTTCTATTGTGGATGTCTGTAACGCTGACCGCGCTCAAATGTCAATTAAGTGAGCCTTACATAAACACTTGAACTAAATTTGCAAAGTACCAGTGCTTGGGGCATACAAATGGCTGTCAGATGAGCCTCGAAATGATGCCAGTTTGCTGACTTTTCCATTATTCTTTAGACTTTAAGGGTATATATTTTTCTATAATTTACAGTCTCTAAGAAATGTAATTTTTTTTAACAGGATTTTTCACATTTTTTATTCTTAGAATTAATTTTTATTCGGTTTTCACTTTATAGACTATTAACATTAAGGGATATCAAATTCCTAAGGAATAAAAATATTCCCTTTAAAACAAAAATAACCCAATTTTCTGTTAAATTTTTCTTTTCAGGCTCAACGACATCATCAAGCGCGTCCACAAGGCAATCTCAAACGAGGCCCTGCCCAAGGAGAAGGCCGGGTTTCCCATCTGTACTGGCGAGACCACAAGTCCGGCGGAGTGGCAGAATGCCAGCAACTTGACCCTCTACTTCGCCCAGAGTGTCTTCACACCCTCCAATGACTATGACCGCCTGAACAGTGCCCTGCTGCGCCTGTATAAGACCAATCCCGGCCAGAACCGCGAACAGTTTTCCGGCCAGGGTCTAGTGCAGCCGGTGAGCACGGAACAGCCAGCCAGCCCGACGCCTCTGTGCGCAGAACCAGTGGGTCCCCAAATCCGGGTTACCGTTTCCATTGTCCACCAGCAGAAAAAGAAATGTAAGTTAAGCCTTTCGCTGGGGACTAGGATATCGATATAACTTCATTTTTTCCCCGCAGTGCGTAAGAAGCGCACCTGCAACACCGTCATGATGAGCAGCACCTCCACCGGCTGGGTGGAGATTGACGTCAAGTGCGCTCTCGCCTACTGGGAGCAGCAGAACCGCCAGGACGAGCATCGCCAGGATCAGCTGCGCCAGCCACATCCCCGCCAGCAGCAGAACGCCGTTATCGGAATGCTGGTGATCGAAGTGCACGACGACGAGGAGAATCCGCTAAGACCGGGCCTCTACTTCGCGCCGCCCACTTGCGATCAGGCAGGTAAGCGTGTTGTTTGCCATGTCCAACTAACTGCCCCAACGGAAAGGAGAACGGAGTCTCCTCCAGTCATCGCCAGTCATTTTCTCTCTTTATCTATCCCTCCCCCACACACACACAACTATCCATTCATCTCGGTGACAGGCGACAGGCCCCTTTCGCAGGCACAGATCGCGGCGATTTGAATTTATTTACATTATAGCAAGAAAGGTCATTAGTCGGGCTATTTGGGGGGCCGGACTGCAGCCAGAACTTACCGGAACGGACCCGACACCGCCGGCGCGTAATTTAAGCTGAGGCAGCTCTAGAGGCAGACTCGAAGTCGAAGTCGAACTCGAGTCCAGACCGAAACCGAAACGGAAATCGAATTTCATAAAACGTAATCCAAAAATACCTTGTACGGAAATCGATAATTTTTCCCACAATTTTTTTTCGCCCACATTTTTTCAAACAACCGGGCTGTTAAAGTTACGATCCTGCCAAATCGCTAATATGCGATAGGACCTAAAAAAGACCACAAAAATTCGCGAACAGGATTTTTGCAAGCCACGGTCACATTGGATCCTCTCTTTTTTTTTCTTTCTTTTTCTTCTTTTTTTTTTTTTTTTTTTTTTTTTTTTTTTTTTTTTTTTTTTTTTTTTTTTTTTTTTTTTTTTTTTTTTTTTTTTTTTTTTTATATTTTTTTTTTTTTTTTTTTTTTTTTTTTTTTTTTTTTTTTTTTTTTTTTTTTTTTTTTTTTTTTTTTTTTTTTTTTTTTTTTTTTTTTTTATTTTTTTTTTTTTTTGGGTGCAGTTTTGGCTTTTTTTTTTTTTTTTTTTTTTTTTTTTTTTTTCTTTTGTTGGTTTTTTTTTTTTTTTTTTTTTTTTTTTTTTTTTTTTTTTTTTTTTTTTTTTTCGCTTAGGGTTTCTTGTTTTTTTTTTTTTTGGCTGGCGGGGTGGGCGTGGTTTTTTTTTTTTTTCGTTTTTACTTCTTGTTTGTTTTGTTTTTTTTTTTTTTTTTTTTTTTTTTTCTCCCTTCTTTTTTTTTTTTTTCCCTCCCGGCGCGTTTTTTTTTTCCTTTTCCCTCACACGGTGCACATATTGGATCACCGTGCTTTTCTTCGGCGCACCTATTGGATCGCCGTGTGTCTTTTTCGTGGCCACATCGTTCTTTGCCACATCGCCGTGCATCTTTGCCACATCGCGTGCGCTCTGCCGCATCCACACCTTGGCGGGCTGGTCTCGTTCCGCTCACGCCTCACGCAAGGGATTGCGGCCATCCCTGTCGCACATAGTGCGTGTCATCTTCATCAGCGCGAACGACGGAAGTAGCATTACATATCCGTATTGAGAGCTGGTGGCTGATCCGGCCCACACTCTGCTCCAGGAGCGGATAAACATGAATGATAGTGTCTAAAATATAATTAATTTTGCATATAGGAGCTTTTGATTTAAGAATTCGTACTTATAAACCTTTTCGGTCGTAATTTAGCAATTTTTTTTTTGGGAGATTTGGCAATTATAATATCGTTTTGTCCCTCAAATAACTTAAAACACATACAGCTACACATCACCAGTCATCAGGCCTGCTGACGTCGATGGAGAAAGCGTGAGTACGGCCTAGCCGCAAAACAACAAAATAAAACTGAACCCATCCTTATAATTTCGCCAAGACTTCTGAAATAGTTTGCACATCTTAATTAACTAATTGATTCAAAAGAATATTAATAAGTTAATCTATTTAATGTAAAGTAAAAAAGGAAAAAGCGTTCTTTCTTATCTTAAATTTTATTTCCTTTCATTGGATCTAAAACAAACTGACTCAATAAGAGGTCTCGTAACGTAAATAACGTAAACTTAGGCTTAAGGATTAGATTTAGGAAAATGTCTTTCAATATTATCTCAGCCTGCAATTATATGACTTTGAAAATGAACTAATTTGATATCTTGTTGGGCACCTAAGGGGATGTAGAGCATTGGTTGTATAAGGGTGGAGCCTGAATGGACTTCACAGGTTGGGAGGGTTTAGATTGAGGCCAATAACATCGGAGCCTCATCTTCAATAGGTACACTTCATTCGTCTGATTCATATTATTTACCATATCCCCAGCTAGAGTATCTCTGTCTACAATATTAGTTATGTAGCACCATTGTTCATGTCAACACAAAACCCACGCCCATTTTCCCTGAGCCTGCCGAGCAGAAAAAGTAGACAGAGCGTGTTGAGGTGGACAACGCTCGGTGAGTGTGTTTGTTACATAATTAATTGGCGCCCAAACGTTAAGGCCAGCCCGATGCCTGATTAGGCACCTGTCGTTTGACAGCCGAGCTTCCCGTTAATATTCAAACCATCCACTTCTAGTTTCCGTTTAGTATTTCAAATTCTGTCCTGGAATTGATGGCATCTGGATAGGTTCGGAGCCATACCGGAGGAAATGTAATACTTTTAACTGTTTTTTTTCTATCAGTTCGGTAATAATCGAACATTATAGTTAAAAGAACATTCCAATTTGAGTAATTGATTCCTTGGAATTATAGTTCTGATTCAAAGTCGGTTCTATACCAGGATTTCAATATTCAAACACTACCTTCTTATCAGTTAGGATCGAGATTTTATCTGGCTGGATAGATTCGGCTAGTTACTCTTCTAATTGGTAAGACAAAATAAATTGATATTTATTTTACTACCCTTTATTTACATTCCGTTTACAACATTTGTACCTATTGAATTACACAACCAATTGCTATACTACCCAGGGTAAGACCTAAACTGCATTTCTCATTTATCGTATATCGTATTCATCTCGAACGACCAGTTTGTTTTCGTTATATCGTATCTTATCTTATCTTACCGTATCTCATTTCGTTTGTTTGTTTTATATTTCGAAAAGCGTCAAAAATGTTGACACACAGCAATGAAAATTTAGTAGATCTTCAGACTGATGAGTCTGCAAATTGCATCATCTGCAACGGACCAGTGAGTAATCTGGATTTAATTGAAGCCCGTTGCAAGCATTCTTTCCACAAGCTTTGCCTTGACAATTATAGCAAGAACAACGACAAATGCCCCAGGTGTGGCCAAACTTTCTCTCAACCCGAGGTAGGACCTCATTCGGCTCCTCTTAGTAGATCTCAGGGACACAAGGTACAGACACGTTCAGCGTCGCGAAATGCGGCAAAGCAAAACGGTGGTTCTGAGCAAAATTCACTGCAGGAAATTCGTAGCGAGGGTAACTCAGACTCGAGGGTGGTAACGGAAGATCACGTGGAAAAATTGATTCAGAAGTCAATGCAGACCTTCCAAGCTAACATGCTGCAGTCAGTTACAGAACAAATAACTTTGGCGTTCACACAATTGAATAGGTCCACATTTGCCAATAATGGACAAGGTGAGCCGCAGCGAGATTTCAGTCGAGACGGTTCCGATGCCAACTCAGATCGAAACAACATTCAACAGGCTAGGAATTCACCAGATTTTCGCAGTGATCGAAGTGATCTCTCTCTGGATCGACCAGACAGAATTTCGAATATTATATCCAATTGGCGTATTAAATTTAGTGGTTCAGCTAACGACATTGCTATAGAAGATTTTATTTACCGTGTCAATTGCCTCACTTCACAATGCCTGAACGGCAACTTTGAACTTCTCTCCCATTTTGCTAACTTACTGTTCGCAGGCCCTGCATTAGCCTTTTACTGGCGCGTTCATAGATCGGCAGATAACATGAATTGGAACTTGCTTTGCAGGCGTTTAAAGGAAAGATATCAAGATCAGAGATCTGATCGTGAGATTAAATGTGCCATGCGTAGACGCAAACAGGGTAACACGGAAAATTTTGATGACTTTTTGGATGCAATGCTTTCCATCGCAGATTCCCTTCGTGAACCAATGCAGGACAGTGAAATTGCGGTAGAAGTTCGTCATAATCTCAGACCGGAGATCAAGCACGAATTATTGCACATTGACACCCCAAACTTAGCAACATTGCGAAAGGAGTGTCACAGGCACGAAGAATTCTTTCTTAACACCCGAATGAAGCCCATTCAACGTTCGAACCCAAGCAAGCGTTTCGTTAACGCAATTCTGCAGGAAGAAGATTCAGAATCTCAGTCGGAGGAAGAACGTGAGGTCGAGGATGAAATTTGTGTAGTTAAGACGGCTGAGAAAATTAAGTGCTGGAACTGTGAGGAAACAGGCCACAGTTACCACAATTGCCTTAAACCTCGTCGTATTTTTTGTTATGGTTGTGGAACACCGAAGGTGTATAAGCCCAACTGTGCAAAATGTAATTCGGTTTCGGAAAACCCCAAGAAGGACATTCGTTACGCGAAGAAAACGGATGTCCGCCGCTAGCTTCGAAAATACCAACAGAACCAGATTTTGTGGCAAATGATGTTCATTCCATTTTGCCTACCTTTCAACCAGACATATCAGAAACCAAACCTTTTAACCCATACCATTTGCGGGTACAGGAGTACGCAAAGCGTAGATCCCAAATTTTGCAAGCTAATCCTGTTTATCGTCGCAAACAGCGATCTTCACGGCGAATTCGTAAATTTTGGACTCGTAAGCGATCATTAAATCGTTTTATGATTTCCTCAATCGCACAAAACAAAAGCGATATTCGGCCTTTTACAAACATAGAAATATTTGGTCAACCGTATTTAGCTCTCTTGGACAGTGGCGCCAACAAAAGCGTTATAGGTGGTGAGCTAGCAAAACAAATAATTTCAGCTAAGCCGTTTAATAAATTTAAATCGGTAGTGAGAACCGCTGATGGGCAATCGCAATATGTTGCAGGCACGATACACATTCCCCTGACTTATAACTCAATTAGTGACAACTTTGAATTCCTGATAGTACCTTCGATAAAGCATGAAGTTATATGCGGAATGGATTTTTGGCAAAATTTTGGCATTTCGATCAAGCAAACAGTTGCGATCAAAAAAATATATATTGAAACGGAAAAAAATTAAAAAAATGGGATTTGTCCGATTTAAAAAAATCAAAATTGCAGAAAGTAATAGACTTTTTTCCATCATTCGAGAACGAGGGCTTAGGATTAACTAGGTTGTTAGAGCACAATATCGACACATCCAATGCAAAGGCAATAAAGCAACGATTCTATCCACTTTCACCAGCTAAAGAAAAACTTTTATGTGAAGAAATCGACCGCATGATTAAAATGGATGTCATCGAAGAGGCTCCTTCATCGCCTTGGTCTTCTCCAGTTATCTTGCACATCAAGCCTGGCAAGGTACGATTTTGTCTCGATGCAAGGAAATTGAATGCAGTCACGGTGAAGGACGCATACCCCATCCCTATAATGGATGGATTGCTGAGTCGACTTCCACCCGTACACTGCATATCCAAAATTGACCTCAAAGATGCCTTTTGGCAGATCTGTTTAGATCAAGAATCTCGTGCCAAAACTGCTTTTACCGTTCCGAATCGTCCGCTATATCAATTCAAGAGGATGCCTTTTGGATTGTCAAACGCTCCACAAACCATGTGCCGATTAATGGACTTGGTTATTCCCTATCAATTAAAATCGCATGTGTTAGTCTACCTCGATGACCTGCTTGTTTTGTCAAACAACTTCGAAGAACATCTTCTGCATTTATCCGAAGTAGCTACCCAATTGCGTAAGGCTGGATTAACAATAAACGTTCAGAAAAGTCAATTCTGCCTGAAAACTGTAGACTACCTTGGTTACCTGGTGGGTGAAGGTACTCTTCAAATAAATCCAAACAAAATCGCAGCCGTGAGCGAATTTCCGGTTCCGAAGACCCAAAAACAGCTCCGAAGATTTCTTGGTATGACTGGTTGGTACCAGCGGTTCATATCCAACTATTCCACAGTCATTTTCCATCTGACGGAACAACTACGTGGCAAAACACTAAGTTGGAACGATAATGCCCAAGAAGCTTTCGAAAACATCAAGGCCAAGTTATGCTCTGCTCCTTGCCTTGTTCATCCCAATTACGACAAACCATTCATTTTGCAGTGTGATGCTTCACTACATGGAGTGGGTGCAGTTCTAGCTCAATGCGACGATTCCGGTTGTGAGCGTCCCATAGCGTTCATGTCCAAAAAGCTAAACAAAGCCCAGCGTAACTATACAGTTACGGAACTCGAATGCATGGCTGTAGTGTTAGCAATTAAAAAGTTCAGAATGTACATTGACGGTCATAGCTTTAAGGTAGTAACCGATCACTCAAGTCTTCGATGGCTAATGAACCAATCGGATCTAAGCGGTAGATTGGCAAGATGGGCTATCAAGCTACAGGGTTTTTTCTTTCCAAATCGAACATCGCAAAGGAACCGAAAATGTGGTGGCAGATGCTTTGTCTCGATCGTTCGAAGAGATTGACATCTCTGCAATAGACCTTGAAATTTATCCCGAAATTGACCTATCATCAAGCGCTTTTCAATCGGAAGAGTACTCCGCTCTCAGAGACAAATTCAAATCTCTAAAATCACCGGATTTCAAAGTCATAGATGAGTTCATCTATCATCGTGCAACGTTCCCCAATTCCAGTCATCGCCAGTCCATTTTCTCTCTTTATCTATCCCTTTCCCCAACACATATATCCCACACAAACTTGCACACAACTATCCATTCATCTCGGTGACAGGCGACAGGCCCCTTTCTCAAAATAGCCGGCAAACCAAAAGTCTTACAAAACAAGACCCCGTTCTTTGAGGTTGGCAGGCACAGATCGCGGCGATTTGAATTTATTTACATTATAGCAAGAAAGGTCATTAGTCGGGCTATTTGGGGGCCGGACTGCAGCCAGAACTTACCGGAACGGACCCGACACCGCCGGCGCGTAATTTAAGCTGAGGCAGCTCTAGAGGCAGACTCGAAGTCGAAGTCGAACTCGAGTCCAGACCGAAACCGAAACGGAAATCGAATTTCATAAAACGTAATCCAAAAAATACCTTGTCGTCCGATCGCGGCGCCCAGTCAGCGAATGCCATGTGGCTCAATTTTCAATTTGCGTCGGGCACGTTTAAGAGAATCGAAAAACATCAAACCCTTTTGCGTTTGTTACATTTGAATTTCATGAGGCGGCGGCCGCCTAGAAAATATGGAGCGGAAGTAGCGAAAGTCTCTAGCTAGAGATCTGATTGAGACTCATTCAGGTTTTATTCAGAGTTATTGCCCTCAAATCGGTAAGGTACACGGCAGCGCGCAGTCGGAGGATTCAGCTCAAGAGTTGCTTTTACTACTAATCGATATCGCTCATACGCACCGTTGTGCGTATTGCTCGGCATTGTTTGTTGCTTAGTTTTGTGCGTTTTAAATGCCTTTATGTCGTTGATGTTGCTATTTTTGTTGTTGCCATTTTATAAGCATGTTTTTCATTTGCGCAATTTCCTCGTTGCAGTTGCATGAACCCGGAAATAAGTATAATTCGATTTTAATTGTGAATTTTGATATGTATCTTGCAGCAGCCGCTATCCCTTGGAACACTTACGGAACAGAATCGCTTAGCACTTATTTGGCGGGTCGGACAGTGCCAAGGTAAGTCTACGTTTAATTTTCCCAGTGTAAAGTAAGCAGTTTGTAAGCAGTGTGACCAAGCAGTTAGATTAAGAAATTCTCTTTGCACTGCTTAGAATTCTTATCACGATCTGGCACTTTTGGTCGCTCGTGCTATCGTTATCGTTTTATCAGTCGGCATTTTTCTATCGGATAACGGTCAATAGTGAACCTGTTAAATTTGAAATATTGTTCCATGACTCAAAGCAGTTATAATTTAAAGCCTAAACCCTTATATAAATTCTAAAGTTTTTCAAGTTTCTAATTGAATATTAAATATTTTTTTGTACTTCCCAACAGAAAACCTAGGCTAGACCTTAAGTTCAACGGCAGCAACTCCCTGAAGAGGCTCTGCAACTCACCCAAATTACCATCGAGCAGAGCAGCGGTCACTGGCATCGAATCAACCACATCAAACTCACTAACCATTGACAACCAGCTGCTGGACGAGACCAGCGAAACGGATAGGAGCCATCACGAGGTCAAGGTCGAGGACGACATCGAGGCGGAGGCTGCTGCCGAGGCCGATCTGCTGTCCTCGGCGAGCAATAGCGAGCAGGAGATGGAGCCCATCTCCAATCACCATCGGCGTCGGACAGGCCACCATCATCGTCACCACCATCATCCGCACGAGCTGCAGCAGCATCATCACCATCAGCGTCACCACCACAAGCACCACATTATTCCGCACCAGCAAGAGTAGACGATCCTTGATCCCCAAAACTCTCTTTCCATCTCTCATTCTCATCCCTCTTTTTAAAACCATTTCTTGTTTTATATTGTTTAACTTAAGGGCCAATCGACTTAATTAGTTTTTAGTTCAGCGGTTCCCTCCGCCGCATAACCTTATTTAAATTATATATTTTACGATTTAGATTAAGCAATACTTTCATCGAAATTTGTAATAATTTTTAAAATCTCTCTCTTATATTAGAAGCCTGTGATTTAGATGTGGTTGAATTCGCACACACATTTTTATTTTTTGTTTTTTTTTTAATTAAAAAAAAAAAAGTGGAAAAACCCGGAAAACATTTATATACGAATTTAAATAATACTTAAGATTATTGCCAGGGCCATGTGCTGGCACCAGGCAATAAACCAAAATTAATCAATGCCTTATCGAAACATTACAATCCCAGACTTCTGCACAATCCACTCGAAAGCCGGCGGCAGCCCAAGGACGAGCCAGCCGAGTCAAGGCTATTCGATTCTTGGCGAAGTTGCTAAAAGCATTTTTCTTAAAGTTTTGCTATATACATAAGTCACTAGGTTAAACGTGCCTTCCTAAGAGCAGCTCTAAATCTCAAATTCCCCTCTGTAGTAACCCGAAGATTTATGTTTTCGTTTTTAAGATCATCGAACGCGCACAATTTCATCGAGTACTCCATACCATACCCTCACCATACACACACAATCCTAACTAAGTGCATTTGTAAATCGATTGCGAGTATGAATAACATATACAGAATAAAAATATGATTAAAATATGAAAAGAACCTAGTTTTTGCTTGTATAATCCCCAATTTGGATCGACGATAAGATATGTTTCGTTTCCCAAGAACACCGATTAGATATCGTGGTTCAACTTTGCTCCTGCGATTTTCAGCTACTCGCTTATTTATTGGCCAATCAGTGGTGACATCTCCGTAATCACCTGCCACCTTCGGCAGCCTAGACCCTTCTACTGATGGGCGAGAGTGAGGGCCCCTAATCGCAATCAGATTCTGGCTCAAACGTCACCGTTATCGCCGGCAATCTACGAAGAGTTATATGGCACCCCCTGGAAGTTATCTCGCACAAATATCGACATAGAACGCATGCCGAGAGCGGGTTTTAATAACCGGCTGATAAAACACTTACATGTCATTCAAATTGCCTTTGCAGCTGTATTCAGGCGAATTTCAGAGGTACACTGTGAACAAAATTTGGTTAGTTAATACTAGTAATCATTTTTGTAAATCTGCTAAAAATGTATTAAATTTTAGACACAATTTAAAAGAATTTTAATTCCATCGTTTCAATCAAAATTTAAAATATTATGCGAAAATATTTTTAAATTTTATCACTAGGAAAGTTTGTTGTTTACTGCTTTCATAGCGAAAAATAAAACAGAATGTACAAACCACCGGCTGCATTTATCTTCTGAGAAAGAAAACATCCACCTGTGTGTGATCATTAAATTATAAAAATACATATTAAAAATATAATAAATAAATAATAGTAATTAATATTGTGGTTCTGAATTTGAGTTTAATATACGTAAGGGTAGGCATTGCTCTGGAGTAGGGGTGCCCAGGCAAAAGTTTACTATACCAGAGTAAGCAGAGAAAGGAGCCATGCAGAGCATTTCCTGGCTGGAAAGGACAGACAACTCAATTGTAACGCTTCTATCTTTTTCGCTTTAAATTGAATTGTTAATTTTTAATATTGGTTTAATGATTATTTCCCTGTGTGGTTCATTTCAATTAGCGACTTCTATAAAAATTCGCTCTTTATTGTAACAAAATGAAGTTGTGACTTGAAAGTACTCATTGAAGAAATATTAGTAACCATCACTCAGCTTAAAATATAAAAATATTCAGTCAAAAAAATTGAGAAAATTCTTCTTTTCGGAAATATATCCGAAAACTGCAGTATGTCATTCCATTTCATTCCCCTAAAATCTCAAGAAAAATTAGAGCTCGTAAACATTTTTCCAGAGCAAAAACACACTCTACTCTGTATACTCATGCTTTTGCAAAAGCTAACGTAACAATGAAAAAAATGCCTATAAATAAAATGTATTTATGTGCTGCCTAGACAAGGTAACAATTAAAATTCTTAAACGTAAAGTTAGTGAATGAAAAAGTTGAAATTAGGTAAGCAAGTGTACGTTCCTGATATGCCCCTTATCATGAACAGGGTATTGGGGTTCGTTTTTTATAAAACGGCCCGTTGGAGTTGGGCGAATTTAGTCTTACCGCGACTCTCAATCAGAAACGATGGCAGCCGTCCGCAGTTAGCCAGATTTACACACCGCTAAGCAGATGCACTAATAGCTACTTAGTATTCGGATTACGCAGCGAGAGTGACGACGGCTTTGAAAAAACCCGTTTTGTGGCACACACAACAAACCCAATAAAACACTCATTAAGTTCGAAGCGAAAACAAATAATTATAATAAAGGTGAATTAACAGGCAAAACACGAAATCAAGGCAGTATAACTCTGACTCTACATACGAGAAAATGATTTATAGTGATATTTGCACAAGTGAATGAAGCGTACTTTTTACTCTACTTCAAAGTGAATAAAAGAGTCTGGGTGACTACTAAATATAGTGTTTTTATGGCGGGATATTATATGCGTACATACATATATAACCCTGGTTTTTCCAAAAACCAAGCGATTTTAATTTATAGTCGATTAACGTTCACGAGTTCTGGCCAAATGCCATTCAGATAGTGCTATCAACACTCGATTACCCGTAAAAGACCTCCCAACGGGGAAGTTTACTAGCCTGAATGGGATTTACAGCCCAAATATATCACCAAAACCACTTCAACTGGCTTATTTATACCACTTAGGGCGTTACGTTGTTTACAGCCAATTTTCCCAGCACCCTTTAGCATTCGTTTTAATTGCCGGAAACCCGTGAGTGTCAACTTTCCACGTGTTGATCAACGGAAATGTCATTGACATTGCCGAGTACGAATGCCAAGTGCAATAGCCAAGTGCCGATCCACGAGTTTACAAGACGGGGTTTACCGTGGGTTTATCGCTGTTTTCAAGTGGGCACAAGTCGTCCAAGTTGTCGGGTCTTGATTTAGTTGGCCAAAAAGTGACTTATCTTAGGCCGTTAGACACTTGTCATATCAGCCCACTCGATGGTTGAAATCATTTGATACAGATTAGGCTAAGATTACGGTTCCTTTGGTAGACCAACACTGAGAAAAAGCGGAAATGTGGTTATTAAAAACTGAGTAAATCCATGAGAAGTCGATTTTCTCAATGTTCCGGTTGAGGCTAACTCTTTTCTAACATTTCTTATAACTTCTAATTTATAAGCGTTGCAAGTGTTGTTATAGATACATCGGGTAGTCCAAGTTTTTCGGAACGTAAATTTACTGTAGTTACTTGGTCTAAGAAAACGTACCATTAAGGTTTCAAATAATCTAACAAAGGCAAGCTTCTTATTATTTACTTTAAGGTTTACTCTCACTTTACATTTAATAAAAGATATTGTAATTTACAAATTGGGGAAGTACAACTTTTTCGAAACGATAAACTGTATACTTATCATTAAATAGGCCTTTATTTAATTTCAAGTGCAATCAACTCTTAACCGGACATTGGGCAAACTCTGCCTAAACCTATCTTAATGGTTTTAGTTAATCTAACACGCTTTATTTAAAGTTCCGTTTAAAATTACCTCTTAATATACATTTAATAAAACACTAAAGTTTTTCGAAACGATAAACTGACAAGTTCGCATTAGATATACTTTTACTCGACTTAAAGTGAAGGGGAGAAAGACTCACAAAACAATTTTCATTGACAAGGGTTTTTAAAGATACGTAATTTTGTATTTTAGATGACAGACGACGGTTCCAAGGGGATCTTAAACAATGGCTATGAAATGGAACACGTAAGTTTTCCTTAACCCTATGAAATGACTATCATTAAAATTAAATCAATTTCTTCAGAGAGAGCTAGAGATTCTGGACTCTGATCAGTTCAAGGAACTGCCTTTGGATAATGCCAAAAATCCGGTCGAAGAGAAGAGTTATTTGGAAAACAATCCGAAAGTGGCGCGTATTTTGAGGATCTCGATTTATGTACTCATTCACCTGGTTGTTGTGGGCTACTTTTCTTATGCCACCTACCACTATCATGACATCAGTAAGTAAATTCTTATATTATAAACTAGAATGTATATTAAATGATCCCTTTCAAAGCAAATTACGAATGTGGATGGTCAGGATCCACAAATCCGTTGTGCGGCATTAATTTCTGCTCCGGATATGGAATGCTCTTACTCCTGCTGGGCTTCATTTACTTGGGCCTGTTTTACTACTACGTATTCAAGCCCATGGTGGGGCTTAAGCTACACCAGAATTTCCTGAAGCCCATGAGCAAGAAGTGGCACGCTTTTAGCCGGACCAGGTAGGCTAGGTTTTAATTAATTAAATTTTGCTGTTATAATTACCTGTCGTTCTTCTTTTGCAGGGTTATGTCACTGGTCAGCATTGCCATACTCCTGGCCCTTTTGGCCATTTTCGTTTACTTCGAGACCCGCAACGAGCCGCAAAAGCTGATATCCCTGGTGGCGCCCTGCTTCTTTATCCTGTGTGGCTACATCTTCTCTACGAAACGCAATGCCATCCAGTGGCGCATCGTGATTACCGGGATTACGTGCCAGTTCCTGCTCGGCATCTTCTGCATTCGCTGGGAGGTGGGCCGCAAGATCTTCGAGTGTTTAGGGAACAAAGTGGCCACATTCCTTGGATACGCCACCGACGGAGCTCTCTTCGTATTTGGCGAATATCTGGTGGGCGAGGAGGTGTTCGCCTTCGCCATCTTGCCAGTGATCTTCTTCTTCAGCTTCTTCATCTCCATATTGTACTACATGGGTGCGATGCAATGGGTCGTGATCAAGCTGGGCTGGATCCTGCAACAGATCCTGGGCACTACCGTCTGCGAGAGCGTGACGGCGGCGGCCAACATATTCCTGGGCATGTCCGAGAGTCCGCTGCTCATCCGGCCGTATATCAACAAGCTGACCAAGAGCGAGATCCACAGCATTATGGTGTCTGGCTTTGCCACGGTATCGGGTACCGTGCTGGCGGCTTACCTCTCATTCGGTGCCTCGGCCGCCCATTTGATCACCTCCTCGGTGATGGCAGCCCCCGCCACGCTGGCCATCTCCAAGCTGTACATGCCGGAGACGGAAGAGAGTCAAACCACGTCGAAGTCTATAGAGTTGGAGAAGTCGTAAGTGCCATACGGAGCCTCAAGTGTCATTAGTATACTTACATTGTTTTTTGAAAATTCCTTCTTGCAGGCAGGATTCGTCCCTGTTGGATGCCGCATCTAGTGGAGCCAGCAATGCCGTGCCCATTGTCTTGGGAATCATTGCCAACATAGTGGCCTTTGTGGCCTTCATCGCTTTCCTCAATGGTGTGGTTAGCTGGTTTGGGTATCTGGTGGGTCTGGAGGAAATCGACTTCGAATGGATATTCTCCAAGCTCTTCATACCGCTCGTCTGGGCGATGGGAGTACCCAAAGACGACTGTAATATCATTGCCAAGGTGGTGGCCACCAAGACCATAATCAATGAGTTTGTGGCCTACGAGCGTCTGGGCCAGTATATCCTGGACGGTCAAATCACTGTAAGTTATCTAGAGACTGGGGGGAGTGTGCGATATGTATTTTAAATGTATCTTAAATTACAGGCTCGCAGTGCCGGAATTGCCACATTTGCCATCTGCGGCTTCGCCAATCCCAGTTCCTTGGGCATCCTCATTGGATCCCTCAGTGCCATGGCTCCCCATCGTCGTGCCACCATCACCCAAGTGGCCTTCAGAGCCTTTGTCGTTGGCAGCATCGTTTGCTTCGTGTCGGCCAGCTTTGCAGGCATCCTCCTGCAGGAAGATGAAGAGCAGGCCACCTACGCCAGGATCTTTGAGAAGTTGGGTCGGCGGAATGGCACCCTTTTGCTGGCAGGCAGCTTAAAAGCGAGATAACAGAGCCAACTTAGGAAAATAATAAACATATTATTTATTAAATATCAAATGACGGGGTTGGTTTATTTACAGGCTTTGTATTATAAGATTCTTAACACTAATGAGGAAATTCGATCTCTCTCGCTCACACAAAGAGCGTAAGTGTGCGTACAGATCTAGAACGCTGTAGACGTAAAAAAAGGAAAAGGCTCTATAGAAGATCACCATCAAAAACGAAGATTCATATTGCTCTTTACGAGCTGTTTCATATCCTTTTCACTGCGTACTTTGCAGGGGCCACTGTTGTGTACATCCTCTATGGTAAGCGTTTCGGTATATTTGAGTTTCGAATACGATGTGATAGGTGGATAATTATCAAATAGGAACTCCGCCGAATGCTTTTCTCCCGAGACGGAGGAGAAATACAAATTCGTTCGTTTTGACGAGGCTACGGACTTATGAAAATTCTGGAATCTACATACGATTTCAAAGGGTATATATAGGCTTAATTCAAGGTAATATACTGCTCAGATTGGCAATAATTTTTCTATGTAGCTCTTTGTCGGCGGCATCGAAGCTGTCCCTGCTGCATTGTTTTAATTCTAGGGAGCCTTCGTACAGGGCCTGCAGAAGTTTTCTGGGCGTATTTTCTTCCGTTCTTTTACGCTTTAGGCTGGCTTCCGGTTGACACTTATGTTCGACCTGGCGGGAATAGCTTGATTTGCCAAGTTCCTGGCAGGTAGCATCTACAGCGGAGGGTAGGTCTTCACGTTTTCCCACCAAGGCTTCCAACAGGGGCTGCACATCGCCACTGATGGTGTGACGTGCACTGAATGCTCTTAGTTGGGCATCTGTGCTGGACTGGCAAGCGGCGAGGAACTTCTGTCGCTGCCAGTTGGTGCAGCCAATGACTGGAGCGAGGCCCCGCAAGACCAGCAACTGAGTGGCTTGATCCGAAGCTAACACAAGTCTGAAGTACGAACTGATAAAGGTTGAGCCCTTATCAATGGCCATCAGCTGCTTGGCCATTTCAGATGTCCGCTTGAGCCACGAGCCACAGTTGGTCTGACCTAGTTGCGCCAGAATTTCCAGAACTGCTATCTGTGGGCAAAGCGAGGGTTAAATAAGAGTTCGGATAGAGTGGAGCGGATACTAACGATTTCGTAATAATTGGCTATTTCTGTTGGAACATCATATGAAATATCCTCCAGGTGCTTCAGCAGGTGGCGTCCTATTGGATCCCTGGAGCCAGTCACCGCCGACAAATATCGATAGTTTCGGATGCTCAGGCTGGGCAGTTTCTGACGACTCATAATGTGAAAATATTTAAGAAATCTCTGCACGTGCCATTGGCTGGGATTGTGGGAGAACAAGGCATAGGAATTGCTGCACTCATTCCAGAAACGAGCAGCGTGCTCTATGGCCTTGCTGTCCCATCCGTTGTTTACTTCTTTCAAGCTGCAAGTGAACGTTTAGTTGGCATAAATAAACAGATGTGAGAACGCAATTACTAACCGGAAGCACAGCATGAGGACATCGGCGCACGCTTGAGATGAGACTAAATCCTTTTGAAATAGCCCAGCACAGAAATAGTTAAAAAGAATATCATTATCCAGCAAGTACAAGAGACTACCAAAAGCTTCAATTACTCTATCGTAATTCTCCGCATGCACAAAATTAGAGGCATCTGTAAGATTAGTTAACGGTTTACCGAAGTTTATAATTGAGCGTCTTAAAGAAATCTCACCCCTAAACAGGTACTCGAATATTCTTTGCAGTGTTTGGCAAGTATTTGGCGAGACTGCCGTATTGTCCGTGCATACCACAGTGACAAAGCTCAGACAAAGGTTGAAGGAATCCTCACCCGCAACCAGATTATTGATAAAATCCTGAAGAATATATATATTTGTATAGAAATATAACACACACATGTGCGTTTCCTTTACCTCTTGAAAGTCGGGCAAGAAATAAACAAGCTCAAAAAGTTGCATGGTATACGGTTTTACGTAAGTTGATAAGAGTGCAGGAATATCTTTCCCCAAATCATGGCTGTGTGCTCTGAAAAGGGAATTTAGGGATAGGTATATAATTATTTAGTGGCACCCGCTTACGGTTCACTGAATAGTTCCAGGAGGCAAGAACCAACGGCTTCAGAAAAATGCGTCGTGACACCAACTCTGAAAATCTCTTGTATCATTTGCAGGTAAGTTCGTGTAACCTTTAAGTAATCTTCTATCTTCTCCAACGGGATAGCAAGGGTTTCCTGAAAATCACAACTTTATATCAGCTGAAATGAGTAATTAGCTTTTGCTAAAACAAACTTTGTTGTGAACGGTCTCCAAGTGGCTGCAAACTGTGTCACAAAGGTGCACCAGTGTGTCCTTTAGCCACTCGGGCATAGGCTCCGGCTCCGACTCCTTCCTTGGCTGCTGTTTTATTAACTCCAAGTAATGCACGCACATAAAGGTCACTGTCTCGCTGGTCCTTATTGATACCTGCACATGGGTAATCCTTTGTCCAAAATATTCGGCAATGGCAGTCAGTTTTTTTATCACTGAAAAACGTCAGAGGTTAACGAGTGCTAGAAAACTGCACTTTAGTAAAGGAACTTACCGGGAGTAATACGAGTGTTTACAGTTTTGGCTTCAGCTGTGTTATCTCTTAGAAGGGAGAGCACAACCAAATGTAGATCGATGCAGATCTTTAAGGTACTTCTACAGATGAATAAAATATTAACCTAAGATTTGGATTTAAGGGTTTATGTAGCTCACCGATCGCTAGGAAAACTTTTGATCATGGTTAAGAAGAAAAAGGCCGAGCTATGCACTAAACGTTCGCCGCCCCTCAGTAAATGATCCTTATAGACTGTGACAAAGTTAAGAGCCTCGGTCACAATGGCAAGACCATTGTATTTCGGATCAACTGTAACCTGAAGACATTAGGTAAATTAAACGAGTTTAGTGAAAGTAATTATTCAATACTAACCCTTTCCAGCCAGGACCACATTTCCTTGATCGCATTGACGCAGCACACCGCCTCATCCACATATGATCTTAACAACTTACTTAGCCATAAAAGCAAAACATCCTCTAGACTCGCAGAATCGTTTGTCAGAGATTCATTGCAGATCCTGATGGCGGTTTGCACGTCCACCAACATGATGATATCTTCTTGGTCTATAGCCTGCAGCTCGCTGAAGGACACAATTAGAGCATCTACCGACATTTTAAAGGACTTTACAGAATCTATAGTTTTGTGTGTTTATAAAAATATTGCGCCAGCTCGATTAAGTGCTGCCAACTCGGGTACCGATATCAATATTCCAGAACGATATCGATATTTCTTCAATATTCGATAAGAAAAAACAGCTGTGAAAAGTAAACAGCTGCCAACACGTGCACGTTGTTTTCATTCGTTGAATTTCGTTGTATTTTAAAAAATGCAGCGAAAGGAAGTAAATCCCTTCCAGGCACTGGGCCTGCGACCTTGGCTAGTAAAGCAGCTCACCAAGCTAGGTAATGCAAGTCATCACTGGTCCAGCTTCTTTAGCAAAAGTCTAATTATATTTTACTCAACTTTAGGCCTGAAAGGAGCCACTGCCATCCAACAAAACTGTATTCCGGCAATCTTGTCGGGCCAGGATTGCATCGGAGCAGCCAAGACCGGTTCGGGAAAGACCTTTGCCTTTGCACTGCCCATTCTAGAGCGCCTAAGCGAAGAACCCGTGAGCCACTTTGCATTGGTGCTGACGCCCACACACGAGCTGGCCTACCAGATATCCGAGCAGTTCCTGGTGGCCGGACAGGCTATGGGAGTGCGCGTATGCGTGGTTTCCGGTGGCACCGACCAGATGATCGAGAGCCAGAAGCTTATGCAGCGACCGCACATAGTTGTGGCCATGCCGGGTCGTCTGGCAGACCACCTCACCGGCTGCGACACCTTCTCCTTCGACAATCTTAAGTACTTGGTGGTTGATGAGGCCGATCGCATGCTAAATGGTGACTTCGATGAGAGCCTGGCCATCATCGAACGGTGTCTGCCCAAGACCAGGCAAAACTTGTTCTTCTCCGCCACCATGAAGGACTTTATGAAGGAGTCCAGCATATTTCCCATCGCCAAAGATGTAAGTTAGTTTTTAAGGATGTTTTGGACTTCCGTTGACAGACCTTTTCTATGTGCAGTGTATGGAGTGGTCGCAGGACTCCGATGTGGCCACGGTGGACACACTGGATCAGCGCTATCTGCTGTGTGCCGACTATGATCGGGACATGGTGCTGATTGAATCGCTGAGAAAATACCGCGAGGAGAACGAAAATGCCAATGTGATGATCTTCACCAACACAAAAAAGTAGGTGACCATCAGTGGAAAGAAGATATTCCGTGGTAAATACTTCATAAATACTTTCAGATACTGCCAGCTCCTGTCGATGACACTAAAGAGCATGGATATTGACAATGTGTGCCTACACGGCTTTATGCGGCAAAAGGAGCGTGTGGCTGCCCTCAGTCGCTTCAAATCGAACCATATTCGCACACTGATAGCCACAGATGTGGCTGCCCGAGGTCTGGACATACCCAGTGTCCAGTTGGTCATCAATCACATGCTGCCACGCACACCCAAGGAGTACATCCATCGCGTGGGCCGCACAGCAAGGGCCGGACGCAAGGGCATGTCCATTTCCATATTCCGCTTTCCGCGAGACCTTGAGCTGCTGGGCGCCATCGAGGAGGAGATCAACACAAAGCTCACCGAGCATCCTATTGACCGTGAGCTTTCAAACTTAAGTTGACTCAACGTTTTTTGCTAGAGCGCCTTATCCTTTTAGAACGCATGGTGGAGCGAATTTTCATGCAAGTGAATGTGACACGCCGCGAGTCAGAGATGCAGTTGGACAACAATGACTTCGATGAGCGTGCTCAGAACTACAGGCGCAAGACTTGGATAATGGAGGGCAAGGATCCGGATGAAATGGAAGCGCTGTAAGCTCCTCAAAGAACTATGTTCATTGGACCCCCTTAACTTTCTGTATATTAATGCAGCTATCGTAAAAAGCAAAAGGATAAGCTAAAGGAAATACGACGGAAACGGAAGCAGCAGCAGGCCGAGGCCGCAGCTAGCGAAGAGGGAAAGGCACTACTTCAGGATGAGCGATTCAAGTCTGTGGACAGTGCTCGCTTTGAGAAGAAGAGCAAAGGACGAAGTCAAACGCCGAGAGCTGAGACCGAAAAGAAGCCACTGAAGCGGCTCAACAAAGGCAAACCCAGTGCCCAAAAGGTCAAGACAAAACAGAGAACAAAAGTTCAGGGAAAGATGAAAAAGTGATTGTTAAATATACGTTTATGTTATAGCAAAACAACTTTTGAGCTTACACCGCATTATGCGCCTATGACACGGCATAAAATTTGCTGTTAAACCGATCAACTTTTTAATGCAGTGTCACACCTGCCGCTTAAGTAATTGCAAAATGCATACTAAAATAATTTCAAAAATTCAGACATGCTAGCTAGGGCTAGAAAACAAGGCACTTGGGACGCATCACTGTACACATCGGTCGTTAGTCTAGGGCGATGGTCAGCAGGGCATCCTCGGGATGGACCTCCAGCAGGGCCTTTGCGCCGTCGTTGAAGGGATACATAATGCTGCCATCTATAACCAGGTCTGGAAAAGTGAAATTATATATTAATTCTTGTAAGGGAAGACTTTTCTCTCTGTGAAACTCACTGGCATCGAGGCAATGCGACTTGACGAACACACTCTGGCCAAAGTCGCGCTCCTTGAAGGTCTTCGGCATGGGCCAAACTCCCACGCAAATTTGCTCCCGGACCGAGTAACAGAGCCGCGGATCGTCGGGTGCGAAGAGCAGGTTGCGGTTATACTGCTGGGCAATCTCCTCCGAGCTCGCCAGCAGTGTCGACAAATCCGGCAAACTACTGTTTGGCAGTGATTTCAAAAGATCCTCCACACATCGGCTGGTAATGCGATTGATGCTTGTGTGCCAGGACGTTGAGCCCGTGCCGGTGCTGACACAGAGCCCTGAACACTTTGTCTTGTTCACCACATCCTGGTGGTCCAGCACCAGTTGCAGGTGGGAAACTCGGGCTGAGAGGTGTTCCCCAATGAAGACCTATGAACAACACGGTTGAAATTAAAAAACCTTTTGCTTCCTTCTGGGATATCGTAAGAAATACCTCATTGAGAGCCAAGTAGGGAAGAACACGTTTCATTCTGGCCTTATACTTGCGGGCCATGTTCTGGTCCAGCAGTTCAGGCTTGGTAGTCACCTGCTCCATTTTAACCTCAATATGCCGAAAGAGGTCTGTTGATTCGGGGATCTCACCGTTGTTTCCCAGAAACGTGGTGCGAACCCTCGAGCGATGCATCCACTTGAAGTCGCCCTGTTGGGGATTCCAATATGTTCTATAAATATTTTAATTACCTTCAAGAACCAGGAACTTACACTTTTAATGCGTGCCACGGCATCGGCTGGATTGTCCGAATAGTGTTTGGGGAGCATGAGCCGCCCCTCCGAGTGCAGCGGATCCGAATTGAAGCCCACAATCGGTGTCTTCTGCTGGCTTAGCGCGAAAAGCGGACTAGCACGGCCGGCGGATAGAAGGAACGTGCCATCGCCGCCCACCGGCACGATGACGTCCGCCCATCTCATGACATCCTTGCTCAACGAGCTTCTAAATTCAAGTCTGCTCGTTTAGTAAAGTCAACACAACGGCGGAGATACGCAAGAGTGTGAGGAGTGGTGAAGATCAATTGTAGCGGATAGTAGTCACAGATCGGAGATACATATAAAGTATAGTATGTGAATGTGACGGGGCGCTAGGACTAGCATACAACACAAAATATGGGAAGATCAGTGATGGGAGGACCTTAAGATCAAGTCAGTCTTGCAAATAAATATGTATTATACTTATATTATTTCTATAATGAAGATTTTTTAAATATAAATCATAAATTCTGTTGCTAAGAGCCAAAAAATGAAGCCTGCTGCACTTGACTTCTGACAAAGTATCTGTGATAGCCATCTCGATTTCCGTGGATTAACCGAAATTGATCTCAAATAACCCTAACGATACCATACCCTATACCCTTCCCATCACTGTTGAGGTGTACGCAATGAATATGGGTGTGTACGCACCTGCTGGCCATCTTCACCTCACAACCCACGTCCTGAAAGCTCTGCACGACCCGCTTCTCAAAGTCCTTGTGCAGATTGTGAAGGTACAGAATCATCTCGACGTCGGTACCACGGTCCCGCAGCTTCTTCTCCAGTTGCTCCCGCGAGAGCTGTGGATTTCGCTGCTGTTCGAACTCATAGCGCGATAACTTGGTGACCACCAGGGCTCGTTTCAGCTTAAAGTTGGTAGGCGTAAAGTTGGCATACTCTGAAAAGGCAGAAACGCAGGGATTTAGTTAGTCCGATCCTTGTGATGCCCCGGTGGCAGGCAATTTACTCAACCCCTTTGATAGAAACCTTCTGGAGCCCATAACTATTATTACGCCAACAAAAAAACAATCAAAATCGATTGGAATCACCCGGAACGGCTGATGACTTCTGTCATTTTAATGGAAAATTCCATTTTATCTGGGATATACAGATAGTTAGTAGCTATTACAGTATTTCAAAAGAAGGGTAGAAACAGCCTCTACATCTTCAATTGATATTTAAATAGCAATATCATCACAACTTTTCATTTGTGAACTTTCAGGGAATAAAACCGGAACAATATGCACCATCACAGTTCAAGGTCCAATCATATATGGACAAAAACATATTCAGTCCCAGCACTGTATCCTGAGAAAGTTCATCACGACAAAGAATTTGGCGAATAAAGTATTTACTGATTATCTACGGCTTGGTCGTCAGCGACGACGATTAAGGCCTGTCAAGGCGAGCCTACGAGATGGTGATATAGTATTATGTTTATTCCCGCACATGCCGAATGCTGATAACAAAAGCGGCAACGAAAACACAGATAGGTGGCAGGTGATGTGTGTAATGAGTGTACATATCGCTGAAATTGCGCCTTCCCTCCGACGATCCTTATCCCTTACCTTTGGCAAATTGCTGCAGCAACTTCTTCGACTTCAACATACTGGGCACTAATGGCACAGACGAACAACGCACATTTATGGAACTTAATCTTTTATTTCATATATTATTATTCCGAGTCGGTGGATTTACTAAGCTCTACAGGTAACTAAATGAGATTATTCTCTGCTGCGATATTTGGCCTTTAAACCAATTAAAAATTAACAAATTAGATTGCCCTCAGTTAGGCGTTGTCCTACATTCGACAAGGCACATACATATGCGTACATATGTCTAATAAGTTGAGGTTAACGTTTAGAACGATCCGGAGTTACGGTCACTGCTCACTATATCCCGCTAGTCGTTCGTTCCCGTCCAGCATTTTTTCGCGTCCACGCTCCGACTGCTTCGCAGATTAACTGATTGAATACTACTCTATATTCCTCTTCGGTGTTCCTCCATCGGCACCTCGCTTATGTATGAAAATTCGCCTTCGCTGTAAAATTATCGCCGTTTGTTTCTATTTTCGTCCGCTTTCGCTTCTCACATCTCGCCCGTCCGTGCGTACTTTTTGTTGTGCATTGCTGATAAGCGGCACAGCCTGTCTTATCAGCCGAAATATGTATTGTATGGATAAGAAGCTCCCTCCGTCTCCGTCGACAACTAAATTCAATCGGTGCCATTCACAGCCCTCGACACATTCTTCTTCTTGCCTCGCGGCGTCGACGCGCAATTCACACACACAAGTGGTGCTTACCGCCAAAACTAAACAGAATTTAAACGCGTATCTTAAACTAACTTAAAACTTGAAGTATTTGGCTGTCTAGTTAAAGCCCTCCGGTTGGTCGTATATATGGGACTGCCCTCCGGCTGCATTTCCCGATTTCTTACTCTGGAATGGATAAGTATTAGGAATTAGCTAAAAACAGATGGGGTCATCTTACCTTAAAATACTCGGGAGTTTCTTGAGTGTCGATATTGCTCACTGTCGTCATCATCAAACTCACATGGCGCGCCACCTGCTGGACGGTGTAATTGTTTAATTCCACTTGGTGGCCCGGATTTGGCTGAGTGTTAAGCTGAGCTTGAGCACCATTGCCAGCGTTCAACGATGGCCCTGGAGTTTCGAAGCTCACGTACGATTGATTAGGGACGCGGCTAACGGCCAGATTGGCGACCGAGTCTATCATCGAGGTGACGGTGCTTGAGTAGAACATATCCGGGGGATTCTGTGGAATAGTCTGCAAATTATTCGTATGATTCATTAGTACGTTGGGTGGCTGATCCACAGTATTGTCCCTGAAGGAGTTATATGCATAGCGCATATGTTCCTGCATCATGAAGCGTGCCTGCTGTTGTTGCTGGTTTTGGTTAGCACCCAGGTGATGAATGGTGTTTCCATTGTTCTTGCGGGGCTTCTGGTTTCCATTTCGCTTGTTCCAGCGGTTTTTGAAATTGAGTCGGGACTTGACGTTGCTCTTTTGGCCAACATTGGGGCGCGCAGTGTTGGCGTTGGGACGGCGGCCCTGGACGGAGTTGGAACTCTCGCTCTGCCACGACGTTGACTCGTCGCAGTAGGTCTTATTAAAGTCATCCATCTCGTAGTTCATTTGACTCACGTTCGATTTAAAATCGCTGTCGGCGCTGCAGTTCAGTGAGTTCTCCAATGACGCGCTTGTTCCAACACGCTCCTCGTCATCGTCGCTATCGCCATCTTCGTCCTTGTAGGAGCGCACGTTACCAGGCTGGCGGTGGCCAACCTGCCGTTGCTCTGCCTGCCTGGTCTGACCCTCTTGGGTGGGGCCTGCCTGATTACTATGTGTGTGGAATCTCGCTCCAGGGTAACTCGGCGGTATAAGCGGTTTCGGATGAACACAGTTTTTCCAGTATTCATCTGTAGGGTCGGAAAACACATTTAGACGGGCTTTTGCTTGTATAAGAACCTGCAAACCCACCCAGTGGCAAAATTGCCCCGACGGCGTTAAAGGATGTCATCGTTGTATCCAAGTTTTATGCCTTTTTAATCAATTAAACCAGAATCTCCGAATTAAAACTCTCTCCACATGAAAAAAGAACAGTTAGAATTGTCGCGCTGATTAGTGCTGGGTCGGCGAATATTATCGATACATCGTGGGCGGCGTTAGCTTTTTTAGCGGGATCAAGCGGCCTCAAAGACATTACAATTCCTGCATAATTCAAGCAGATGTAAATTAGCAACTATAAAAACAAACTTAAAATATTTATTTATATTATTAATTATTTTGAAGATTTACAGTACTTTGACAAAAATTAATAAATACAGCCTGGACATTCCCTTAACGTCTGAATTACTAATAGTATCGAGATGTATCGCTATACTTAGCCGATATTTTCAACCTCGGAGTCCCCTAAATGATTGATAATATCGCATAAAAAAATTTTAGTTGTCGATATTTTCAGTCATTCAGTCGTCAAGAAAAATAAACTAAAATGCTGAATTGCCAATGTTTTTGATATTTTAAAATATTAAAAATATTAATATTAATTATAAATTCCGGAATTCGGTTTTGTGAATTCTAAGGACTGAACCAGTAAAAAAATTAATTTTGTTTAAAATAATAAATGTCATATTTTCAAAGAACACCAAAAAGCTCATATTTAAATATCGAAATATAAAATTGAAAAAACCATAAACGGTATTCTTTTGTGCAGGTCCAAGTATTTTTGTTTCGATATATCGGTATGGAAGAAAAATAGATAGTTCGATACATCGATATTCTTTACATTTCTCATCTCTTTTGCAGCCAACTTCACTTCTGTCACTTTTTCGAAAAACGTGGAGCGAGTTCGTTCCCAAAATTAGACAGAACTGAAAATGTAAGTATATACTGTATAGAATCACTTAAGAATAGCCGGAGATTGCAGCGATTATAACTGCGAATAGAGTTCGATTGGCTTGTTTGCAGAACTCAATGTTGCAAGATTAAGTTGTGGTGTGCAGGGCAATCTTCTTTACCGATTGCGGCTCGTTTGCTATCACGTGGTTCTGTCAGGATGCCCTGCACCTTCGACAAATTGTTAAAAAGTAAAACCAGTGCTAAAAGATGCTTTTGGTTATGTTTCAGGTGATGCAGACGTCTCGGTGTGCTGTGTCTATGTACCGGCAATATGTGAAATAGTAAGTTAAATATATTAATTAATATTAATTCCTACGGGCGAACACGAGTCGCTGGTGTAAAGAAACTCAACTTTAGCTAGTGCTTTTTTACTTGTTCGCAGACAAAAGTACTTTGCCCAAGCATAACCCAAATTCGAAATACCTGAATTTGCGGTGCATATTTTTTCGTAAAGTCGACATTTGAAAATCCTATAAATACGTGTTTCCCCTTGTTTATGGAGTTACTCATGTACACATTTCTTTTTGCAGAAACAAAATGGAGGGTCTTTCCCGAACACGTGTCTCAGGAAAATGTACTTCTCTGAAGGTTTGTATACAAATAAGATTTTCCTAAAAGTGATGAATGAAACTTTCACCATCTTTCGACTGAAAAATGTATTGATGTTATATAAGTTTTCACTGATTTTTTTTTTTCCATTTTAAGTTGTCATTTTAAGACAATATACATTTCTTAGAAGTGCCTTTTATCTTTTTTACTTTTATACTTTTAGGGATAAAACATTGGAGATGTCAACTTGTATTGCTTCTTGGAACAATATTAAAAAAAAGGTATGTATTTTTAGTTTAGACTAAAAGACATCTGGCAGCAGCACTTGTGATGAATTAAACTTTCACCATCTTTCGACTGAAAAAAATTTATTGATGCTATATAAGTTTTCACTGACTGTGCTGCCAATGCTCTAAAGTATTGTCTTTCCAAAAAATAACTGTATAAATATACATATAATCGATTATTTTTCATTTCAGTTCAAGCAAGTAAACTCGCGAGATGATTAAAAAAAATCCCATAAATTGATCAAATAAGGTAATTATTCTTATAAAACCAAATAATATAGCATTACTTTGTCATTCGATGATGATCTATTATTCTATTTTCTGACATCTCTAATGAACCGTTGTGATTCAAAACAGTTATAATTATTTACTGAAGTTTTCCAATATAATTATAGTATTATTTTTGTGATGGTCAAAACTGACGAGTATTTTTTATTTTGCAGATCTCTTGAGGATTTAACTGGGAATGACATGTTTCGATGAACTTATTAAAAGAAAAGGTAATTTACTGTATAATTTAAAATACACATAGAAATCCAATGATGCTTATAAATTTTCTGACATCTCTAATGAACCGTTGTGATTCAAACTTTTTAAATATTTAATTTACTGATGCTTTCAAGAGGTTTAAGAAATATTTTACATTGATTTAGCTAATTTGTGGTCTCTTATTTTTTCCAGGGGTTCGAAATATAGAGGAAACCGAATATCGTGCCTTATCCGATTGGACATTCTAAGGTTAGTACTAATTTCTTTGATTTCCTTTGATTACGACTCGATGATGATCACTTAAACCATTCACAGACACCATATAAAAGTCAAGCGCTGACAAGCTTCTTCAATATTCTTTTGGAGATAGGGAGTCTTGCTTGGCCGGTTATGGGCCCTGGTTAAAAACTTGGCACTGAGCCTTACCATCTTTTATGAATTTACCAATCATTCTTGGCTAGTTTACTTATTATTCTTTGTTCTGTTTTTTGCAGATATGACCTGGAAGTCTCAAGCCGCAGCTTTACTTCAATTCCCAAAACACTTTAAATAAAAATTACTTTTCAAATGTTAAAAATCGTTTTTTACTAAATTTGCACGCTCTCGAAGTGCCAATTCCTGGTCTTGCTTGGCGATCATTCGATCGCCCTTGGACTTCTTGCCTATGCCCAGCTTGGGCAGGCCGCGGTTCAAGCCTTCGAGGAGAACGCACGCCTTGCACGGCTGCTGCGAGGAGACGAAACTGCACCGAGTGCATATGCCGCGCACTGGCTTTTTGACGGTGTCCTTAAACCGCAGCTGCTCGCCAGAGTAAATGATGTCCATTATGACAGCGGGCCGCACCTTTTCCAGATCCTTGAGGAAGGCTCGTGCATGGCCGCGATAAGCGTTGGGGGCAAAGACGCACTCCGTCGAGAAATACACCAACTTCTTGTAGTGTGCGTACATCACGATCTCTTTTTCGTAGCTGTACTTGAGTGGCTTCACCCGGGGTATGGAGTCCTCTCCGCCGCCGGTCCGAATGTCGGTGCAACGCCTTAGGCGAGCGGTGTCCCCACGAAGCACGTTCATCAGCACAGTCTCGGCGATATCGTCGGCATTATGGCCGGTGGCTATGCTGTCCACACCCAGCAGCTTGGCCCCGCGATCCAGTGCCTGTCGCCGAAAGACCCCACAAAACGTGCAGTTGTTTGAGCGCCCGATCTGCGCCACAATCCGGTCCATCGTCCAGCCGTACAACTCCTCGTAGGAGATGATCTTTAGGGGCATCTGATAGTCGTCACGGTTCTGCTTGACAGTCTCCAGGCTGTCGTCCCGATATCCAGTGATGCCTTCATCTATAGAAAGCAGCACCAACTCCAGGCCGTAGTCATGGCGTTCATTTAGCAATTTCAAGCTGAAACAAAAGGGATTAAGACGATTAAAAGGGTGAGGGATACGGTAATCTGGTTACCTACACATGCGCCAAGACTGTGGAATCCTTGCCTCCACTAGCAGCCACGGCAACCTTCTCGCCTCGCCGAAATAAGTTGCTGGAGGAGATCGTGTGATGAATCTCCGCCTCGAAGGCGGCGAAGAAACACTCTTTACACAGCGCATCGCCAGTTTTGGGACGCTATGGACAACATATGCAATTACGAGGAGATGTTTAGTTTGGGATATAGTCAAGGACTCACCTTTAAGGCAGCTCGATTGCCACACTGGGATTTGCAGTTTATGGGCATTTTAAATCACATTTATTTCACAATTTATTTATTGTGGCCAGTTCCATCTGTTTTCGGCCCCTTTCAACACTGATTTTCCGCACACATTTTGCAGCACTAAAACGAACAATTTGTAAAAACTAAACGCATAAACATAACACGCAATGAGTGCCGGAAAGGAGCTGAAGGCCCTGCTAAAGGACATTCGGGAGACTATCAAGCTGGGCAAGCATGCTGAAGCCATACCCAAGTGTCAGGTGACTTCTCCGGTGCAGGATATCTTATATTTTCGCCTTACAACAGTGATCATTGCAGCGCCTACTAAAAGAGGACCCGAAAAATGCAATGGGCTACCTGTTGCTAGGCGCTGCCTTCCAAAATCTGGACAAAGCTGAGGCGGCCAAGAACCTACGAAAATGCATCGAGTACACGGAAGGTCCGCCCACTGCGGCGCTCCTGGGATTGGCCAATTGCGCGCCCAGCGGAGAGCTACCGGAGATCTATGATCAGCTGGCGGATCTGCAACCGTAAGGAGTAGTCGAAATACAAAAGCTGTATTTTATCTTCAAATTGTAGGGAACAGTCGCTCGACTTTTTGGAGAAGCTTTTTACCCTGGCATCCGATGCGAGTGTGGCCCCAGCTTGCTTTGCCGTACTGAAGAAGAGATCCCAGAACGCAGAGGACAAGAATTATGCTAAAATCCAGGAATATCTGGGTCGCATTTGGTTCGCAAATGATTTCGAAATCAGCCCAGAGGATAAGACACTAGTAAGGCACAACTATTTTAATATTATAAAAGAAAAATCCTACATTATTTCTATCCCAAGTACAAAGCAACGATGGAAGCCCTGCTGATTACTTCGGAACCAAGTGCGCAGAGCGTCGTGTACAAGCGCTACCTGAAATGGCTGTACAAGGAGAAAGATTACACGTCCTGTGTCCGCCACGCCTGCAACATGACCGCCTCCCATCCCAAGGACGTATACGGGTACGAGTGGATATGCAAGACGTACTGCGAAAACCACGACAAACCCAACAGCGATCTGTGGCAGCCGGAACTGAAGCATCCCATCCAGGTGTACGCCGAGCAGTTGCTGGAACTTAATCCAAACTCCAATTTGGCTCTTCTCATCCGGGCCCTGGATCTCTTTGCTGAGGGGCAATTCGTTTCCGCCAGACAGTTGGTACTGCGGGCCCAGCAAAGTCATCCCACCTACAAGGAGACCTTAGATTTGCTGGCGCGCATTCACATGGAGCTGGGAGCCTATAAGTTAGCCGCGCAGCTTTGGCAGGAACTTGGCCAGGAGCACGGAGACTATGCCGAGTGCTTATCCCATGAAATGGATTCTGCCAAACTAAACGAAGCGGTTAGGCTCCTGCAAACACTCGAAAAGACCGAAGGAAATGTTAAAGTTTTGGCACGGTAATTTTGTAGGATTTTTCTGGTTACAGATTGAGCAGAAATTATTGACCAATTTCCCTTGCAGTTGCTACTTTAAGCTTGGTGAGAAGCAACTACTGAAGGATTTGCCCTTGGATGAAGTCTCCAAGGCAGAATTTCTTTTGTAAGTAAGGACCAGTAACCGTATAGCCATCTTACAGCTCTTTTCTGTAGATCCCCCACCGAAGCTCTTCAGGCAATTGGCAGCCACGAGTCCTTTGACGCCCTTTTGCTCTGTGGCAAGCTGCACATGCAGCTGAAGAACTACACGGACGCCCTGAACAGTATACTGAAGGCCACTCGACTGCGTCCTCACTTTGCCGAGTGCTTCGACTATCTGGGCAGGCTGTATCCGCTGGCCACAGGCGACTTGGCTCGGGCTCGCAAGTGCTACGAGAAGTGCATTAGCCTCAACGGCCTAGCTGAGGAGGCGGTGGATGCCCTGAGCTTTATCTACCAGGAGCTGGGCGAGGAGGAGCTGAACGAGACGTTACTGCTGAATACGCTACGGCACCTAAGCACTGACGAGTCCATTCGCCTGCAGTATAAATTGGGACTGCACTTCCTGCAAGTAAAAAAGTGGGATAATGTAAGGCATTAGCTAATGATCTCAGAAGCCCAGTATTATAATCCCTATATTGCAGGCAATCCAATGCTTTCGCATTGCCATCAAGCACGACTCTCGGTGCATGGTCTACTGGGAGTCGCTGGGCGATGCCTACGCGGCGCGTGGTTCCTTCAACTCGGCCATTCGGGTCTTCCAGAAAATCCTCGAGCTTACCCCGGACAACAGCTATGCCCTGCTTCAGATAGCCTCCATCAAAACGGTGCGGATGAAGCAAAATACAAATCGGAACTATTTATTTAAATTTGTATTCCAACTTACAGACCATTCGCATGTATGCCGAGGCCATTGAAGACTTCGACACGCTTCTGAAAGGCAATCCTAGCTACCTGCCGGGTCTGCGAGGCGCTGCGGAGGCCCACATGGGTATGGCCAACAGTCTAAAGACTCAGAACTTGTACGGCCGGGCCAAGCAGCATTTTCAGCTGGCAGTGGTACATCTTCAAAGGTTGGTCTTGCATCTCATCCTCAGTCAATCCGTATAGAAATGTATTTTTCAGCGCTTTCCTCCTGCCGGATGCACAGGGCATGGTCTGGCTGTGGCGTCTCATGGCTAGCGTGTTCGTTCAGACAGCCCAACTACCTCAATCCTTGGCCAACCTGGATGTGGCCGGCACTCTGGCCAAGCGTGAGGAATCCATTGCCTATCTTTCTCGCAAGGACCTCCTGCTGTTGGCCCAGCGCTTCTATCTGTGCGCCTTGAAGCTAAAGCAGAACACCTACTTGTGGTACGAATTGGCGCTGGCCTGTTACCACAGTGCCATCTTCATTCCCGAGGAGGCCAAGAGCCATTTGGAGACCGCGGAAAAGGTGTGCAAGATGGCCATCAAAGAGCGCGGCAATCGGTGGCAGAATTGGAATCTACTCGGTGTAATCAACATGCATGCGGAGCACGAGAATCTGCCGCAGGCCCAGCACTGTTTCATCCAGGCGGTGGAGCTGGAAAGGAAATGTTACACTGCCTGGACCAATCTCGGGGTACTGTACGTTAAGTTGGGGCAAGTGAGAATGGCCAACGAAGCTTTTACCAGGGCCCAGCAGTCCAGTCCCATATATGCCAATGCCTGGATAGGCCAGGCCATGGTGGCAGAGACAATTGGGGACCGGGAAGAGGCTTTCGATCTTTTCCGGCATTGCCAGCAATTTGAATACCACCCGGAGGCGGCACTGGGATTCGCTCACTGGGTGTGCGAGGTTCTCACGGATCCGGACTCTCGGACCAAGCCGCACATCCGGCATGCAATCGAACACATGTACGCGGACGTTTACGCTCTGGACGCCATCAACTGGTACGTGCAAAACGAGGAGGCGGATGCCAGCATTGCATCACTTACGTTCCAGGGATTTCTGTGCGCCCGCCAAAAGCTTTACGTTCAAGCAGTTGAGGCCTTTACCCGTGCCTGCAAACTGTGCGAGCCTGGAGCTGATCGGGACAAGCTGTATACCAATCTGGGTTACCTTTATCTGAAACTAGACCAGCCGGATCAGGCGGTGAACGCCCTGAACACAGTGGCCCATGCCACTTTCAAGCCGATAATAGGTCTGGCCCAGGCATACTACCGCTCCGGACAGCTGCAGGAGTCCTACTCGATCTACAACACAGTGCTGGGCAACGTTGTGGGTCAAGATGATGACAAGGCGGCCACCATCCTGGTGGCCATGGCCTCTATGATTTACGCATTCCAGGGCGAGGCGGACACCAAGACCCTGCTCTACCAGTGGTGGGTACCATACTTTCTGTGCATTTAGTTGTGTATTTTATTAATCTATGTTTTCTTCAGTGTCCTGCTGAAGGGAGTGCCGATCCAGGCGCTGTATTCATCCTACGCTTTGGGCATACTTCACCGGGACAATGAGTTGAGCCGGACGATAATGACGGAGCTGAGTGCGTACGCTTTCAAAGAGGAGTATTGCGCGGATGTGTCCTACCTAACCGCTCACTATATCCTGATAAATGTAAGCTCACCCGCTGGTGCTTCTTTTATGTTTCTCAACCAAAGGATTCTTTCAGGAAGGAGCCCGGAAGGCATTGTCTTATCTGCAGACCCGTGTCCGCATGTTTCCCCATTCTTCGGGTCTCCGCAAGTTGTTCCTCAAGTTTTTACTTGACTATTTCGTCGAAGATCAGTTATACCAAGTTGCCACCTCAAATACGGCTTTAATGGCCCTTAAGCTGCGCCACACCAATCTGCAGAATAGGTAAGACATCGGTTTCTGTTAAGTACGGTTTTCAAAGATTAAATTACATGTCGTTTTCTAGCATAACGGCCAGTGAGGAGGCTGAGACTACCATCTATGCCAGCCAGGCGGTTAGTTCAGTGGACAAGACCTGCTCCCTGAAGTTGGTGCAGCGCGCCATCCGCTTGAATCCCACAGACAGGAAAGCCAGACAATTACTCTTCTCCATTGCGGCCCATTAAATATATAAGGTTTTAATAAAATGAAATAAAAATACACAAAAATACAAGTTAAAAAAAAAATAATAATAATAAAAAATTTAAAAAGTAGAAGAAAGTAGTGCTGAAAAGCGCCTAAAGTTCGTAATTGTGCAGTGTTGCGAAACTTTGATTACCAGTGTGACCAAAGTATTCGACACGGCCACACTGCATCGGGGGTGAAGCCAAGTCGACGAGAAAGAAAAGCCAACAAAAAGAAAAATATGTGTGTGAAATAGTGAAAATCCGAAATAAATAGCAGCGGTAGCGATCGAAAGAGACAATGTGCCGAACCGTTGGCCAGAAATACTGCCTCAAATCGCTGTAAGAGCAGCGGAGCACCCGATGCGTGTGCACCGCCCTGCATACCTGCATATGAAAACCTGCTGCCACGGCCGTAATTACAGTTAGACACTAAAATAGCAGCACGGCCAGGTTGCGACTTGTGGTAGATTGGGAGTAGGGAGAAGGGGGAACCTAAGCGGGGATTTACCCACGCACGCTCGCCAACTGCAATGGAAAACGAATCCGTCAAGTCGGAACACAGTGGACGCTCCAGACGCTCGCGGAATCACAACAACAACGGCGGAGGGGGAGGAGGCGGTGGTGGTGGTGGTGGTGGTGGTGGAGGAGGAGGAGGCAGCGTAAACAACGGCTACCATAGGGAACGCGACCGATCGCGTCACTCGCACCGCAGCACGCACTCGTCCAAATCCGGAAAGGGATTCCAGCGCGGCGACATGGCGCCGTATCAGACCAGCGTAAACATGACAGGTTAGTGTTATGATTTTGATTCTGTAATGCAGTCAACTTACCAGATATCTATTTACCAGATGACAGCCGCGATGGCCAGGAGGTCATTGAGGTGCAAATCCTGCCGCAGGACGAGAACTGGGGTGAGAATACCACCGCCGTCACGGGCAACACCTCCGAGCAGAGCATATCAATGGAGGACATCAACAATATGTGGCACCGTGAGAACGATAAGGGCTTTGGTTTCGCCTGCCGCCGCTACGTAGAGTCTAGCTTCTACTTTCTTCTCGGCTGCGCAGCCTTCTTTTCGCCGGTGGCCATGGTGGTAATGCCTCACGTGGGCTTCTTCCCATCGGCCTTCGATCATTCGGAACTGACGCAAACGGTGCGCACCCAGCTTTTGGCTTGCAGCGAGCAGTGCAAAGGCCAGCTAGTGTCGCTGGCAGCCCGATTGCTCCTACTGGCCATCGGCCTGTGGGCGGTGTTCATGCGACGCACCTCGGCCAGCATGCCGCGGATTTTCCTGTACCGCGCTTTAGTGCTCATGCTTGTCACCATCTGCACTTTCGCCTACTGGCTCTTCTACATCGTGCAGGTCACGAACGTTGCCAAGATCGTGGTGGAGACTGGCGGTGATCGCGTCGACTACAAGTCGCTGGTGGGCTATGCCACCAACTTTGTGGACACGCTCCTGTTCATCCACTATGTGGCCGTGGTATTGCTGGAGCTGCGCCATCAGCAGCCCTCCTACTACGTGAAGGTCATCCGCTCGCCGGACGGAGTGTCGCGCTCGTATATGCTGGGCCAGCTGAGCATTCAACGGGCGGCCGTGTGGGTGCTGCAGCACTACTACGTGGACTTCCCCATCTTTAACCCGTACCTGGAGCGCATACCCATCTCCGTCTCCAAGTCGCAGCGCAACAAGATATCGAACAGTTTTAAGTACTATGAGGTGGACGGAGTGAGCAACTCGCAGCAACAGAGTCAGAGCCGCGCCGTGCTGGCGGCCAATGCCCGTAGACGGGACTCGTCGCACAACGAGCGATTCTACGAGGAGCACGAGTACGAGAGGCGCGTGAAGAAGCGCCGAGCTCGCCTCATTACCGCCGCCGAGGAGGCCTTCACCCACATCAAGCGCATCCACAACGAACCAGCACCGGCACTGCCGCTCGATCCGCAGGAGGCTGCATCCGCCGTGTTTCCTTCAATGGCCAGGGCCCTGCAGAAGTACTTGAGGGTGACCCGTCAGCAGCCACGGCACACCTTTGAGAGCATCTTGAAGCACTTGGCGCACTGCCTGAAGCACGATCTGTCGCCGCGTGCCTTCCTGGAACCATATCTGACCGAGTCGCCAGTGATGCAGAGCGAAAAGGAGCGCCGCTGGGTGCAGTCATGGTCGCTGATCTGCGACGAGATTGTCTCTCGGCCTATTAGCAACGAGTGCACGTTCCAGCTGATCCAGAACGATGTCTCCCTTATGGTCACCGTCCATAAGCTGCCGCACTTCAACCTGGCCGAAGAGGTGGTGGATCCCAAGAGCAACAAGTTTGTGCTCAAGCTGAACTCGGAGACCTCCGTATGACACCACCACCAGCAGCACCAGCACAATGGTCCGCCGATAATAACGCCCACGCACAGCAACCAGACGCAGTCGTCCTATCTGCATGTGTTTGTCTGATGACCCAGTGTTTTCCTCTTCCCACATTTCCAATCCCATCCTCCCATTTATCAATATTTGTTTTTAAACATTTTTCCAGTTTGATTTAGGTTTTATTTTCGATTTTCAAGGTTCTTATACATCAAAATCAATCAAATTTCACAATCAAAATACATTTTGTAATCAAAAAAGCTGAGGAAACTATAGTTTTATACATCTAGAAATCGAAAATATTGTGTAAAATGAAAAAATCCTAAGAGGCCCCCTTGCTCGTTTCCACACGAAACAAGATTATCAGTACTTATCAGCTATAAACTTGAACTTATTGCCAGTATATCAATGCTCAAAAGCCCAGTGTATCATCCTAGGCCTCGACTCGAACACATATCACACGTCCCCTTGATAAGCAACCATGACTTAAAAGTTCCCAAAGTATTAATTATAAGAATGACGATCACACAGATATCAAACTCTTCAATGCAGCTCTTTTATACAAGTTTTTAATTTAGGAAATATATATTATACGTAGGGTAAAGTTGAGCTTAATCGTTTCGAAAAATTCCAAATTTTTAACCGTGAATATTCGTCACGTTTAAGCCCCATCAGCGGAGAGAAAGATATATTCCAGATGGAATTTTTAGATAGGACTGGGACTTGCGCCAACAGTGGAGGTAGCAGTGGCATCTTCCACTCTTGGCGCGACTCGATAGGATTTTACAGACGCAAAACAGCGGATTTATGAACCCGAAAACTAACTCTCATCTGCCAGAAAACTACAACTCGAATGCAACTGATGACAAATACATACTTTAAGCAAAGACTGCCTGAATACTATGCATTTTATACACCACAGACACGAATTGCCAACAGCCACTAGCAGGTGTAGATGTACTCACCTGTGCATAGCAACCATAGTATATAGCAATACATATATATACAGAAGCTCGTGTATTTTTAGAAACAAAATTCTAGTGATAAGGACCTCCGAATTCGTATTCGAACTTATATGTGCGTTCCAGTGAACAGGCCTATCTATAGCTATTTACAAAACTACTTACTTAGCGAACTTTTGCTTGAGGTTTGAGTTTATTTTCGTTTCTAGCTAAAAATGCTTTACGTCAAGGCACAATCTTTTTACACCTTATACCAATTACAATACTGTAGCAATTACTTGAAGCAATTGGAGAGAACAAACCATATTTATTGTATTACCTTTCAAACTGTAACTGTTGTAACTGTAATTAATGCTTATGCCGTCAAATAAATTGAGCCCACTTTTTTAACAGCTTTATACGTCGTCAGTGTGTTTGTTCTACGATGGCAGTCCGCACGTAATTAATTCATAAACTCGGCGTTAGTTAAGGCAACGCCCGAAGCTGACCTTATCAGCGCCTGATTAACCAGTTCCTGATAGCGATAGCCCCACATCTGCTGATTTACCATGCATATACTACGTATATATTGCACACAAGAACAATAAATGAGAATTTGATTTAATCGCTCATCAATCAGTCCACCAGCCGAGTGGATTTAGATTCATCAATATCGCTGACACTCAAGTTTCCACGATAACACCTAACAAGCGCAATTAATTCAAGTGTGCTTAGTCGTTCAGTCTCCCAACTCATCACAAGATAAGGAGCCATCCAATTAAGGGAGGGGGGTATGGTATTTAAATGCCCAATATCTTAAGAATACTTTGCCAAAGTTTCACATCAATCAGCAAAATTAACGAAGTTATGAGTAGTTGAACAGAGATTTTGAAGGCCCAATTTCTTAAGAATCTTTTTGAATGGGACTCCTAATATGATCCTAATATCTCCTAGAACGCCTAATATTTTTTTAATAAAACGTAACACGAAAATTGTTGTGTTAACTTCAGTCATATCGCCACACCAAATTTTAAAAAAGTGGCGTGTTTTTCATACCCCCACTTAAGTAACTGTGCAACTCGAGCGATTCTGGGTTGGTGCAGATGGTGTCATCCGATTTTATTTACATTTTCGTTCATAATTATTGGTTGGTAGAATATAATATTAACACATGAAATTAATCGGTCTACAACTAACATTCAACAGCGTGCGCTCGCAGCTGTTGGCTGTGTTTTTTGGCTTGTGTGTGTGTCAGTGCTGTTGGTAAAGAACTAATAATTTTAGCCAGAACGCAATCGTCAAATTTTGAAAGAGCTTTTTCGCCATTCCACATCCAGTCCAGATTAGTCCTTCTTGCGCTGAAGCCCATTCTTTTTCGGCTCGTAAAACTCCTCGACAGCAGCCTCCACCATTGTGTTGAGGGTGTTGCTCAGCTTGGTCCAGTTCTTCACTTCCGGCTTGGCGCGCATCTCAGCGTAGTACTTCATCTTAGGCTCGGTGCCGCTGGTGCGGAGAGTGATCACCGCGCCATTCTTGAAGGTAAATGTGATCATCTGGGAGCTGGAGCTGGTGGGCAGCGTGGCCTTCTTGTCGCTGGTGCTGCTGTCGTAGCCCGTGGTAAGGTCGCAAACGTTCTCAATCTCGTACTCTCCATCCATGATGCTGGTCGGATAGGTATCTGCCTTGCCCTCATCCCAGGTGCGTAGGCGCTCGAAAATCTGCTCTATCAGCGGCGGGCAGCGGCAGATGACATAGGAAGCGATGGTCGTGCTGAAGCCGTAGGACTCGTAAATGTCACGCAACTTCTCCTGAAGCGTCATGCACAGCTGACAGCGCAGATAGCACGCCATGGTGGCCAAGTGGGCGGCTGCACTGACTCCGTCCTTGTCCGGCACAGCTGTACCGAACATGTAGCCGATGGCCTCCTCGAAGGCAAACAGCACCGTCTTACCCGCCGCCTGCTGCTCAATGGCCTTGTTTCCCATCCACTTGAAGCCCGTCAGCGTCTCGATATACTGGAAGCCCTCCTCCTCCGCCATGGACCTCAAAATCTTTGAGCTCACCGTACTGCCTATCATCACGACGTTGCTCAAGTCCCCGCCAGGGTTGCGGATCTTGTAGAGCTCCAATGCCCACCATCCGAGTAGGGCGCCGACTTCGTTGCCAGTGAAGAGCTTGTAGTTGCCATCGTCGCCCACCTCGGCCACTGCCAGACGATCGGCGTCCGGATCGTTGGCCAGAATGATTTGGCTGCATTTAGCCTTGGCCGTCTTAATGGCCAAGTCCAAAGAGGTCTTGCCCTCCTCTGGATTTGGCGTGGGCGTAGTCGGAAACTCTGGGTCGGGCTCCTGTTGCTCGCACACCGAATTGAACGGCTTCAGATTGACCTTGGCGAAGGCCATCTTTACGAATTCATAGCCCACGCCGTGCATGGCTGTGTATGTGAAGGAGAGCCCACACTTGTTGTTGGACTCAAACATGGTGCAGTTCAAGCTCTTCTTCAGGGCGTCGAAGTAGGGCGGCACGACAATGTCGTATGGATCCTCGAGCATAGAGTTCGCACACATCACCGAGTCGTCTGTTGAAGAGGCACTGGGCTCCAGATTGTTCATGATCGCCTCCTGAATGCCCTCGTCGTGCGGCGGTATGATCTGGGCTCCGTTGCTCCAGTACACCTTGTAACCATTGTCCTCCTTGGGGTTATGGGAGGCGGTCACCATGACGCCGGCCAGGCATTGCAACCGCACGATGGCGTACGGGACCATGGGTGTGGGTACGTACCGCTTGTACAGCCACACCTTGAAGTCATTGTTCAGAAACACAATGGCCGACAGCTCGGCGAAGCGGTGGCTGTTGTACCGACCGTCATACCCGAAGACAACGCCCCGTTCGGTCCAGTCCTCCCGATTCGGATACTGCTCCTTTATGTACTCACACAACCCTTGAGCCGTCCTGGAAAGAGGATGGTTTAGGAAACACGCCCCGGGAAGACGCTCATATGGACACACTCACTGGATGACCACTAGTTCGTTCATCGAATCGAAGCCCGCCCGCATCGTGGCTCGCAAGCCTGCCGTTCCAAACGTGATCCGGTTGCACAGCCTCTTGCGCAGCCTGTTCAGGGAATATAGTGAGCAGATATATGCAGATTTCTTAGGATTAGCGTGCTTACGTATCCCAGTCCTTAGCACGGACGGCGTCCATGATCTGGCAGGAGGTGCTGGGACACTTGTCCCACCGGACCCATTTGCGGATCTGGTCATCCAGCTCCTTATCGCCCGAAAGCGTCATGTTCTTGATCTCACGCATCAACTGGCCTGCTGGTGTACACATGGTGGCTAAGTGTTATTGACCGTAGGATCGCGCACTGCAGAAAAAGTGTTTTTTTCGAATTTAGACTAAAGATGAAAGCAGAACAGAATTAAGGAAAAAGGGAAAGGCAGGGCAGGCAGCTGCTGGATTTTTGACAGTGATGTCACAACCCGGCGGCAAACGAGAAAAGACTGAACACGGAACCGAGCTGCTGTTAAAGCGACAATTGACAATCGACTGCTGGGGGCAATTTACGTATTGATAACGTTCTGTGACGGCCACATATACACAAGCTACAGCTACCACGCCCCCTTTCTCGTGCGGCAAAATTTTAACAAGTACGCCCGGAAAACGGTGTGTTAGAGATGGCACATATGTTGGCGTCCGTTGCGATATCAAGTCACGTCACGTGAAAATATATCGGCATCATTAAACTTGTAAAAACGCATACATTGAACGTTTTAGTTTATTCACTTCTAAAACAATAACAATATAATTTTGAACTTTACAAATCCTAACTTTCATCATTAAATTCTTTTTTACATCCAAGATTTCCTATGGTGCTCTTGTTACATTTTTAGAGAATTTCTTAACTTTCTTTTGTATTAGCCAACACTGGTTTTATCTCATCCCTGGTAGAGTTTTTGCGACCAGACGCGGAACGAAAAGAGAAAAACATTCAAGACCTAATTTGTATTACCAAACCAAGAAAATGGCCGATGTGTTGGACATAGACAATGCCGAGGAGTTCGAGGTGGACGAGGATGGCGACCGTAAGTGGACATCATAGTGACTTTTGCCTTTCAACCGGTCTCATGCTTTCTTTTCTCTCCCACGCCGCAACCCTGCTCCGTGCACCCTACACCGCACACAGAGGGCATAGTACGCCTAAAGGAGAAGGCGAAGCATCGCAAGGGACGCGGTTTTGGCAGCGACAGCAACACGCGCGAAGCCATCCACAGCTACGAACGGGTGCGAAACGAGGACGACGATGAGCTGGAGCCAGGACCACAGCGCTCTGTGGAGGGCTGGATTCTGTTCGTGACCTCCATACACGAGGAGGCGCAGGAGGACGAGATCCAGGAGAAATTCTGCGACTACGGCGAGATCAAGAATATCCACCTCAACCTGGATCGGCGAACGGGCTTCTCAAAGGGCTATGCTCTCGTGGAGTACGAAACCCACAAGCAGGCGCTCGCCGCCAAGGAGGCGTTGAACGGGGCAGAAATAATGGGACAGACCATCCAGGTGGACTGGTGCTTTGTAAAGGGACCCAAGCGGGTGAAGAAGTCCGACAAGCGCCGCAGATAGAGCCCTCCCCTCGACGACTCCCGGCCAAACGAATACATGTTTAATTAGTTTAATGCATAGGCAACCGTACAAAGTCTGTATGAAATGAAATAAAGGATACTAAGAACTTAAAAACTAAAATATATTTTTTACAATCATTTGTTTAAAAATTATAAAATAGCTCTAACATTAGTTTTCTTTTGAACCACATTTACATATCTGAATGTAAGGGACATCTGGGAGTTTTACTTCATCTTCTTTTGGTGCAGGAGATGCTTCCTTAGGGCCTGCTGCTTGTCCTTGAAGCTCTTCTTGACCTTTGAGCGCGCCTTGTGCCGCAGCATGCCAAAGTTCTTGGTCTTGCGCTTCTCGCGATTCGTCTTGGAGCAGTGCTCGTTCACACGCCCGTCCTTCCAGCCGAAGCGCTCGCGATCCTGCCGGCCTGCCTGCACAGTTTCCAGGCGCGACTCTTTGTCGTGCTTTCGCTTTTTGTAGATCATCTCGATGCTGTTCAGCTTGACAAACTCGGCACGATCCTGCTCTAGTGGTCGCTTGCGGGCACTGGTCACGGTCTTCTTCAGATTGGCCGCATTGATGCGCTTAAAGTCCTCGTCCGTGAAGATGCGCGTAAGGGCCAGTTCTTGGGCAGCCTCCTTTTGATTGAGGATCTTCACATCCTTCTTCTCCTTTTTCGCTTTAACGGACTCCTCTCCACTCTCCACGCCCTCGTCTGAGTTTCCTTCATCCTCCTCTTCCTCGTCACTGTTGTCCTCGTTATCGTCTTCATCGTCATCATCTTCATCGTCTTCCTCTTCGTCATCCTCATCCTCATCCGCACCGCCTCCCTCGCCATCGCTGTGCGTAACATTGACCCACTCTCCGTCGTTGGAGTCGGTGTCTTCGTCACTGTCGATGTCAATGGTCTTGGAGTCCTTGAGCAGAGCCTCGGCACCCAGCACTGTGTCATGAACTTCGCGATCTCCGTAGGCACGAACCTTACGTTCGGCCTGGGCCTCTGTCTGCCTGCCGCGGTCTTTCTTGTGCAGCAACTTGGGCAGCTGTTCTCGATAGAGCGTGATAAGCGAACGGGCGGCCATCATAACCGATTTCTCCTTGTATGTTTTGTACATGGCCAAATCCTGCAGCAGATCCTCGCCCATGGCCAGGGGACAGCGCATGCAGATCTCACGCGTGGCATTCAGGCCAATGGCCATTACATCGCTGGAGTTGCGCTCAGTAATGAAGTTATTGGCGATTGTCTTCAGAATGGGCTCAATGATGTCACCGGGCACCAGTTCGTGGGATGCCTGAGCGGCAAACTGGAGCACGCGGGTCACCTGCCGCTGGTGGGGCTGCAGAAAGCGAGTTATGTACGGGTAGAAACCAAATAGAAACAGATCGTGGATGCCGATCAGGCGTGAAATAACGTCCAGGTGCATCAGTTTGACCTCGAACCGCTCGTTGCTGGCCTGCAGCTGCTTGAATAGGCCCTCGGCCATGCCTTGCGGATTGTGGACCAGGTGAATGCCCGAGAAATTAAATGCCGGCGCATTCTTTTTCTTTTTTTGCGCCTTCACAGCCTGCTTCTTGATCTGCGCGAGCTGCTTCTGACGCTTCTTGGTCTTTTTGTTAACCCGATTGGCCATCAGGGCTCCCTTCAGATCTATCTCATTCTCGCTCTCGGAGTCAGAGTCTTCGTCCTCCTCGTCGTGGCCAAGGAAGAACTTAAGGGAGGTGACCAGAACCTTGGTCACCTTGGAGAAGCAGCCAACGGTGGCAATAACGTTCACCGTCTTGGTATCATTCCAGATGTTCTTTTTGTACAGCTCGATCATGATGTCGGCGGACATCTTAGCGGCCTTGGGATTGGCGTCTTTCAGCATCGAGTACATAAAGGCTTGCAGGCTCTAGAGGGCCACAAAAAAATGAATTAATTAATCCTACGTTACGAGTCTTGCATTAAGTCTTACCGAATTAAGCTTCATATCCTTGTGCTTGGCGTTCATGTTCTTTATGTCGGTCACGATGTGCGTCTGCAGGAAGGTTCGCAGATTCTTATCCGGACAGCGCAGCAGCTGAAAGAAGAGCTCCAGTATGTCCAGTGCCGGCACCAAGTTTTTGTTCCGCAACAGGATCAGAGCCTTGACAAAGCAATTCCTCATGGCCGGATCCAGCACTGTGGCGTAGTTCTTCAGCAAATCGGACAGGCGCTTGGGAAACTGCTCGCACACAATCGGATAGCACTGGGCCACCTGGGCAATGAACATGACGATGTCGTCCAGGGATTTGTTTTCCTCGCTGGGATTAAGGGCGAAAACCTCCAGCAGGCTGAGGAAATGCTGGTACTGGATGTGAAACTCATCGCTGTAAGACTCCGGATCCCGCTTTATCAAGTTCTGCAGCTGCGGCAGGTTCTCTGGCAGCTGGTTGTTGTTGGGCCGCACCATGGTGAGCCGTGAATTCGAAATAAAATTTACTTCGATTCCAACCACGTTCGAGAAAAATAAAGTGCACGTGTGGTGTGTGACCAACGGTGAATGCGGGTAAAAACCCAATAAACGCTTAGATTACAATGTGCACGGTGAAAGTAAATTATTCGGAAGTAAATGAAGGGGAATGGTTTTCACTTAAGAAAACGGAACTAAAGTTGTTTACAAAGTAAAAACAATTGTTATATGTCCAACAATTTTCGCTTTTAAAAATCCCAAAGAGAATTGAAGGAAAGGTAACATTAACCGCGCAGTTATGCACAAACAGCTGTTGGCGCTGCGCTTTGAGCGTTTTCCAACACACCCACGGCAACTACCAACGAAGACTTAATTTTCTCTCGCCTGACGACAAAATGATGGAACTGCACTCTAATGACGTTGACCTGGAGGACGGCGAGGTAACCAATCGGTACTTATTGAACCAATAGTAATCAGCCGTCGGTGCTTGTTTTAGCTCTCGGACAGCGACGATGATGGCGTTTATACGCCGTTGCAGCGTCCCGCAGGTGCCGAAAAAGTTACCAGCCCCCTCACCACCTGCCACCAGATCCAGACTGCGCTTGAGGACGAGTCCCAGACCAACAGCGACTCTTCCTCGGCCGAGTCCTCCGAGGATGGCTGTATCAAAAAGATACGCACAGAGTCCTCCGGAGGTGGCAGCCACAAAAAGCGGAAAAAGCGTATTCAGCGGACGGTAATGCGGCGAGTGCCGCCCTCGGACGCCGAGATGCAGCCCAATCGTGCCCGCTTCAAAAAGTACAATGTATGGACGGCAGCGCTGCAGGAGGAGGCTCTTAGCGAGAATATGCGTGGGTGCGACGTCACAAGGAGCGGCAGGGATCGGAATGTGGAGAACTACGATTTCTCGCTCCGGTTCCGACTCAACGGCGAGAACACTCTGAAGCGCCGGCTTTCTAACTCATCGGACGACGGTGCGGAGTCTTCGCATCCGGCTCACAAGCGGGGACGTCCCTCCAGTCGCCCCACGCAGGAGTTCCCACAGCGCGGGACGGTAAAAAGCCGCCTGGGCCATAGATCACGGCGCGGCACATCGTCGGCCAGCGGCTCTTCGGACTCTTGCGAGGCAAGGCACATCCTGGATCTAAAGGATGTGGCCGGACGTGATCCCTCAGATGTGGCCACTGAAATGGCTAGCAAACTGTACGAGGAAAAGGATGAATTGCTGGGTGAGTTACAACCAAGTTAAATACGTTTTAATATATTCTAATCTCATTGATTTTGATTCCAGTTCGGGTGGTGGAAGTGCTTGGCATGGATTTGCCCCTGGAACTATATAAAGAGACACAGCGCATCGAAGCCGATGGCGGCATGATGATCAAAGTAAGTAGGCCTGGCCTGGCCTAAGATGCTCTTTTCTCTAACTTGGGGTACTCTCTCATCCGCAGAATGGCAAGCGGAGACGTACACCGGGCGGTGTATTTCTATTCCTGCTAAAGCACCACAACAGTATCTCACAGGAGCAGCAAAAGTCAATTTTCAACGAAGACCGCCAAAGCCTGAACAAGTCGCGAAAGCAGATCGAAACGCTGATGCGGGACCGGAAAGTGGAGGAGCTGAAGAAGTGCCTGAGCAAGCAGAGCACCGAGTTGCCTACGCTAAGCCAACGGAAGGAACACTATATGCAGGGCGACGAGCTGAGCGCCGAGAGCCAGCCCGGCAATGGTAAGATACTGAAAGTCGGGAAATTGTTCTGTAACTAAGTGCTAACCTCCTTCAACAGTGTCGAATCCGCCGCCCTCGCCTGTCGGAGCTGGGCAGGAGCAGGACAGCCCGGAGTATAAGACACACGAGATCAACATTAACCTCGTGGACAACTCGGATTTGCCATCCACATCGAAGGCTGCGGCAGCGGCTCAAGGAGCCGTGGAACTAAAGGAGCTAATTAGCTACGACGATGACTTTCTGGATGTAAATTGCGCGGAGATGGACTTCTTCTAGGCCAACGCTAAGCGCAGGGCCACCTTTTATACCACACACGCATAGTTAGACCCATATTTGTAAAATTAAATAAATGCCTAGCGAATTAGGACTCTGATAAATGTAACGTACAAATCGTAGAGAAAGGAGGCGTTAGGGTGTTGTCCTGCGAATCGCTTGGCAGCTCTGGTCATCGATTGTTTGACAACGCCAGTGTTTTCCAGCACTACCCTGGGTACACTGTCATTACTAGCGGAGACGCCGCGTTAAATGTTTTTTGTTGTGCTCGCGAACTGTTCAAAAAACGCAAAAGTTTATTGTTTTTAAGTGCTCTCGAGTCCGCAAATGCTTTGCTGACTGCGCAACGCCGTAAGGATAGAAAAGAACAGTAATGCGAAAGACCCGCTCGCAGACGGCTCGCACGCAGGCGGAAAATGCCGCTACTTCTACGGGGCCCGGACAGCAATCAGCAGCGTTGGTGCCGTCAGCAGTGAACACCTTTGATGCGGGCAAATACAAGGTGCGTTTTCCCCTCTCCCTTTAATTCAGCAGTTTAGCATAAAAAACAATTTTCCTTAAATATGGGTTGATTGATAAGCAGAGTGACCGCAGGAAAAACAGTGTGACCTGCTGGCCGCGGGGCGAGGGCAACCGTGAGAAAAATAGAAGCCCGCGGTCGCTATGCAACACTGCCGTCCGCCATATTTCTTCAGACCGTGCGGACAAAACAAAATTTGGGACAAAAAAAAGGCATTTGTGCGTCCGTTTGTTTTACGGGTCTGTCGAAAAAAAGCTGCCTTCTCGCGCAAAACTTGTCGGTCGTCTTCACTTTGCCTGTTAGCCGTTGTAATTAGCCCTTAGAAGCGGATCGGTATCCAGAAATAAGGCACTTTCCTTAAACGCCATGTTTGCCCAGCTAGGTAATGATTTGGTGGCATGCGACAGATTCGAGCCAGTCCAGTGGTGCCTGACAAGCGTAATTTGCAAAGACAAAACTTTTCGCAGGCTGTCAAGGACCACAGCGATTGCTAGGTGGAAGCTCGTTCCTGCAGGATAGAGCTGGGAAACTATCGATAGTGACACCATTCGATATTTTCGATGTTTTGAAAACGAAAATTCGATACTATCGATAGTATCGTTTTTTTACGATTCTTTTTGCAAATTAAAGTTATAGCAATTTCAAATAGAATTATAATACTATTCAATATGTTTTGACTAAGTAATTAACATAAATATTCTATCCAAGCAACTTTGCACAAATAAAATTGTATTACCATTGCTAAACATACGCTTAGACTCTGAAGACGTGGCGTAGACGCACCCTTTCTTTTGAGATTCAGTTAATATTTTTCACCACCAACTCCAATTTAAGTTAATTTAGAATACATTTTTATTATAAAAAAAAAAATATATATATACATATATATATATATTTGTTTGCATTTTTCTTACTAAATTTCAGCAACAAAGCAGAGATATAAAAATAGTCCCGTACTATCGATAGTGATAAAAAACTATCGATGGTGGCTCAAAAAAAGGAAAAAGTCGATACCTCGATAGTACCATCGATAGTTTCCCAGCTCTACTGCAGGATGGGCATTAAGAACGCCGGACGCCCTTTCGCAGAGTGTACAATGTACATACACACGCGACGCGTAAATATGTGCGAAAACGCGTACCTGCACTATGTTTTCGCACACATTTGAGTAAGCGCGCTCGTACGTGTGTTCGTGTGAGTGGGCGCTTGGTGTGAAGTCCCGCTATTCCGACACTGACGACTAACTGATTTTCGTTTGTTTTCTACGCCATTTTTTTCCTTTTCAGGAATGTGAGCAAATGGTGCAGATGCTACGTGTTGTAGAGCTGCAAAAAATCTTGTCGTTTCTAAACATCTCCTTCGCTGGACGAAAAACCGATCTGCAGAGCCGAATTCTGGCATTTCTGCGCACCAATTTGGAACTGCTCGCCCCGAAGGTCCAGGAAGTCTACGCCCAGTCCGTGCAAGAGCAATCCGCCACCCTGCAGTACATAGATCCAACCAGGATGTACTCACACATCCAGCTGCCGCCCGCCGTGCAGCAGAATCAGATGGGGCTGGTAGGCGGCGGGCCCGGCGGCCAGGTACCGGGCGGCCAAATACCCGTGGTTGGCGGCGCACCATTCCTACCCACCCACAGCATTAACAACACGCTGCCCATTCATCCGGACGTGCGGCTGAAAAAGCTCGCCTTCTACGATGTCCTCGGCACCCTGATCAAGCCATCCACGCTGGTACCCCGCAACACGCAACGTGTACAGGAGGTACCGTTCTATTTTACATTAACGCCGCAACAGGCTACGGAGATAGCCTCGAATCGGGACATTCGCAACAGTTCAAAAGTGGAGCACGCCATCCAAGTGCAACTGCGCTTCTGCTTGGTTGAGACCTCGTGCGATCAGGAAGACTGCTTTCCGCCGAATGTGAATGTGAAGGTCAACAATAAGCTGTGCCAGCTGCCTGTGAGTCTCCACCTCCACATGCTACTACCCGAGAATAACATTTATCTTCCGTTTCCCCAGAATGTCATTCCTACAAACCGACCAAATGTGGAGCCGAAGCGCCCGCCTCGTCCCGTCAACGTCACCTCCAATGTGAAGCTGTCGCCGACAGTCACCAACACCATCATGGTGCAGTGGTGCCCAGACTACACGCGCAGCTACTGTCTAGCCGTCTACCTGGTGAAGAAGCTCACCTCAGCACAGCTCCTGCAGCGAATGAAAACAAAGGGTGTCAAGCCGGTGGACTACACCCGGGCCTTGAGTAGGTTTCTTTTTTTCTATTTGTGTATAATAATTAATAATCCTGTCATACTTACAGTCAAGGAGAAGCTGACGGAGGATGCAGATTGCGAGATTGCCACAACCATGCTTAAGGTGTCCCTCAACTGCCCGTTGGGTAAGATGAAGATGCTGTTGCCGTGCCGCGCCTCCACCTGTTCGCATCTGCAGTGCTTCGACGCAAGTTTATACCTGCAAATGAATGAGCGCAAGCCCACCTGGAACTGTCCCGTCTGCGATAAGGCGGCCATTTACGACAACCTGGTCATAGATGGGTAAGACAAAGGACCACGCTCATGTAACTAAGCAGTGCTGATACCACCTTTCCATTACAGATATTTCCAGGAAGTGCTCAATTCGACACTGCTCAAGAGCGATGACACAGAGATCCAGCTGCACCAGGATGGATCATGGAGCACACCAGGTTTGCGTAGCGAGGCACAGATCCTAGATACTCCCTCAAAGCCTGTACAGAAAGTTGAGGTCATATCAGACGATATAGGTGAGAGCATTCATGTCGGCAATTTATGTATTTAGACATTAATTACATTGTGCTTTCGTTGCAGAACTCATCACAGACGATGCCAAGCCAGTAAAGAGCGACTTGTCCCCGGCACCGGACGAACAGCCAACGTCCACGTCAAACAGTGAGACTGTGAGTTCTATGCCCAAGTGTACCCTTGCCTACATTTACTTATTACCCTTGATTATCGATGCAACAGGTTGATCTGACGTTGAGTGATTCCGACGACGACATGCCTCTGGCCAAGCGTCGTCCACCTGCAAAGCAAGCCGTCGCCAGTTCAACGTCGAACGGCAGCGGTGGCGGCCAACGTGCTTATACGCCGGCACAGCAGCCCCAGCAATCTGGTACGTTGGATCCATTTTTGCAATAAGTAAACCAATCATAAAATGTATAGCCAAGAATCCTTTATATATATATACATCCATATATGTATATATATTATTACAAAGTGCTGATTGTAGACCTTAGGTTAACGTAGATTAAGGAACCATACACACATCCCACGCATTCACACAGACTCACGAGCACACTCCCCACTCATGCATTTCAAACACCTTTCCAAGGTATGATTATAAGGGTTTTGATGCTACAAAACACTTAATTGCAATTCAAATTTTGACTAATTTTAAATTTGAGTGAAACAAGGTTCTATTAGATAAGATTCTCTGACACTGAACTAGGAAGGAGTGTAAGGTAAAGGGTACTTGCTACACATCCTTTTTGATTACCGATTCCTCATCACACGTTTTGTGTTTTCGAATATTCATAGACGCTAGCTTCCAATTCGGTATTTAGTGCGAATAGTCCCCCTTTTAAGATTGTTAGCTACATATTCGAGGAAGATGTACAAGATGCTTCTCGTAAGTTTTATTGCTGCATTTCTCCAGCCAAGACTTTTCTAGACTAAGTAGACAAAGAGTTCGCTTCCAGGGCCTTGATTTTATTATTGTCTCCGCTTTCTTTGCTTGCATTGTAGATGTGAATGTTTTTAAGGCACCAACAAAACAGCAATCGATTTACAAACCTGTTGATAGGCGTTCTTTGGAGAGATGGCTTCGACCACGGTAGGTTTTCCTCGTCAATGGATCAGGAAAGGGCTACCTCAAGCGTTAATCACCGTACATTTTTACAGAAAACCCAAAGCAAGCCCCAAGGTGGGATGAGCAGCAGCAGCTGACTCTTTTTGGTTGATTCCAAAAACCCTGAATTTTTGTCACATTTTGTGTCCCTCTGATGTTTTTTTTCTGATTATCAATTCCAAACTATGCCATGTACCCTTATTTATGTGAACATGTTAATAAATCAAAGTAGTCATTAGTCGAGGCATATTTTTTTTTCCTTTGGATTGCTGTTGATGTTTTAATAATGATTATTATTGAAATAACTGAAGTAACTTGTGCATTTCTTTGTCTTTTCTCTTTCTCCCTTCTTCTCTTCTTCCCCTGCTCTTTTTGTGTGTCCTGTTTAACCCAATGCTGCCCTGCCGCGGATGAAACTCCCACTAGAGTCCCCAGACCTGCAGCAGGCCCGACATCAATCGCCGTCAGAGATGCAGCAAGTCTTAGACCAGCAGCTGCAACTGCAACAGCTGCAGCAGCAACAGCTCGAACAGCCGGGAACGGCAGCAGCCGTTCATGCCTCCCTCCTGGAATCTTTGGCTGCTGCGGTGGCGGATCAAAAGCATTTCCAACTGTTGGACCTGGCTGCTGTTGCGGCTGCTGCAGCTGCCACGGCTTCCGCGTCGTCCTCCTCCGGCCAGAGTCAGAATGCCGGTCCCTAGGCAGGACCACTGCCCACATCCTGCTACGCATCCATCGCACATCTCACCCCCCGCGCTTCATTCGCATTGCCATTAAGTCTTTGATTCGGTTTACCCTGCTTCTGTTATCGCTCGCTCCTCTCCCCGCCCGGTAACCCATGACCAGATCTCACCTCAGGGGCTTATTGCTTTTCGCTGGCATATTGGCGTTCCATTCGCAGACACTAATTTTCATCATCTCACACGCTCTCAATCGCGATCAATCGCAAACAACCTACTGATGCTACGTAATTCTTGTGTGTTGTTGCAGGACGCAGGCAGAACAGACAGGCTTTATAGGAGTGGGTCCAGGTCCCTCCCAGTGACCATTGTCGTGCCCAGTTTCCCGCGGCAGGTGCCGATCGGCCAGATCATGGCTACTGTCGCTTCCTCTCAATTGCCTTACCCACTACTACATTGTTTACGTCTTGTGTTTGTCACTTCTAAGTCGTCTCGAGTATTTATGTTGCGATATTCCCAGAGGTTTCTCTATAAACCACACACCACACACACACACAACAAACCCACAAAGAAACAAAATAACTGAAGTAATTTTAGGAATTGTACCAATTAGCAGCAGCATTCATTAGCTATTAACAATAGGAAATGCAATTAATTTATTTCTCTTTCGGAATCGCAGCGGGCAGTTGCAAGAAGTGAAGCCGCCCGCAACAATAACTCGCCCTACGCACTAACATTATTATTAAGCGTACATACCTAGATCGGATGTTAGCCTTAAGTCCTGCCAATGCAAACTGGGTGTGATTCGTATTCCTAACCACGAGGCGAGAGAGGAGTTCACCGCACACCCCGTCATTTCATTTAATTAAGTTATTATTTACGTACGGAACGGGACACGGAATGCGGCGCCCAGAATGGAGTAGTTTGAATTTGTTAAAATATTCCATTAAAATTCCGTGAGCATTGGCAGTAAAAGCCCGAGTTTTTATTGAATAAAAATCGAATGGAAACGGAAGACGGACTAAGTATGTATTTATAAATGGACATCAAGCAAGGGAAGCTCTGTTATTTAAGCTCAAACCGTACCACGGATTTATAAATTATGTTTTAAGACCGCGTTGAAGTAGAGAACTTGATTATTTTCCTGATTTTGTTTAATGCCAAAACCTATTGCCCTCGATCGATCGGACGAACAAAAATGAAATCAATGTACAAGGAGGAAGGAGATGTGTGTACTCTAACTATATTAATATAATTATTATTATTAAACAATTTTCAACCAAGGGTCTGATGTGTTGTTTTCATGGGGGGTCACTTCCTTCAGCTGTTAAGTTTATTAACTACTTTTGATTTTTGGCATCCTGTTTTTAATTGAGCCCACCCGAACCCTTTTCTTTACTTCCAGACGAAAAGGACGGTTTTGTTGCGGCTAAGAGCAAAGAGGATTCCGTAATTGATCTTCTTGATTCGCCCTAGCAGGCCTTCGCCGACGCCCCCCGTCGCCGCTGCTCTCGTTAGAGTCTCCTCCACTGTCGCTATCGCTGTGGGCGATCCCAAAGAATTAGAACTGTAATTTAGTTTGCAACACAATTCGTTGAGTATCTTGTAGCAACCTAAGCCTGTTACATTTTCAAGTAGTATTCGTTAAGCTAGAAGAACCCGATTAAGCACTGAAATAGACGTAAGCACCTGCACCGAATAAAGTTGCAAAGCTGCATCCGTCACAGCCTTTTTTGAATTTCCCGCTCATTAGCAACTGTCAGTTGGTGGAGAGATTGCCACGAGTTGGCAGCCCCGTGCACTCGTACTTTTACTTCTTGGCCATGGGCGCCTCTAGAAAATATTTCTGTGGGGTCTTCCTGCAACGGAAAAGTAACGATTTTTTGGATTTGATTTCAATACCTTGGTATCACTGTTACCAAATAGCTATTTCAATAGTTAACTAATAGGGAGTTTTCCTCTTTGCGGTAGAAGGTATATTTATGCAATCTCCCCTTGCTACGCCCGTGCCATTGGCTGCTGGTTGACCTTGATCGCCATTCGTTTCTTGAATTCTTTCGGAGAATGTCGTCGTCGAAGCCAACGTTGTACTACGCCCTGTTCAGCCCTCCGGCTAGAGCCTGCATCCTGACCGCCAAGCTAATTGGCCTGGATCTGGACCTCAAGTAAGTGAGAACAACGGGATGCACTGAACCAACGTGGCGGCCACTTTATCTCTATTTACGTCTACAACAACAGACCCGTTGACTTTGCCAAGAAGGAGCACTTGAGCGAGGAGTTCATCAAGGTTTGTGGCAAGGACCCTCTATCACACATCTGCGTTCTAATCCTGTTTTTCCACAGCTTAATCCCCAGCACCAGATTCCCGTGTTTGTGGACACCGATGGCGAGGTTTATGTGGACAGTCATGCCATTGTGTGCTTCCTGGTGGCCAAGTACGCCCAGAACGACCAGCTGTATCCGCAGGATCTGAAGAAGAGAGCCCACATCGACCATCGCATGCATTACGAGAGCGGCGTGCTCTTCCAGGTGATCAAGGACATTGTGGCGCGGAATATCTACGGCGGCGAGGGTGAGTTCAATCAGCGATCGCTGACCCTCTGCCACAATGCCTACGCCGACCTAGAGCACTTCCTCGAAAACGGTACTTTTGTGGTGGGCAACGAACTGAGCGTAGCCGATGTCTCCATTCACACGTCGCTCGTTACCCTGGACTTGCTTATTCCGGTGGAGCGGGAGAAGTACCCGCAGATCAAAGCCTGGCTGGAGCGCATAGAGAAACTGTTGCCGGAGAACGAGGAGATCAATCTGCAGGGTGCCAGGGCACTGCAGACCCGTATCCAGAACTGCATGGCCGAGAACAGGGCCAAGTAGCTGGAAATCCAGGTGGATCAAGGCTCCTTCTAGCTTTTTGAACTCGAATATCAGCTTGAACCATTAATTCAAATATACTTTCTGACATTTTTTAAGCTCTAATTTGTTTTCTGCATTTTTTTATTGATAATTTGTTAGGCTAATTGGCTTAAATTCTTGCTACTTTATATATATATATATGTATGTTTTCTCGAGTGTCTTTTTTGATTTGGAAGTCCAGTGTACAATACATGTATGTAGTAGGTTAGTGAGAGCTCCGGATTCCAGCAAATTCGTTATATACAAGCGCTTTTATTTGATCCTTTCACGAACGGGCCACTGAATAAAACTAACTGACTAAATGGTAGACATATAGTGTTTTAAAGGGAAAAGGGGCTATATGTTATTTTACTGTCAACGGTGTCTCGTACGATCTATCTGCATCTGCTGCTGCCTATCTCCTAGCTATTTACAACACAATTTATCAATCACACATATTTTGGTATCATATTTCCAGCTGGTTGTGTCCTTCCCCCTGCTCCTGCTAGGGCTCCTTCTCATGCTCCCCTCTAATCGAATGTTGTCCAGTTGTTCATGCCCTTGCCGGTGGTCAGCTGCTGCTGCTGGGTCTGCTGCTGCTTCTCCGCTGCGGTGCCATTGAGGCTGAACTGGTCCAGCCCATACTTGCGCAGCAGCTCAAAGTCGTCGTCCGGCTTGACTGCAATGGTATTGCGCTGGATATGCGGCGGATGCACAACTGGTGGAGACCTGCCCGTCACCGCAGCCACGGTGGCCATGTGCTTGGGTGCAAAGTACGGGTACAGCGGATTGCTAATGCTACCGGCCACCACAGAGCTGTTGACGCCGGCTGGCAATGTGCTGGACTTCTTGCTGAACGCCTTGCTCAGCGGTGGCAGCGGGCGGGCATTCTGGTTCAACGGGTCGAAATCCTCCAGGTCGAAGCTGGTGTTGTTGCTATCGTCCAGCGATATCAGATCGTTCATGCTGTCCTCTAGTTTGGATGTCTGCTCCAGCTGCTGCTGCTAAGGGTGGGGGAGGCACAGAGGTTGTTGGGTGGTTAGAAAGCTTCGGGCGTGATGTGGCTGGATTCTACGGTGATGCTTAAAGCGACTTGTGCCAAATGTACATGAACTTATACTAACTTCCAAGCGTTTACAACAAGCATCTAAATACAGGTGCTAGCTACGGCTAATGGGTGCAAGTTGATAAGGTAATAAAGAATGAAGTGAAATGAACAAAAAATAATACTTTGGAGGCCTCTTTAGAAATAGGTTAGTAGAATTTCCTTGTTTAATATATGTTAGTGGCTAAAATATACATTTCTTGGTAAGCCATAAGTGTTATTTAGATCTTAAAAGTTTAACTCCTGTATATACCCCTTGGTTCAGACAGGATTTTCAAGCTCCAACGAATACTACTCAAGGAACGAAAAGAAAAAAAAAGAAACTGAGAAACCCACTATAAGCAAGAAAGTATGATAGCAAAACATGGAATAAATGTAGCCTTCTTATGGATAAATGTTACGCATTCTGGGCAGGAATCAGGTAATTGCATAGCTCGCCAATAACTGTTGATAGTTTTATCCCTTACGCTCTGCTCACGAGAACAACCTAATAAAATAGACATCCTCGGTTCTCTTTCTGAGAAGTAGACTTGGTTACCTTTCATTTTGGGTTTTCTGTTTAGCGCTTTACTTTAAGCTGTTCGTGAGGCGCTCTTTTATCGAATATTTCACAATGAGAGATCTCGGATTCTTTGCTCAAAGTCGCACCGCACGAATCGGTCAACAGTTATTTGCTAGATATGGTTACTCAAAACTGTCTACTTGGTTCAAGGGATCAAGGAATCATCAGCTACTTGAATGACATTAGATCGGATCGGACAATGCATATGGGGCTCTAAGGGGGAGACTACATGAGGGCCCTTGATGTGTGTTAGTGTGCGCGTTCGAGTTGGGGACCACAACCGGGATGGACTTGGTTAAATTACGACGCTGCTGGTGTACCTCTCTCTTGGCCCGGGGCGTCGGAACAGGCGGATCGGAGACGTTCAGGTGCGAAAATGTTGAGGCAGCCGTCACGAAGGATGCGCCCGATGAGGAGGATGACGAAGTCACTGACGACGAGGATGCGTTGGAGTTGCGTATGGACTTGTTGCTCCCGTTGGCGGGCTCATCTTGCCAGCAATTACGCTCCAGCTTGTTAATCTCCGCACAGACGGCAGCTGCCGTGGCGGCCACAAGGGTATTCGAGCTGCCTTGCCTCCGGGGCGGTATCGGTGGTGATTGCACGTCCGGCGGGCTGTCAAAGCTGCTGGAGTCGGCGTTGGGCAGTGGCTGGCGCGGCCTGGTCGGAGTTGAGCTGTGTCGCGGCGGCTTTGTCTCCACATGCGGATGCGCGGCATATGGATGGTTGTAGTAGGAGGCGGGCTGCGTGGTCTGCGGAGGCGGCGGCCGGGCCGGCGCTGCTCCTCCTCGCTTGTGCTCTGCGTTTGGCTTAAGCTGCTCGGGCCGATGGCGGTGGTTGTGGATGTCGGGAATGAAGGTGGATCGGTGGATGGTTGGTGCAAATGTAATTCGTATGATTCGGTGGGTGTGTGTGGGTGTGGATTGGTGTGTTCGTGGACATGACATGAGGCAGACGTTCGATCGATGGCGACACACATGTAGTTGGGACACAGACACGACACAGACACGGAAACAAAAACAAGAAGAGCATGAAGAGAACAACATAAGTTCACAGCACATCGAGATGAGGGGTGGAGATAGCTTTGCGGCAAGCAGGTGAACGGCTGAGCTGCGGCTCCTCGAGCTGCTGCAGCCGGAGCTCGTATGCACGCACCAGACTACTTACACTGCGGTCCACGGCCGGGGTCTTGAACAGCGGATGGTTCTGCAGCTCCTGCGACAGGTTCATCTCCGACGATGAGCCGACCGAACTCGCCGAGCTAACAGCAGGAGATGCAGCGAGGTGATGACCATAATGAGCACCAGCACCCGAGCCGTACGCATGGCCGTTCGGCTGAATGTGGCTGCTCGAGCTAGACATGGCCAGCGGTACGGGGCCGCGTCGCTGGAACTCCCTTGACTCCCTGCCACCGGAGCCGCCACTGCTGCTGCCCCCGGTGGCGGAGCTGGTGATGCTCGAGCTGATCCCATCGAGCCGCTTGCTGGTCACTGGTGAACTCGGGGCCGAGTGGTGTGCCGCTCCAATGGCTTTGCCGTTGCGTGCGTATCCGCTGCTGGCGCCGTCAGGGCGATCCGAGTGATTCGGCGATCCCAGGCCAAAGTGGAAGTGCGTGCCGCCGAACTGGTTGCCGTTTTCACGGAATTTGGTTTTCAGGCCCTTGTAGGCGGTCTTCATCCCCTTCGAGCCCTCCTTCACCTGGTGGGAGGGGTTGGGAATATAAAATATTTGAAATTATTAGGACATTCCTTAACACAGAATCCACAGGAAGCGCAGGGGGAAAACAACACAGTTTTGGGGATTCGGACCACTCACCGATTTGACGGCAGACTTTACAGCCGGATTAGTCTGCAATGGTTAGACGCATGTTTTTGGATCAGAAAACGATTTTTGGTCACAACCGTCGGGCGAGAGCAGAAAGCACAGAGGAGGAGCAGCGCGTGTGTGTGGGATGAGCGATCCAAGCGGCATATATATATGAAAGAGAGACGCACAAAGATACGGGCGAGATACCGTGTGAGAATGCGATGCACAAAACGACCGGGGGGTTATTTAAGCTATGGCTAAATACGCTTAATGGCTACGATGACAAAGCTGATATGGAAAATGAATGGATATGGGTAATGGAGTAGTACTGGGGGATCACTGGGGCAATGGGGCTTGACATGGCAATGACAACAGTCTGCGATCAAAGAGTGCGTTTCGGAAGGGCTTAAGGCCAATGACTGACACTTGCAAATGTTAGTTTGTTAATAGATTAGTCAAAAAGCCAATGAAAACTACACGATGTAACGATTCCATTTTGTCTTATGATGTACGCATACGGATCATTTATAGAAAGTTTGATCAGTCTGCAATGTTTGTGTGTTTACTTTAAGTATATAAAAGGAAGAAGGAGTAGCATTAGAATACCATTTTACCAGAGTTTATAACAGTTTATAACAGTTAATCACTTAAATAACACAGGTCGGCAGCATTTTACCCAATTAGTTAGAATCTTGTTGACTATGACAGTCCCTTTTTCCAGTGTAGTTACTACGACACACTTTTCAACTTGAAAAAAATTTGAAAATTACTTCATACTTTACTTATTAATTTAATTGCTAAGTCATTGGAGCTCTTCAGGAAAAATTAAAAAGCAAAAAGTTCCAAAAAACGGTCCTTCAAATGGGTCAACCTCTTTAAATGTTCTCATTTAAACTTCTGTCATAGTCAACTGTTATTCACAAACCCTGGTTTTTACCAATCCTTTGGTTATTTATACAGTTAATTGAAGATAGAGAAAGTGTCAAGAAAACCACCCAAAATTGTAGTATGAAAACATCAATTTAAATCCTTAACCGAAGCTATAAGTCGTCAAAGGGTTTGACTTGAGAGAACTTGATTAGCGGTTTGGTGTAAAAACAAAAATGACAACAAAAAAGGAGATAAAAAAAACAAATGAACAACTAAAACATTGAGCTATACCAGACATTATCAAATATAATAATTGGGAATGGGTCAAAAACAAACATTTAGACGGTTTTAATATTTGTTTAGTTTTGCCAACATGAATCATTAAGTGCAGTTTTTGCTGTTAGGACGTTAAGTGTTTTGGGTTTGCAATAAAAATAAAGGAAATCATTGTAACTAACATGGCAAATAAGGTGTGTGGGAAGAGTTACATTCTACTCGGTTTTTATATTGGCTTTTTTGTTTGTTTTTGGTGGATAGATTTGGCTTGGTTGGCAGTCTAAATATAATTCTTGGTAAACAACCGCGACAAACTGTAGTGGTACTGTGGAATAGATCAAATCAAATCAGATAAAGAATATCATAAGGTGGGCACAGGTGGTAAGAGTAACTTAAGAGTATGGGGGGTTAGATGGTCAGCGGAGAGAGAGAGTAATGAAAGCTGTTCCCTGCTCCCGGTAGAGCCCTCTCCAAGCCACCAGACAACCGAGTGGAGTGAGGGTGATGTTGGGGCTATGAACCATGAGGTTAGGCTAACAGTCAACGCTGATGATGGCCCGCGGCAGTGACGTATCAGCTCCTCGGCTCACCTTGTCCTTAAAGTTCTTGATGATGTTGTTGCGTCGCTTTTTCTTCTCCGCATAGCGTACTGTCTCCAGCTCGAACTCGTCGGAGAAGCCGAGTCCGCTGTTGAGCATCTTAAGGCGATCGTCGATGAACTGAGCGAATATCTGCAGCTCCATCATTTTGGCAAGAAACGGACGCAGGTGCGCCGGTCGAGATTCGATGAACTTTTCGTTATTAAAGGTTTTGCTATTCTCGTGGTACTCAACCGCGTCCCTATATCCGCCGATCAGCTGGACCAGAGCGTTAAGGAAGATCTTTGAGATGCGGTCGCCTATGTGATCCTGTGTGTGATTCAAATGCTTTTTCAGCTGCGAGACAATCTCCGCCGGCAGATTGTGGACATCGTTGAAGGGACTCTTGAATATTTTCGTATCACAGTCCAAAATCACAACTTCGCCGAGCTCATCGTTGGTCACCTATATTGGGGGCAATGTCCATTGAGAGTCCACAGAGCTATAAAAAATGGTTGTCACTTACAGTTTCGAGCACAGGTTCTGGTACACCAATCAGATATGGCATGGGGGCACCCAGATAGTCTTTAAACTCCAGCGGCAGCACCGGTATAAATATGTGCTGCCAGACCATGGGGTATAGGAATGCGTTTGCCGCCTGGATGCAGGACGACAGCCGGTCTAGGTTTCGCGAGGTAAAAATGATACGACGCTCCGCCAGCATGGCCGCAAATACTGCAATCATCTCCTTGGGCTCCGCGAAGCTGTAGTACAAGGCCAGGTTGTGCTGCGTAAAAAAAAAAAGTGTTTAAAATTCTCTCCTTTCCCTTGCTGGTTCTTGAAGCTTACATTTTGTGGAATACTAGGCAACTGGAACTGTAGCGGACGTTCGAATACAAAGTGCTGTTGGGAGTAACGTATTTCAATTTAATATTATCTTGTAAAGAAATAAAAGAAGAATCTCTACTCACACTCTGCCCGCTGTTGTAGAAGACATTCAGGCTGCCGCCAGAATCGGGAATACCCTGGTTATAGGCCTCGGAGAGGAAGGTTCTGAATCCGCTGGCATCCGTCCGCTTCAGCTCGGCAAGTATGGGCATCAGCTTGAGAAAGGTGTCGTGCCACGGCAGGTAGGTGATCAGCACCATGGCCGTCTTCGCTTTGGGATCTTGCCGGCAGAAGCCGAAGCGCCATTTCGAGTCACCGGTGGTGTGGACAAAGGAATATGTCTGCACCGAGGAGCTGTGTTTGATGGTAACCGCCAGAGATTAGTATTTATATTAAGTATTTATTGGGGAAATAAAGTTATTGAAACAAAGACGACTTTGTGCTGTTCGAAGTTCGTTGAAAGTAGCAGTACGCCTCCGCCTGCGCATTGGAGATGGCCTTGCTCATCATACAAATGTTGCCCAATGTTATGCATGATGGAATTGTGGAGGTTTTGGCTTTGGCAGCGGATAAACAAAGCTATATTTAAGAGCAAGTACATTGTACAGATATATGGAAGCTATAAAGCATGAAAAAACTAAATTATATAGAGTTCTAAGACCATCAAAGTAACTTTAAAACCAAACCAACTAATTCCCCCAAGCTTCATCGCCAATGAGTAATACTCTTGAGTTTATTCGCCTTAGTTTTCACCTCTTAACCCAAATATATACACGACTTATGAGCTTCCGAGTCGTAAAGTGACGAAACAAGCAATACATAATGAATTCAGAGTTAATTATAAACGCATACAAATCACTTGGATTTTGTTATTCTTTCCGCTCGGCTTTCTGCGATCATTTTCAGGTGGTACCGTGTGAAATACCCTACCTTTGCCTCTGAGCGATATTTCCCAGGCAATAGTAAACAACTTGTTTTGATATTTTGATTACAAAATATTTGGTTTAGATGGGCCCAGTCATTGTTAAGGTGTAGAATACCATTGATAACCGATATCTCCAGTGATTCAACTTTATTTGTTAACGAAATCAATTTAAAGCTGTAAGTATGGCATTTTATTTCAAAACAAAATAATGATCGTGCCTCTTTTTAATGAGCCATAACATATGTCGTCTTTTTCACTTTCTTTCCGTTTGTTTTTCTTCATTTTTCCGTACAACTTTCGGCCTTTATGCGAAGCGATGTCCGCATTAATTATATTGTGTTGAAATCGCATTTAACAATTTAAATAAATCGCAATTTTGCAACAACATCATCCGCGAACGACAATGACGGCGCAGTCTCATTACCCGGGCACGTTTCCCTTTGTCCGCCGATTTAGCATATTGCTCGGCTTTAGCCTCGGTTTCGCCCGATCTTTTTCTCTTCGCGGGCCTGGGTTACATAAAGTCGTTAGATCTAAGTGTTTCTTTCGGATCGTGTCCATTACTCAATTTAATATGCAAAGTCAGGCAGTCACTCCATGCGGGTGCTCAAGGAAATGGGGCTATATTGGCTATCTTGGACGTAGCTGGGATGTTGACGTTGACTTGGACTTGACTTTCTTTATCGCGGGCTCCGCACATGCAGTGCCGGTCAAGACAGTAGGCGCTGGTCACTCGAAGCATAGGTCTTTATCTATATATTAAGCTTTAGATCAATGGTTTCCTTTATCAGGGAGCTTTAACAAATATTTGTTTAGATATTTAGATTGGCACAGATAAATACAATCGATACAACCAGGGCAGGGCTAGAAAAGTATCTTCATAATTAAAAAACCCGAATTTAACTTCCTTTACTTTTAGGGTTATCTCCCGGTTCTATTATCTTGACCTCTATTATATGGCTGCAAAGGGAATCTCCGCTTAAATATGAAAAACGGTACTCCACGGCGCAGTTTCCAAGCAAATACCGATAAGCCGTATTATATATGGGGTCTTCGCCGGCTAAATTAATCGCTCGAGCAAACTTTTGGAATTCTGAAATACTAAACAATTAATTGCTCTCATGTTTTCCCCCCTTCGATCGGTTTATCGCGCGATGAGTTAGCGGAGTAACACCGACAGCTGCAGAGATAAGTACAGGAGGATGGGCTCTCCACAAGCCCATGACTCTTGTTCTGGATGCGTATGACTAACCAGGTGGCGGCAGCTGCCAAGAAGCCAATTGATACAGTTCCACGGCACTCCAGGAAATGCTAAGCGAATTGCGTCAAACAATGCCCATTGAATAATACCCCGAGCGGGCAAGAGCAGTTCATTACGCGAACTCGCGCTGTGTAAACAAACACCGAAACAGCACAACAGGTTATTCGTTTCATGGACAAGCTATCTCTGTTGCTGCTTGGTTTGGCTGGCTGACTGGCTGGCTGGCTGGGTGGAAGTGGTCGGGTCGAGTGTGTGCGGTGACTCATCGGCGGAACCTTCCGCCGTCTTCGCCTGTCTATGCCCGTCCCCTATCGCAGGTCTTGCGCAAAGTCGGCCAGCGTCTGCTACTATTGCATATTATTTTTATAAGACGCCCCTCTGACTAATGGCCAGTGACCGGAAACAAGCAGGATGGAGCAGTGGGATACTCACCTCGCTAGCTCGCAGGGAAAGGCAAAGGCTGGAATGCCGGCTAGCACCTCCTTGTCACGGTATCCCTCGGGGAAGCTCTCCACGATCACGCCGGCGGGTGTGGCGGGGCCGCCACTTCTCGGACTGCTGCCCCTTTCTAGCCAAGGAGTCGGTGTGACCTCGCACCAGAACTCGAAGAGCTTCTTCACGTCATTTCTGCGAGATGGAAATGAGGGGATGTTGTGACGAATCGTGGGAGCAGGGGGGCACTTCACTGCGTCGGCGGTCAGCGGAGCGGAACGCCCACTGCAGCCGCAATCTTGGGCGGCATACTTACTTGATACGCGATCCCATTTCGGGGCCTAGCACATGTTTCGGTCAGTATATTTTTGTACGTTTGACTTCTGTGTGTTCAATCCGGGCTCGGGCTGTCCGACGCACGGATAATACTGATTACGCACGAAGAATTGGAATGGGGGAGACACGGACACGGATGATACGCAATACGGGGCCACCACTTTCCTCCTCTTTCTCTTCTTTGTCGTATCGGATTCGCGACGTCACTGATTCATTTTCGCCGACCGCGGTGTTTGCGCACTTGCTTGTCCCGGGACTTGGATTGGGGCCACTGATCACTGATTTTCGGGCATTTTTTGGCCGCAATTATGGATAATTCACTTGGCACCCGCAGTTTTATGCAAGCAAATAGAACAAAAACAATTTTACAACAAATTCGCCAGCAGTGTGACCGTACCTAGCTGTTGGAATATGCCCGTTGTGATGTCTGAAATTTGGCAAAGAGCTTGGACGGCGAACAGATGGTCGCAGGTTATAGCAGGGACTCGAACCGAGGAGCGACTTGAACATATTTTTAAGTTTTTAAAATCACTGTTTTCCGGTTTTACCAGCTTTCACATTTATTTTTTATTACCTGCTTCGCCAAATTAGGTGTGGAATAATGTACTTTTTAATAGAAAATCTGTTATTATGCGTTTGGTGGATATGCGCACCTGTCGCCGTTTTGGGCCGGAAAAATACCTGGTCACTCTGCAGCTGCACTCGATAATTTTGATTTGGCGTCCCACGGTTTCTTGTGTTTATTTTTTTGGTAGTGTGCTCCCCCAACAGCTTCTTCAGGTTTATTTGCATTAAAGACGTTTCGTTCAAGGTTTTTCCCGTGACCGCCAGAAAAATGTATAATATTTTTTATAAGGTTACATAAGTGCGTGTAACGAAAAGCAAAATTGCTCGAAACCAAAAAGTTCCTGTACTTGGCCTACGAATTACAGAAAGTAAGCGAGGGGCTCGCAAGCATATATAGTAGCTTCGATTCCGTCATAGTTGGCACGATAATTACCTGCATTACCCGCCGAAGCAAATCAATAGCCACCACCACCACCCACTCGCACTCCCATTGATTTTGTTTCTGCTCTCTGCTACACGCGATGACGCCGATGGGCAGGAGGAGGAGGAGGAATCCTCGACCCGGGGTCAACTCGAAACCTATATAGATAGCATCTGTATGGCCAGCGGCCTCAGTTTCGATTTGTGTCACACAGTAGCCCGGTCAGGTCACAGGCTTTGTCTCCGAACTCTGTCTTACTTTTCCAAATTTGTATTATTTACTCTTTTATTTTCACCCTCTTTTCAAGGTAAGCAACTAAATTTGTGGAACGTTATGCCAGGCAGCAGAATTGGCAGAGCCCCCGGACGAAACCCATTGATTGTAGCACACTTAGCCCGCACACCACCACCACCATCCGCCGCACCTCCGCGGTCTCAATCGCTAGTGATTAGTGACAGACTAGACTAGTCGTCGCGTTAGTTTAGAATTCCCGCCATGCTGTGCGGTGCCCTTGTCCGCGGTCCCGTCCACAAGACGGCCATCTACCGCAGCTTGTCCGAGCTTCTCCCCAGCCCGGTGGCGGTGTTGGGTCACGATGTCCGCTGCCTCTCCGCCGGAAGAGGCGTCGTATGTAAGCAGCCAATCCCAACGCTGCCGCAACCAGCCCACCGACGAGATCTCCTGTGAGTTAAGCGTTAAGCGTCGTCCCGTCTAACTGTTCTGTACCCGCCAACCGTAACCGATCACGCCTGCACCCATTTGGGCGCTGTCTGCGACGACCACTCGTTCAATCAGAGTCCATGTGCATACATTAGCCCGCCGCGATTAGATAGCCACCTTGTACTCGCACTTATTAACCCGAAATAGCCCCGCCCGCCGGCGATTTCATTCATGGTGCCAGCTATAACAGGCTAGCAAACAAGCCGCTGTAAATCATTTCATTTTTCGCCGTCTTGCTGGCTCTTTCAGCTCGATTCCCCGGACCCGGGCGGAGAGTCACTCAAAATTAGCAGTACGATCTCTACACTCGGAGAACGACGCCATGTTCTACTCGATGTACGCCTACCTGTCTAACCTGCCGCGACTCCATGTCCTGGGCATGGCTATGGTGGCCTATGTGGTCTATTATCTAATCCAGGTGGTCAAGGTGAGAGTGTAAAGGCGAGCGATTGCATCACCGCTGGCGCGTGACTAATGCCTTAATTGCGTTCTCCATTACAGCGACCGATTATCGCTTGTTCGGACGGGCCGTTCAAGCAGTATCTGATCCGCCAGGTGCCGACGCTGGAGAACAAGTACTGGCCCACATTCTGGTGCGTGGAGAGTCGTGCCCAGACCGTCCTTGCGAGCCTGCTGCGCTCCAAGAGTCTGCCGCGCGTCAACTACCGCCGCGAGATCCTCCCCTTGAAGGATGGTGGAGAGGTGGCGCTGGACTGGATGGAGGAGGGTTGCGATGAGCGCGCGCCCTGCATCCTCATTCTGCCGGGCCTAACCGGAGAGTCTCAGGCGGAGTACATCAAGTGCCTGGTCTTTGCCGCCCAGCAGGCGGGCATGCGGGTGGTGGTGTTCAATAACCGCGGCCTCGGCGGCATCGAGCTGAAGACACCGCGCCTCTACTGTGCCGCCAACTGCGAGGACCTGTGCGAGGTGATCCAGCATGTGCGTCGCACCCTGCCGGCACAGTGCAAACTGGGTGCCACGGGCATCTCCATGGGCGGCTTGATCCTCGGAAACTACCTGGCCCGCAAAAGCGATGAGGCCAGGAGCATTCTGTCGGCGGCAAAGATCATCTCGGTGCCGTGGGACGTGCACAAAGGCAGTGCCAGCATCGAGAAGCCGGTGATCAACAGCCTGCTGGGACGCCATCTGGCCGGCAGTCTGTGCCGCACCTTGAGCAACCACCTGGACATATACCGTGAGATATACCAGGACTCGGACATCGATATCCAGCGCATACTGCGCTGCAAGACCATCAAGGAGTTTGACGAGCTGTTCACTGCCAAGCAGTTCGGCTACGCCCACGTCAACGACTACTACTCGGACGCCACGCTGCACAACAAGCTGGACCACATCTCGGTACCGCTGCTCTGCCTGAGCGCTGCGGATGATCCGTTCCAGCCGCTGGACGCCATTCCCATCAAGGCGGCCAATCAGTGCACCCATGTGGCCATTGTGATTACGGCACGGGGCGGCCACATTGGTTTCCTGGAGGGATGGTGGCCCTCCACCAAGGACCAGTACATGGGACGCCTCTTCACAGAGTACTTCACCAAGGCTCTGTTCGACGAGGATGGCGAGTTTCAGCACACGGCCAACAAGATGCACGAACGCTTCTTGGCCAAACAGACGGTGGCTCTCGCTGCATCCTCCTCCTCCTCGTCATCGTCGCCCTTGCTGCTGAACAAGAAGTTGGACGCTGGCACGCTGGACCACAAGGTGAAGCTAATGTAATGGAGTCGGCTGCTGGTAATGTTCCAATAGGGTTTCCTCTTAGTCTAGACCAAAAATTCATAGTTATCTGCGTATGTATTCCGATAAAATTCCGCGAAACATGTGATATGATGAAACGCTGATCAAAATCCAAAGTGTTGTACTCTCTAGGGCAGCGAAACAACAGGGCTTAGACGCTTAAATTATTTTAGAACGTGACTTAGTGACATATCAAGTTGAAATAGCGAAACAGCTTTACGATTCGTAGTGGTAAATTCAAATACATATAGTAATATATATGACACAATGCAATAATCTTATATTTTTACAAGTTCCGTATATTTATAACTAATAAAAATACAACGCTTAATAAAGAGAGAATAATAAAACACACTTTCCACTGCATTACAAATAGTAGATTTGACAAGCGAGTCGATTTACGGGGGTCTTTTTCACACCCCGAATCGATTTGAAGGCTTCGGGACTACGCTTACCCCCCGATAAAACCATGTTCCTACATCCTAAAATACCAACAGCCAGCGAGCAGAGCCTAAATCGGCTTGTACAGCAGCGTGGTCACATACTTCTTGCGATATCGATGCGTGGCACTCAGCACCATGACGCCGTCCTTGATGGACAGCGCGTACAGGTGGTTTAGCATCACATGGTTGGGTTCAGGCAGCAATGTGGGTTCGCACTACAAACAAATCAGAGTTAGAGCTGATTTTAAGGCGAAGCGTTAACAACAAAACCCACCGAGAGAGGCGTGTCCTTATTGAGGATGACCTGGAGCAGGTGTGGTGGCAGCACCGGTGGTCCGGATACCTTCTCCCAGGGCTTCACCTGCGGCACCTCCTGCGAGTACTCCTTCTCCGCGTAGTTGGTCACGTTCTCGCTGTCCTTGGCCAGGGCCTGGAACACCTCGAAGTCGGAGGCCCGCACGGATACCAGGTTATTCTTTTGTCCCTCGTCGTTCTCCACGCTTTTCTGCAATGACGTACAAATGATAATCAATTTTCTGTAATTATAGTACACAGAGCAAGCGATGTCAGGAATAATTCAAAAGGTCTAATTTTTGCGTGTAGGGAAATCGATACGTAATTGGAGGCTTTATGTATATGAGAGGCGAGTCATGAAATTCAATGGCGGTTTCGTTTATAGAAGGGCATTCGGTTTGCAAATGGGTTTGGCTGCTTCGCTTATCTATTTTTGTGGTGAAAAAACAGACAAAGGGTTTAAAATTACTTTTAATCTTGGGTTTAACTCATTGAAAACATCTGGGGAATTGGGAGTAATGTGTTATGCACTGGCTTTTTGCATAAATTTCGGACAAAAGGAATGCAATTTAATTTAATTGAAAACGTTAATTTACTTAATCTTTCGCTATATAGAGACTGAATAAAAGCAGACAAGTTAGATACAAAAGGAAGGGTGGATCTTATCAACGTGTTTTCGCGTTTTCTGGCTTGAGTTACTTTATCTTTCAAGTTATTTTCTTTTGTTTACCCTATTTTTTAATCTCAATTTTTGCGCTCGGAATGATAACAATAACCCTTTGCCCCGAAAGTAGCCAGCCGAGCATCTCTAAACCAATTGAAATCCACTGCTGATTACCGACAGACTTCGGTTTTGTTTACGACGATTACACAACGCCAGCGAAAATCGTTAACTGCGTCATTCGGGGCACCCGAATTGAATCTAAATAGCTTAGGGAAATGGGTCATATTGATTTTCCACTCAACTGACCAGCTTGGGATCGTGCTTCCACTCGCCGTCCACGCAGAACTTGTACTGATGGTCGCCCTCCGGCAGATCGATGATGGTCACAAAGTTGCCGTGGCTCCGCACCATCGTGATGGGCTTCCAGTTGGAAAAGGTACCCGAAATGGTGACGTTCTTTCCGCCGCCATCCCATCGCAGCACCGTGGGCAGTGCCGTCTTGCGGTCCTCGTCGTCCAGAGATGGAATCCCTATTCCTGCTGCCTCTGCTGCCGCCAGTTCGTCGTCGTTGTCCATGCTGGAGTGCTCTCCGCTTCCGCTGCGCAGAACAGCTGTTGAGTCGCCGCCGCTATCAGCTGTGCGCCTGGTGCTGCCGCCCGTTCCTGTGCCCGCTCCCGTGTAGTACGGGTCGTCGTCTTCTTGCGACGAGCCCTCGTTCAAGACTGCCGTATGTTTTTTGTCGAACGAGAAAGCTTGGCCTCCCGCCCCGGCTCCGCTCAAAGCCGCTGCGCCAGCACTGCTCCCACCGCCGTGGCCCCCGCCACTGCCTACGCCCGCACTCGCTCCTCCTCCACCGCCGACTGCAACCGAGTCACGGAAATGTGCGGGAGAGCTTGGCGTGGAGAGGTCGGTCGACTTGTGGCGCTCTCGCTGCATGTGCACGGTGGAGCTGCCCGCGTTGCCCATGATGTTTACGTACGGTTATTACCGTTCTCGCTGGCTCGCTGGCAGGTGACGGCCCAACGGTTGGGAAAGGGGATTAGGGGTGCTTTTGGGGGTTCGTTCTCTCTGTGTTCTTCCTGCTGTTTCGTTTCGGTTGCCTTGTTGTCTTGGCACTTGTTTTATTCGCGTTTTTTGTAGTCCTACGTCTGGACACTTTCGCGGCGCGCAGTCTGGTTGCAAAATTTGGCATTTAATAAGCAGAATACTGCATTATTTAATCGTTTGTTCCGTAGAAAAATTGCTAATTATAAACAATTTACATATATACAATTCGCTGGCAGTGATGTCACTTTTTTCGGAGCAAAAAAGCTGGATTACCCAAAATAAACAGCTAAAAAAAAGCCAAATTCCTGGTGGAAATAGCTAAGGAAAAAGTATAAGTAAATATCAATACAATACCGATATAAATTAAAAACACTAAACACAATTAAAACAGCACTTAAAATGTATTAAAATTAAATAAAAAAAAGCTGCTTTATTTTCTATTTAATTTTTCCCTCAATCACATTTAAAAAAAGCTGAATATGAGGCGAAAAAAAGCGGAAATGACAGCACTGGTCGCAAAACGGTCACTCTAATCGAGAAAGCAGAATTCGGAAGCAGTGATGTCATTCCAGCTGTTTTCCCGTCGAATTAAGCAGTGAACGAGTGACCAGCGTTACCAGATTTCACGTGGACGAACGACCAAAAGAACCAGATCGAAACCCATGAGTCGAACGGTAGCTCTTTTTAGAACTGCCACTCGTTTCGAAATTTGATTATAGCGCATTTGGCACTTGCAATATTATAATCAATAGCTAATATATTAGCTTTATATATTTTTTAAAATATATATCCCTTTAAATTTACAAATTGAAAAATGTAAAAATCAATGAAAATCAGTTTAAAGATCTATGCATGTACTTAGTACCTCATATATGTGGATTTAATTTGGTCAGTGATTCATTTTGTTTATTATTTATCTGTTTTTATCAGATTAATAAGATATTTCCAGTGACTAAGCTCTCATATTCGTATGGCTTATTCATATTTCTACGCTGAATAGAAAGAGTATCCATCAAGTCGCCTATTTCCTTGTAAATGCGTAAAAACAGGCATTACAACTGAGGAAAAACGAGAGTCTAAAGTCCACAGCAATCAACGTGCATCAGAGCACAACAAAAAAAACGAAGATTGGGGGCAGAGAAAAACGTCGCAAGGGGGAGGAGACAAAGTAAAGCCAAACAGAGAGCAAGGGCGGAAGTTTGCTGGCAAGGCTGACTGATGAAACAGGTAGAGCAGGGGGATTTGATGATTTGATGGCCAAAACAAATGCAGCCAAAAATAATATACATAGACAAGAAGGGTCGATCAAAACAAACTAGAAAAACCGCCTGGGAAAACCAGGTAACACCAGCGAACCAGACTGTTTCCAGACGACGACAACGGCAACACCCAAGGAAACTCGTGGGGAATACGCCTGTGTGCGTGCACACTTGAAGAAAACGGGGGAGCATTTTAAATTACAGATAACTTAACATTAAATTAGCGAAATGACCTGTTTAGTAAATGTTAAGCAACCTAATAAATAAGATTGTAAAATGTTTAAATAAACCTTTAAAGTTAAACTAGAAACTCTTATTTTTTCCCATGTACGAGTGCTGCCTGTATGGGTGCCTGCGTGGTAGACACGCACACCATGGCAGCACACGACGCCTTCGCATTTAAAATTGATTAAAAACTAAAATCACTCGGAGCCGATGCCGTTGTGGTTGCCGTGCCTTGTTTCGTTTTCAGTGCGATCGCAGACATTGTGCAAAACGGTTCACAGTTCTCTCCGCTCGTCGTGAAGTGATCGTCGCTGTTGCTGTTTCTGTGGGAGTGCACTGAAAGAAGCCGGGGAAATTGTGTCAAATTAATTGAAAGCGAAGCCCAGAGTCGCGTCACAAGTCTCCACCGAGCGGCAAGCATTTGAGGCAGGTCAGTGTTTGCTGGTTTGCTTTTCGGCGAGGTCAAGTCGCTATCTTAGGCTTGTTTTTTCAAACTCCCTTATCACTGCCGAGTGCTCCAAGGCCTCCCTCCGCCCGACTAACTTAGTAAACCTAACCGAAAACGCAAAAACCGAAACAACTCAACGCTTACATAGTTCCCATGACTCCCGTGGGCGGCGCGTGTTCCTCCGATTTTGTGACTTGATTATCAGCTCAGCCAGTGAACTATAATGAACTGCTAATTGATAATATGTATGCGGCAACACCTATATATTTAGCTTCAGCTAGAAACTACGACGCGCTTGTCACCTACTTAAAATAACTATATCGAAGACTGTTTGATCAGCCTAAGTACATACATGTATGCATTATCTAAAATTCCACACTCTCTCCCCTGGAGCGAACAAAGAGCCCACTCCCAATCGGTTAAGGCAAACAGAAACCTCCAAGATGGCCACCCCACCTGGAGCGCAGAGATACGATAATAATAATATCAAATGTATAAAGGCTTTATCAAAGCACTCGACTTGTTTTCCAAACTGCACCTTAAATTAATTCAATTTAGATCGTACGACAAGAGCCGAAAAAAGAAAGAAACCCAGCCCCCACTTGGAAACAACAACGGGCCCACCAAAAAACAAGATTTCAGTCAAAATAAATAATTTATATGTATATTATATGTATTTTTAGCTTTATCAATTTCGGGCGTTTCTTCGGAGGCTCGACACATACGCACACACACACACACACACACGCACTGACCAGTCGCCAATCGGAACGAGATTCGCACCGAGGGTCGCTTCAACCATGGATAGCGTCAAGTCTTTCTTCGCCAGCTCCACCAAAGATGGAAACCTGACCAACAGCAGCCGTCAGTCTAGTGTGGCTGGGAATGTTCCCAGCAGCCGCTGGGGACGCAGCTGGAGCACCAGCTCGCAGCACACTGACCCGGAACCCGGTTCCGGATCCAACACTGGGGCCAGCAAGAGCGGAAATCCGTGCGATGTGAAGCGCAAGGACAGTGATAACTACTTTTACATCATGTAAGTTTTGAGTTATTCTGGAAATAATGTTTTTTCTTCGAGAGGTGAAAGAGTATGTATACTGAGGGTAGACAAGATAAGATAGAGTCCATTTTGTTTCCCTGCTATACCTTGTATGTATCTTATATTTTCCGATGGGATACAGGCATACTTTTCATTATCTTTAGTTTCTTTTTACTTCTTCCTGGGTTTCTCAGTGGCAGTTTTCCATTTTAGAGTTTGTAATACACTCTATAAAAGGGCATTTTCCATACTCTTTCTGGGAGTTTCTCTAATTTATGATGAGTTTTAAAGGAGTTATCTTTTTAGGAAAGTTTTACTCAAAATTCCATTTTGAGGATTCCCTTTATAGAACCTAATTGTTATTCTCAGTTTTTAAAGGGATTCCCTATGATAAATACTCCCATACGCACTTGGGAAGTTTACCTTCTACATTATAGGTTTTCTCTAAGTACAAGTGAATACCAGATAAGATAGCTACACTAATAGATCAACGAACCTTTCTTCAATAACAAGCAGTCCGCACAAGACAGCTTTATTAAAGCATAAATATAATGATATACCTATCGGTGTTTTTTCCAATTCCCTTGCTTTATCATACTTTGAATATAACTCGAGGCGTTTTTTAAGTCTTTTTTATTTCCTGAACTTGTTTCTGGTTTTTATTACGGTGTTTACTGGCTGGTACGAAATATTTTCGATTACCTTATCAGTCACTGCACATGAAGACCCTATAAGTACCCAGATCGATCCGTAAGCTGCTGTAATTTCGGACCTGCGATAAACGTTCAATGGCTGCTGCAATTGTCGTCGATTACAACCAGGGGTTAAGACCGATCCAAGTGATTAATTAAGTGCCAAGAGACCGTAACTGAATGTTCTCTAGAGGCGGCTGGTGAAGCAAACCAGTTTGTGCGGTCATAGATTCGAGAGCTCACCTTGAACGCCCGAGTTTTGAGTGCGCTGAGTTAAGCTTTGTGGCTCAAAGTTCTGAGCGAGATCGAGATATAGTGGGATATGCGAGGGGATCTGGACTGGAACTGCACAACCAGTCGGCGGGGGCTCAGTTGCGAATTAACAGCCGCTGCGACCAGCTGAAAAAGTCCCGTATTTAGAATGTGAGTGGCCGGGGATAGCCCCGAAAAAAACACACACCTGGGCTTGGGGCGTGGGCCTTGGCCGGTCATATAAAGTGCGTGATTCAGCGGAGCAGCTGGGGCAGTAACCATTGGGCTCTCCGACATCCAGCACGCTGTAAGATCCGCGGACGCGTTGACCACAACTGATGCAATAACTTCTCTGGTTTCGCTTTGTTACAGGTGGCGCGCTTGAAGATTACCAGACGAGTGTGGATCTGAGCAGCAGTGTGCCGCCGCCAGCATAGCCATTTCGTCGTCGTGATCCATATACTATATCTAAAGTGACCTGCAGGAATATCTATATACCCATATATTAGGAACATCGGAGCGCTAGCTGCAACAGCACCTTGTTGCACCTTCATTTCCCTGGGCGGCCGAGTCCGGTGTTTAGTGATACTAGTTTTTTAATTACAATTTTACACAAGACATTCATTTACCTCTATCCCATACGTATCGTCCGATCGATCCCATCCCCTCCTATATGGACGCCCTCACTATATTGGGCTTGGTCTACTGGCTGATCTGCATGATTTTGTTCGGCCCGTTGATGTTCTTTGTCTGCGTTTACCTGCCCGAGGTTCCGGTGCGATATGTGAAGAGTCTGAGGCAGCAGACCTGAGTGCCTTCGCGACCAACTTAACCACTAAATAGCAAAGTCCGTAGTACATAGACTAATCAAGCCATAGTTGACATGATATTGATGTACAATCGATCTATTTGTAATAAAACTACTCAAAAATGCATTCAATTTAAAGTCGGAGTGTGTGACTTTGTTAATTGGAGTGGAAACTCTTAAGAGGTAAGAATTAATTGCAAATACTGTGTTTTTCTTAACTTTATTTATGTGAAACATTCCATTACAAAGCTAAAACTTCGGAATAATGAGTGCCACAACACCATATTGCGATGTTTTTTTTTTTAAATATGAATTTGGTTGGTTGGAATATTGAATCTACAATCAGTTGACTGCCAACCAAACCGAAGTTGAGCGAAACAAAATCAATAAAATTCGCCAAATGATTCAATAAACAATATCAAATTATTCCACTGTATTTTAACTGGTTTGCCTACGGTTGCGGATTAAGCGTGGACTGACTATATGCTCCTTTCGTTTATTTGTTAAATCACATTCCTAGTTGATGTACCGTTTGATAGATTGCCAAAGGAATTGTTGCCTTGTTTATCTCTCCTTCTCTCGCTTCAAACTAAAATTTTGGCTTAATTAACATTATCGATTATTTAATTAAAACAAAAACGTTTGGGGGTTTAGGGGGTGAATCTGCAGGACAGTGCGGAGATTTCGATAGCGCTTCGATTTAGTTGGACCAGGACAGCAACTGCTTCATGTCCGGATCATCTGAAACAGAAAGGATATTGTTGTAGAAGACTGCAGCTGGTTTTTTGAATATAACTTACCATCATCGGCTGCAGTCGTCGTGGCGGGCGCCGCCTTCTTCTTCTCCTTGGCCTTTTCTGGCAAATCTTCTGTGGGCGCTTCTGGCAATGTGGGCGTCGGCTCAGGAATGCCAATAATTTCCTTATCAAAGTTCTCCTGCTCCAGCTCATCGAGTTCCCGCTCGAGATCCTCGTCGTCGAGGTCGGCCCCAAAGGCCACTGGATTGGAAATGGCATCGGATATCTCGCGGGCCACGTCCTGCTGCTCGGCAATGTCGTCCATCATGTCGTGCACCTTGTCCACATCCCTGTGAATGAGCAAACAAGTTGGATTAAGTTTCGGGATCACCTCTCGCCGGCTGCTGGCGAACTCACATGTTCTGGTGGGCATGCTTGAGGGCTTCGGCGGCACTCTTCATGTTGGTCAAGACGGCAGTGTTCGTGTTGGCGCTCTCCAGGGCCTCGCGCTGCATCTCAATGGTGGACAGGGTGCCATCGATCTGCTGAAGCTGCTTCTCCAGGCGCTTCTTCTTTTTGAGCGCTTGCAGGGCCACTGGAAAAGTGCCAAGTTGGCGGATTAGTGAGCTTACAACGGCACAAGCGCTTGCTATTATGTATGGTGATGGCCAATTGCAATGCGTGGATTCGAATTACTCTACGGCAAGGCGAATGTTTGTTTTGATTTTAAAAGGAATGTTTATATTACGTTCTTAGCGTTTGTGGACACGTCCAGGCATCAAATGGTATGCGGGTGAGAAGGGCAAAGAAATACAATTGTTTTATTGAGTTTTCTATTATGCTGACGACGACGGGCAAAGGCTGATTAAGTGGGAAGGCCTCACCAGCCGCAACAAAAACAAAGCAACAATGAGTCATTTTTTCCATGGACCATGCAGCTCGATCCAGGCCTGGAGCTCCTGCGGACTCTGCAGGAGTCATACACCCCCACGCACATACCTCTTTTGTTTTTGGACGCATTCTTGCGAGCTATGTTCAGCTCGTCCTCGATCTTGGCCTCGAGGAACTCCTGCTTCTTGATCAGCATGTTCTCTGTCTCGCGCAGCTTCTGTATCGCCTCGCCGGTGGTGGGCGCCACCTCCTTTTTGCCGCCGAACATCTTCCCAAAGAAACTCATCCTGGCTGGTCTGCTTTTTCACTTTCTAATAAGACGGATATAGCCAATAATATAAGTTTTTTCTTCTATTGCGTTTCCTCCCGTCTGCGAGCTGTTTTGTTCGTATGCGTCACCCGATACCGATAGCTGTGCGGTTATCGTATTATCGCTGTTGTGTATGCCTTCAGTATTTTTTTTGCCGAACGGTATTTGACAGCCTACGAGCTGGTCACTCTGACTCCCGGACGCCGAAAATAAATAAATATTGCATTTATCCGGCAGAATTTTGCTTTTTTGTGCCAGGATATTTACTAAATCGCGCATCCCTTACGGATGTAGCGGCAGTTTTAACGTGCACACAAGAAATAAACAAAAGTTAATCCAAAATGGCCAATCGCACGGTGAAGGAGGCAAAAAACGTGCACGGCACCAACCCGCAGTACCTCATTGAGAAGATCATCCGCTCCCGCATCTACGACTCCAAATACTGGAAGGAACAGTGTTTCGCCCTCACGGCCGAGCTGCTGGTGGACAAGGCCATGGAGCTGCGATTCGTCGGCGGCGTCTACGGCGGCAACATCAAGCCCACCCAGTTCCTCTGCCTCACCCTCAAGATGCTGCAAATCCAGCCGGAAAAGGACATTGTGGTGGAGTTCATCAAGAACGAAGAGTTCAAGTACGTGAGGGCCCTGGGAGCCTTTTATCTCCGCCTAACGGGAGCTGCTCTCGACTGCTACAAGTATCTGGAACCGCTCTACATCGACAACCGTAAGCTGCGCCGCCAGAATCGTGCCGGCCAGTTCGAGATCGTCTACATGGACGAGTACATTGACGAGCTGCTGCGCAACGATCGCGTCTGCGACATCATACTGCCGCGCATCCAGAAGCGCTCGATTCTGGAGGAGAACAACGAGATAGAGCCGAAGGTGTCTGTGCTCGATGAGGATCTGGACGATGAGCTGCCCAGCGACGAGGAGAAGGCGCCAGACGATCGGGACTCGAATAGACCGAAGGAAAACTCATCGTCGGCGGTGCGGCGTCCGAGGAGAGCTCGGTCCAACTCCAGGTCGCGTAGTCGGGACCGCGACAGGAGAGCTGGCCAAGGCAACAACGCCCGCTCCAGGGACTACTACGACGAACTCGAGGAGTATGATCGCCAGCGGAATCGCGTGCGCCATCGGGACAACCAGAACGATGACTACGAAAGGCGGCAGACAACGAGTGGACGCCAGGATCGGGAGCGAGAGCGCCAGGATCGTGACAGGGTGCGGGAGCGTGACAGGTACGGCGAGAGGGATCGACGGGACCGCGAACGGGAGCGAGAACGCGACCGCGGTGGCCGACACGAGCAGCGGGATAGAGATTCTCGGGGAGATCGCGATCGGCGTCGCTACTAAAAATTATTGTAATTTAAATTGTAATAAAAATTGAAAAAATAGTAAAAGCCGTTGGTATTTTAGTTCTTACCGAGTTGGCAGCACCGCCCACCAATCAGTGGTAAACACAGTCAGCTGTTGCTTCTGTTGCTGTTGTTTTAGAAAGTTTTTGTTTTTAATAACAATATACTTTATCGCTCGTAAATCCACCCTATGTGTTCATTCGGACATAGTGCGGAATTGAAAAAAGTAAAACTGAGTAGTTAACGACGATAAATCGCGGACATCGCCAGCAAGCGTCAACAGCAACAGCAGCTGGAGCCTCGCAGTATCTCAATCCACTTCGTCGCGCTTGGAAGTCTGCGGAAACTGCGCTGCAGTCTGGCGAATGAATTGCTAATTCCATTATCTGCGGTAGTCGTCATTCCGACTGCCAATTTCCGCGAGATAAAGTCAGCAGACTAAGAAACAAACGGGTGACGGACGGAGAATCATGCCTCGCAACGATACGGAAGCCCTGGTGGAGGAGGAGGCTGGTGAGGATGCAGCGCCACGCATTCTGGATGCCACCTCGCTGCCGGTGAGCAATGTGTATCTTACCCCGCCTCCTGCCCCGCATGACCTCAACAGCTATCGCTGGTTCATCCTGGAGCCCGCAGTTTTCCTCATATTCTTCGCTAGATATTTAATTGGTAATGAGTGAAGCTGGAATCAGTGGCTTTATCATCACTCAATTTGGCTGTTTTCAGGGGCGGTTTATCAGAATCAGATCCTCTACCAGACCTGCGTCACCATCATGAAATTTAATGCCACGGAATGCGAGCCGTTGCTGGGCATTGATCGCGGATCAGATGCGGATAAAGTAAGTAAAGCCGACTAAATACAGTCAAAGAAGTACTATATAGTATAGACATGTATCATATATTTGTATGTATGATAATGAGCTTGAACAGTTTTATCTTTGTACGAAATGTTTTTGTTGCTTTGCGGGGCGTTTCGATTTGGCAGACTACACTTGCGGTGGAGATAGTAGTAGTAGCTTTATTTTCTAGTTTAATTTTTGAATGTTAACTTCATAAAACTTTTATTTGTTTTTAACATACTTGAAACTGAATGGGTTGATTGACAAATCACAATTATTTGTTTAATTATATATTAAATGCAAGTCACTTAAGATCAGAGTTCCAGTTATCTACTTCTCCGGTTTAACTATTATATATGTATGTTTACGCGGTACACAAAGATTACTTTACACATTATTCACTTTAGAAGTGACCCACATAATCATAGTGTAACTTCGGCCGAGACAAAGCAAATCAGATCAATGTATTATTGAAATACTTTTGTAGTGCCATTGTTTCAAGCTTAGAGATAAGCTTTTGCCTAGGTTTATCAGGCGACCTAGCAAAACAGCAGTGGACAAAAACCTTTTATGACTAACGTTCGGGGTAGTATCGAACTCCAGCAAGGCCTTACAATTTTAATTATAGGTATATAAAACTTACCTAGGTACATACATATTTGGCTATGAGTAATGCAAAACGTGATCTACGCTTGTATAGTTGATTTTTAACGTTTTTATTTTTTAGAAAATCGAGATTGTAGTACAAACCTATTCGGCCAACATCATGATGACAACCTCCTTGTTGGAGAGCATAATCCCAGCCTTTGCGAGTCTATTCCTGGGTCCCTGGTCCGACAAGTTTGGCAGGCGTCCCATTCTCTTAACGACGTTTACTGGTTGATAAAGGACCACCCTCATCAAGCCCTTTAATATTCTCCTATATGTTCTTTAAAGGTTACCTTACTGGCGCCATAATACTGATCGTTATTACCAGGATAACCATGTCCACAAATATTAGTCCTTGGTGGTTCCTCCTTTCCTCAGTGCCTTCGGTTCTAAGTGGCGGAACTTGTGCCCTAATCACGGGAATCTATTGCTACATTTCTGATGTGGCCAAGGAGCGGAAAAGAGCTTTGAGGTGAGTGGAAAGTAACGTAGGATCCAAGCGTATCCTTAAATCTATGCTTTAATTTCAGAATGGTTCTCAATGAGGCCTCTCTCTGCACTGGCATGATGGTGGGCAATGTGGCTAGTGGTTATATCTATGCCGCCACGAATGCCTTGACTCTCTTTGCCATTGCGGGCTTCCTGATGACGTTGGCCTTGATGTTTGTCTTCTTCTTTGTACCTGAGAGCTTGAATCCTGCAGATATACACACAGGAGTAGGTTTTCTTGCTGGATAAGAAATTGAAACCATTATTTATCTCTTTGTATTTCATAGTCACGGTTGCGAGAGTTCTTCCGTTTCGACTTGGTCAAGGATCTGGTTCGCACCTGCTTCCAAAGGCGGCCCAACTATGATCGTGCCATCATTTGGCTAACTATGGTCGCCCTGACCATAGCCATCTTTGATATGGGTAAGTGCCTTAGCTTCATAATCGTCACAAAAATGTATAATTGTTTTTTGGATTACAGAGGGCGAGGGAACTGTGAATTACATGTTCATGCAGGAGCAGTTCAACTGGACCATCAAGGACTTCAGCCTGTTCAACGCGTCCCGCATTGTTATCCAAATTGTGGGCAGCATAGTTGGCATGGTGGTGCTGCGCCGTGTCTTCAAGCTGTCCATCGTCACCATGGCAATGCTATCCCTCGCTTGTTGCGTCCTGGAGAGCACGGTGCGGGCAACGGCCGTCTACTGGCAGGAGATGTACCTGGGCATGACGCTAGGCATGATGCGCGGTGTCATGGGTCCCATGTGCCGTGCAATTCTCTCCCACGTGGCGCCCAGCACGGAAGTTGGTGAGTAATTAGCGGAGCGTGTAGGATCCGCACGATTAACTCGAAAACCCATGTCGTTTGTACATCTCTAGGCAAGATATTCGCTCTGACCACATCGATGGAATCGGTGTCCCCGCTGGGAGCAGCTCCTCTCTATACAACCGTCTACAAGGCCACCGTGGAGTCTTATCCCGGAGCTTTCAATTTCATAAGCGCCGGCCTCTACTTTGTTTGCTACGTTTTAATTGCGTAAGTTTCCGCTTCAAGGCTCTGTAAGCCCATCTATCATTAATTACATTTAATTCTAATTGCAGTGTGATTTTCGGCATCCAAAAATCGATGGGCAGCAGCAGCACCTATCAGGCTATTGGCAGTTAACAAGGAAGACTGGGTTAGCTGAATGTATCTCATAGATTGAATTCCCCCTATTTTTGTATATGAACGCCTCTCTTTTTGTGCAAGTATTAATCGTATAATGTACAATGATTTTTATCTGTGTTTTGCATGTGCAAGCATTGTAAAGTTAGAAAAAATACATCGTCCGTTTGCAGTAGTGTGACAATAAACTGGAACGACGCCAAAAACTTATCTTGTTATCAACATGTTTGGGCGCAGATAGTGTGCCAAGGAGTGGGAGCACTTTTGGGGTGCGTTTGGAGATAGGGCGGGCGGAGAAAACGCTCAAATTGGCGATCGCTCGCTCGGTTTGTTTACATCGTCGATTTCCAGCGTTAGTGCTACGCCAGAGTTCGGCGCGTTCGGTGGTTCGGTTTCTGCTCTGCTCTCTGCTCCCGCTTCGATATATTGCCTTCTCCGAGTGAATTGCTAATTCCTTTGTCTAAGCGATAATTGCTGCGATCACCGAGGAGCATTGTTTCGCGATTAGACCGTGACCTTCACTTCTGCAAGAAAATATGCCGAGGGATGATGAGGCGCCCATTATTGACAGCGACGATGAGCCGCTGGAAACCGGTGTAGTGACCCCGCCTACGAATCGCTCATTCATCAAATGGCTAAGACGACCCCGTTCTCTGCTGCTGGAGCCCGCCGTCTTTCTGGCTTTCTTCGGTCGATTTCTAACAGGTGCGTGTGTGTAAACTTACGAGAGTCTCCGTCTCCCGATTAGTGGTAGGTCATAAATAAATCTGTTTTGTGCTTCCGCCAGATGCGGTCTATCAGAACCAGATACTATATCAAACCTGCGTCACGGTCTTGGAATACAATGCCACCGAGTGTGAGCCGTTTCTCGGTACGAATCGTGCCTCCGATGAAGTAAAGGCAAGTTGAAACCTGAGCCCACTGGGCGTATACGTAATTTTATTCATAAAATGCTAGCAATTAGAGAGATTTCATGAGTGTTTCGTGGGAATAATGAATATAAAGTGTTGAAAAATCAATTAAACATTTACCTATAACCTATTTATTAAGCTATTTTCTCGGTTAATTAACAAAGATTTTTATTCGTATGACTTAAGATACACTTTGAGCTAGATATAACTTTGAATAGACATAGTTTTTCTTAGCTCTTATCCACTACGCATATGTACCCATATCATTTGTTCCACCTGTTTTTTGTACCTTATCAGTTGACCAAAACAAAAGAAAATGCCTTAACTTTATGACTAATAGGCTTGACTTATCACAAAAGAGTTATCGACAACAGTATACAAATTGGTGATAGATATGTCGAGTGCATGTGCAGAAAGATAAGAAGTTAAGCTATGAAAAATATCCCTGCTGCCTAGTGAGTGAGTCATGGCAAAGTGACGACAACTCTGCGGGCTTATCAGAGATTTAGAGAATTCCCTGGTTATCAGTAATCATTAATCGGTGTCATCTCTCTGTAGAAGATCGAGGGTCAAGTTCAGGAATATGCCTCCACCATCACAATGGTGAGTTCTATCCTCGAGAGCACAGTGCCCGCCATAGTGAGTCTCTTCCTGGGACCCTGGTCGGATAAATTTGGACGTCGGCCCATCCTGCTTTCCACATTTACAGGTGAGTGTAACTCTCCTGACTCTTTACAAGTATCTGTTATTAATGTACTTACTGCAGGATATCTGGTTAGTGCTATCATTCTGATAGTTCTCACCCAAATAACGGCCGCCACCAACATTAGTCCCTGGTGGTTCCTGCTGTCCTCCGTTCCATCTGTGTTCAGTGGCGGCACTTGCGCCCTTATCACCATCCTCTACTGCTATGTGGGCGATGTGGCCTCCGAGGAGAGGCGACCAATGAGGTGAGTTATTTTTCCGTTTTCCGATGCTTTGTTATATTAATGACTTACCTTCTTTTAGAATGGTGACTATGGAAGCTGCTCTGGGTCTGGGCATGATGGGCGGCGGTGTGGCTAGTGGTTATATCTATGCCGCAACCGGTGCGTCGGCACTATTCATCTTAGTGGGGACCATCATCTCCTTAGCGCTGATCTATGTCTACTTCTTTGTGAAGGAGAGTCTCAAGTCTGAGAACTTACAAGGGGGATCCCGCATTAGAGAGTTCTTCCGTTTGGATTTGGTTAAGGTCCTGGTGAGGACCTGCATCAAGAAACGCGAGAACTACGATCGTGCCATAATTTGGATGGTGATGATGTCCCTGACGCTGTGCGTCTTTGCCATGGGTGAGCAGTACTTCAATGATTTTATACCACATAAAACTTAGTTATTCCTTCAATTCTTCAGAGGGCGAGAACACCGTAAACTACATGTTTATGCGAAAGCAGTTCGACTACACCGTCCAGGACTACAGTGTGTTCAATGCAGCTAGGGCCGTCATTCAATTGGTGGGCAGTACCTTGGCTATGGTTCTACTTCGTCGTCTGCTTGGAGTGTCCACAATTATGATGACGCTCCTGGCGTTCGCCTGCTGTGTCCTCGAGAGCACTGTAAGGGCCACGGCCGTGTATGGAAGTGAGATGTACCTCGCCCTGATTCTTGGCATGATGCGTGGTGTGATGTCGCCAATGTGCAAGGCCATCCTGTCTACTGTGACGCCCAGCTCCGAGTTGGGTGAGTTGAATGACCTTTCTGGCTCTCCTCTATCCTCTTATCTTTATTCGACTAAAGTTCCATATTATTAAACGAATGCATGTTTATTCTATCTTTATAGGTAAAATATTCTCACTGACTACCTCACTGCAGTCGATCTCACCTCTGGGAGCCGCTCCACTCTACACGGCTGTGTACCAGGCCACCGTTCAGTTTTATCCCGGCATCTTTAACTTCATCAGCGTAGGACTCTATTTCTTATGCTACATCATGTCAGCGTGAGTATATATGGAGTTCTCCTAAGGCTTCTTGAAATAATACAAAAATCCCCTTGCAGCACGTTGTTCGGCATACAAAAATCAATGGGTAGTGGCAGCGTTTACCAGGCCATCGGTAGTTGATCTCCAAAAGCGAAGAAAGGCAGAGAAAAGATCAAATATACAGTGTGAATTTGCCATTCTTAAGCCATCGTACGAAGAAACTTTCCAATACACATATAAAAGTATTACTGTAAATATTTGTTAACCCCATTAGCTTAAGCCTAGTAAAAAGCTAGCCCTAGGGTAGGATTTCTTAAGAAAAAATTACCAAAGACTAATGTCTAATGTATAAATACATATGTATATTATTTCACACAAAATTGTATTATTAAATTGATTTCAACTATACTCTTCAACATATTTATTTTATATATTTGTAAGGTTCGTGCCAGCCGAACTCGTCAGAGCCAGCATAGGAAGGAACAAGATTCAGGTCCAGTTAGCGGATCTTGACAAGTATAGGGTAACACTAAAGCGTTAGGAAAACGGTGTGAGCTTAGGCCATGACAATCGCTGTCTTGGTGAGACGTCACCCGTACTTGACCTCCGCCCACCAAACCCGCGGCCAGTCGACCCACCCACGACAGGGTATCACCAAGCCGACTAACCCGTGCACACATCGCGGAGTCGCAACGCCTGCCCACAGGGAGCACCCGGAACATACCCGCAGCAGGGTATCAGTAAGCCGCAACGTCATTGCAACCGGGAACATTACCTCGCACATCCGCAGCCCAGGGTATCAGCAAACCGACTAGCCGCTCCAGCAACGCGGAGTCACACTTTCTCTTCCACAGGGTTCAACTGTGCGAGTACGAATAAACTGATATCTAACTGAATCATTGCCTTTCTTTTCACACACGAAGGGCCCGGATCTATAATTTTTTGTGCGAACTTCGACCTCGACAAACTAGGCCGTGCACCCAAAAGAGGAAATTGTTTTTGCACGTTGACAGTTCACAATCAATTTACCCACCTGATTTTGTCTCTTGTAGATGACATTTGTCAGCTTGCTCCTACAGCTCTTCCTTCCTACTTTTCTCTAATGTTACCCTCTGATTTTCTTCCTGACGTGTCATTGTCAGACAATCATTTCCATAGTAGATCATTTAGACAATATGAAAGACGGGGAAAGGATCACCTATAAGCATCAGGCAGAACTGAAACAGTAGAATGACAGGTTTTAGAAAAAGTACAATTTATTTCCGAACTTTCCAATGCTAGGCTCTGTTAGCTTTGGTGTATCCAAGACCATATTCTTGAACCAGGTCAGTGCCTAGACGGTCGCTCACATTAACTTTGAACAACTGTCACGTAAAAGCAATAAATAGCACCCTTGGTCCAGAGTCTTCCGTTTAATTTTGTGAGTTACGAGTGCTTAATACGATACTGGTAATTAATATTTTAATGCAATAAGGCAAATCGCGAAATGAATACCTGGCTCAGTTTGATTTGTTTTTTAAGTCACAAAAAAACCAACCTATTATTAAAGAAAATAAAAAAAAAATAAATCAGAATTTTCCTATTTGGGAAACAGTTGTTGGACTGCGTTCAAAACAGAAGTTACTTAAGCAACAATAAATATAATAGTAACACAGAAGAAAATAAAGTATTGGCAGTATTAGGGAAAGCTTTATTAGTACGGATTGAAATTTTTAAAATTCAATGAATTAGAATTAGAATTGAATGAATAAATAAATGAATGAAGATTATAACAATTCAACAAGTCAGCCTCCTTTTTCCCTACCCTACCAAGGTAGCTTGCAACAGCCAAGGCTAGTGATCACTTTATAAGTTTCCCTAAGGTCGGGACATTCGGTCGGGATTGGTAGGGCTATTCAAAAGACTCTTTTGTGGAGATAAAAAGAAGCCACAGCAGGTATGGCTGATATCCATCCTGTAGCTTAATTTAGAATTAAGTATACAGTGTACAAATAAAAATATATAGTTTATAACACAAATGAAGCTCCTAGAATTATTTACTAATATTAACAATAATTTAATAATATTAATACACCTTACCTTTTACACCATTGTTAAAGGTATTCAAAATCTAATTAAACTGATTCTTTCGAATTAAATAAAAATAATTTATTGATACTACCAAAAATTTCTCTCAGTGATAAAACCAGTTTTATATGACTTTGCCGGGAATTAATTTTCTGTATTAATTTGTTTTTGGTGTTTTGGCACGTGTTTACTCGCGGGGATTGATTTTGCTTGAGGCCTTAAAAATGTAAAAAATATGACTTTTTTATCGGCTCTACATTGATTCTCCGTAGGAAATAATTTATGCTCTAATAATTATTCGATCGCGATTCCGTCACTTACAGCTGGATGTGCGTGTTTGTGGCCGCCAAAAAACACCAAAATAATTATCACTGCACTGCACTGCTCTCGAGGATCTTTGCTCTCTTGCTATGGGGCTTGCGAAGCTCGATCGATGAAGGTATGCTCTGAAGGGGAAGTCCTTTAACCCAGAGGCGCCTCAAGCACGTGTACCGCTAATTCGGGCAACTATAAAGAGGTTTCAATCAGTTTATACAGCTAATCATGTACCGAAGCCGAAAATAAAATATTTACCCTGGCACCAAGATGTATGATGTATTCCTTCTGGGAAAAAAAAACTTGTACACTGATGCTTGTGCTTATGCCTATGCTTTTGCGATAAGAATAACTTAATTTCTTCTTAAATTTTATGTATTATTTTTTATTATTTTCTTCTCCAAGCGGCACTACACTAAATAGGATTTTCCTTACAATAACTTAAAACACATTCGATACACTATAGACTAACATAAATAAACAAGGCAAAGACGATCCATTCGTTCAACTGATGACCAATGCTAAACGCGAGCACATTAAAAGCTCGTTTTCCGGATTGGCATCTTTAAATTCGCTTCACTTGTAAATGTTTATTGCTTGGTTTGGGATGATCACATGTTAATTTGGCCACAGACCCTGCCGGTGCCGCCGTCGCCGTCTCACTTCAGAACCTTGGCGTAGTGCTGTTTGTGCTTGTATTTGATTCGCAAGACGCACCTGGGGAAGATGGGGTGTGGAAACGTGTGAGATAGTTCAATTAGCGGCTCCGGAGAGGGGCTTTCCTCTGCATCCAGCTTACCCGATGAACACGAACGCGAGCAGGTACAGGAACGAGCTGACGAAGTTGAACAGACCCGGGTACGTGGTGAGCGATCGCTTGTAGATCAGTGTGTACAGGGGGGCGGCGACTGCAATTAGCGTTAAAGGAGTCAATAAAATAATTAACAATCAAACGGAACTAGCTGGAGATTAGCTTACCGAAGGGTGCGAACGACTGCAGCACATTCTTGATGGAGAAAATCTTGCCTGGGAGGGAAGAGAGTGTTTTATTACCAATTGTTTTGCGTCAAAAACAGCTGCGTCTCGAATATTAAGTATACGTAGAAAACGGCAATAACTCACCCAGATCCGATGGCGGCACAATATTGGAAACGATGGTGCGGCACATGGGCCCGGAAATGGATCGGAATACGCCCAGGGTCACCGAGAGGTACATGTGCCAGGGCATTGTGGCAAAGCCCTTGGCCATATTGTTCAATATCTCAGAGAAGAAGGCAAGCAGGGCCAAGGTCACCACTGACAGGCGGAAGACCTACAAAAAGTGTTTGTCATTAATTATAAAGTCCTTTTAGAGTTCCTCGTTGGGCGCAAATTGAGAGCAGCTTGAAGACTCAAAAAGCTTACCTTTCGCAGAATCAGGAATCCAATGAGAGCCCCAATCATGGGCACTAGATGGCTAACCGTCTCAAAGAACGTGTAGTCCCTCACCGTCCAGTGGAACTTCTCGCGCACGAACAGATACATTACCGTCATCACGCCATCTGCAGACGAGTTATTACATAAGCTCCGGATGGAGTAAGATGACAGAGACAGAGACTCACCAAAGACAAAGATGGACAGGAACATGGCCAGGGTGACGAGCCAGATGATGGCGCGCGCGTGATGCTCGCGTCGCTTGAAGCAGGTGCTAACCATGTCTCTGATGTGGACCACGCTGAACAGGCCCGCCTTCTTCACGCTCTCCTCCGTCTGCTGTCGCTTGCGCTCCTCTGCCTTCTGGGGCAACTTTTCTACGTACTTGGCTAGCAGGTCCTCGTCGAAGCTCATGGCTGGAGTGGCCGGGGTGGGCAACTCGCAGGGGACCGGGCGTCCTTTCTCCAACTGGCTACCCTTCTTCTCCTGCGCTTCTTCATCCATAAAATTGGGTGGACAGTCGATGCCCAGGCGGTCCACTTGGAGATCACAGGCGGTTATCGGTACGTCCTTCTCCTTGCAATCCTTTTCTCCACCAGCCGCAATGGCGTTCTTAGCGTCCTGAGCGTGCCTATAGTGCAGGCTCTCTGGCACAAAGAAAATAACGAAGAACGTGGCAAAGGTAACGATGCAGCCGGAGAGGCCGATGGTCGCCGCTGATCCCACTGCCGCGTACACGAAGCTAGATAGCAAGGAGCCGCTGGTCAAACCGATGAAGAAGAGCGACTCCATGAAGATCATGCGATATGGCCGCGACTTGCAGTCCGTGATGTCCGAGATAAAGCAAAAGGCGGCCACCGAGAAGACGCAGTTACCGCCCAGCACGGAATGCGGCACGGCCGCCAGGATATACCACCAGGGATTGATCATGTAATAGCTGGACAGCTCGCAAATGGCAGCCATCATTAGGAAGGAGGCCGAGAATCCTAATGGGGATTGCAATAAAGTTTGAGTTTAAATAATATATATTTTTCTCTAACTCTAAATGGTTTATTTTAATTATAAAGAACACATTTTGAGCTTTTCAATAATGCCCTTTTTTTAGAATTCCAAATGAGTTGAACGCTTAGTTAAACACTTTGGGCTTTAATAATATATTATTAGCGGAAAGTTTAAAGAAAAACCCCCAAGGTTAGATGAGCTATGAGCTCAGCTGTGCAGGGGTTGGAGCACTCACCTATCATGGACACAATCAGGAGAGGCTTGCGCCCGTAGTGATCCGACCAGGAGCCGATGAAAAGGCCACAGAAGGCCGGAACTATGCTCTCCAAGAGGGTGCGGGTGAGGAACAGGTTGGCCACATACGGCTGCAGCTCAGTCTCGATGGCCTGCAAAGCGAGGAGGACAGAGGAGTTGGGTAGTGATCAAGGTCAAGAGTCAAATTATTGTAGGGCAAACCCACATTAATCTCGGCACTGGCGTTCTTCACGTCCAGCTGCTTGCAATCGGAGACATTGTAGTGAAAGATGACCGTGCACGTCTGGTAGATGACCTGGTTGCGCTGGATGGTGCCTGCACAGATGGACTGAGCTAGTCACTAGATTCGGGGGTCTGTGGATGCAGGGGTCACTCACCCGACAGCGTGTGCGAAAAGAGCAGCATAAAGACAACCGGTTCTATGTAGAACATATGAAACACCTTTTGCCATTGCAGATTGCGCAGCTTTTCCAGCGTGAACGCATTCGAGGCCTTCTCTACCATGTTTCGGCTTTAGTATGCGACTTTTGGGTGTCCGATGATGGTTATGGCCAAATTCTTGAACCCGCTTCAATGTCTCTGCGGTGGCGTCTAGTCTCTTAGCACAGCATTGCAACACTAGTCACGTAACTGCGATGGGATTAAAAGCCCTGGGACCCGGCACTACCGATCAGATTTATGGGTTAACTAATGTGTAATTCGATTATTATTATTCAAGCTTTTGATTGCCGCGATATCAGGAAACACGAATTCAAATCCAATCCGGCGACGGCGACTCGCAATTAGAGTTTCGTTCTCGAAATGAGCGGCTGCCGTGAAATCCGTGCGTTTATATAGGAGGCCGGCTCTCGGAGCTGGAGCCGAAGCTGGCACACAAACACACAGAGGTGACAGTTGTTCATCTAGGGCCCATAAAAACAGTTCTAGCTTCGCTTGATTCACCTGGAATTGCACTACCCGAGCAAATTCTATGGATTCTGGCTCTCCAAATTGGATGAGATTCGGCTAAATTAGGCTTAGATTTGGACTACCAACTCGGCATTTTCGATGAGAAACTATGTAGGTCCGAAGTCTGAATCGTTCGTTCGTTTGTTTATTTGTTTTCTTTTTTTCTCTGGATCAATTCATTGTGATTTTGCTTATTTTTGGATTGTGCAAATGAGTAGCACGAGCCAGACCCATGGGAAGTTTGGCAGATCTGTTTAGTAGTTCCTCAGATTGAAACTCGAAATATCTAGAGAAATTTTCAGTGATGAGTTGAAAATAGTGCTACACACCTTTGGAAATGGAAGTTATCCATCAATCTTACTTGTTACCAGCAGAGCTTACCTAAAAATAATTACCAGCTTCTGGGGTTTTTATTATATACTATTTTAATTACTGTAAAACAAATCTCAGATATTGATAAAAAGCCTTACATCATACGATTTACCAGCCTAACAAGTTTCGGGAACTCACGAATATTAAATAGTTTTCACATTTGTATGATTTACTTCTGATAATCGGGCTGTGCTTATTATTTTATATTGCTTTTAATTGGCTCGATGACAGATGGATGACAATTCATGTGATATGGTCCGATACCAATGCAGTCCAGGTAGAATTCCAGGGATTTCGTTCTGCTCTGTTGGGGCATTAAATTTGTGCGTAAATTGAGTTCCATTCGGTTTTTTGTTTATTGAGGCGCCTGCCTCTGGGCCTCACCAACCGATCTTGATCCAAGGGTGTAAAAAACCTGGCGACTAATTCAAAAAATTGAAAATTAGCAAGTGGAATTAGCGTTTGCTCAAATCTGGAGTTTAGCACCAATCATTGGGCTATACAAACGCTTGCACATTCTTCTTATTATTATTTTCTTTCTCCTTTTGTTTTCTGTTTATATATGTAGATATTCCGTAAGATTTGTCAAGTGACTGGGCGCACACGCCGCTTGGCCCCAGCTGCAATAATAACCCATATTTTTATACCCTTGCAGGGTATCATAATTTCAGTCAGAAGTTTGCAACGCAGTGAAGGAGACGTTTCCGACCCTATAAAGTATATATATTCTTGATCAGCATCAACAGCCGAGTCGATCTAGCCATGTCCGTCTGTCCGTCTGTCCGTCTGTCTGTCTGTCCGTCTGTCCGTCTGTCTGTTTCTACGCAAACTAGTCCCTCAGTTTTAAAGCTATCTGAATGAAACTTTGCATATAGTCTTCTATATGCTCTCACTGCTATATATGTCGGAACGGGCCGGATCGGACGACTATATCATATAGCTGCCATACAAATGTTAGATATATTTGTAGAAAAAAATTATAACTTTGCTGTTTTTCAACATTTTTGCACCATTTTTTAGATATGGCCATTTTATATTATTTCAGAATTTTGGTAAAAATTTTATGAAAATCGGACGACTATATGATATAGCTGCCATAGGAACGGTCGAGAAATAAATAGGAAAAAAATTATAGTTTCGTTGTTTTTCAACGTATGCTTATCTACTCTGAGATATAAGCTTTTTTTATTATTCTAGAATTATGGTATAAATTTCATAAAAATGGGACAACTATATCATATAGCTGCCATATAAACCGATCGGTAGATGTAGAGAAAATGTAAAACTGGGAATGTAAAACTGTAACTGTCAAAGTTAGCTTCCTTTCTTGTTGTTAATGAGAAAATATTTCGATTTCTGTAATTAGAGAATACTTTCAACCCAAACGGAGAGAGATATACATAGAGAGATCGCGGCAGATACGAGAGTATGTAAATAAGTATAAAATGATGTATAGATGATTGGTGTTCAAGGGAGTTCCCGGTGGCGCCAGGCCATCTGAATAATTGATATGCGAAAGTTGGCACAGCTCTCCGAGTGACTCTTAGCCATAATCACCTAAAAAGCGGCACATAGTACACTCGATTCTTTGTCTTCTCGAGCCAAACGAATCTGTCGAATTGAGAAAATAAATCAATCTAAGTATTGCAAAGAAATATCTTGAGTACTTACCCCAGAAGAATTATCCCCAGACTGTAGAGAAAGGTGCTGAATAAATTGAAAATCCCTGGATCACTATCCAGGGTTCTCGTGTAGATCGCATAATACAAGCTCGACGACACCAAAGGCGACAGATTTTGCACGACGCCAAGTAGGGCGAAGATTTTACCTGGAAATGGAAACCAGTAAGGAACGAAAGGGTAATTAAATCCATGTACTTACCCCGCTCATCGGCCGGCAGTAGATTTGTGATCATGGTGCGACACATGGGATTCACTAGGGATTTAAACACACCAAGACCAATGGCCACATAGATCTGCCAGCTCACCATGGCGAAAGCCTTCATTAAGCTGCTGGAGGAGTGGCTCAGCAGGGAGACCAATGCGAGCCACAGTACGGCCGAGTTGGTGCACTGTCAACCCAAAGAAATTAGGAGTTTAGTGAAGTTTCAGCTTAGTTTAGAATAAAAACCACCTTTCGGAGGGACCAAATGAAGAGTACTCCACCAGATCCTGCCACAGCTGGCACCAAAATGCTGACACTCTCGTACTCTGTAAACTGTTTGACGCTCCAATGGAACTTGGCTCTCATAAACAGGTAAAACACCGAGTTGCTGCCATCTGGAAAAAAGGAATGTACCATGGGAAATAGTAGTACATTTTCTGATTATTATTAAACAGATTAAAACCTCACCTGCCACAAAGGCGGTTAACAGCAGAACCACCATGATGGTTAGCATAATCGAGCGATTATGATGCTCCCGGGGCTTGCTGCAGCTGTTCCACATATCCTTCAGGAGAGAGAGCACGTTCCTATCGTTCGCTGGCGTCGTTGCAGACCGGTCCCCCTTCGGCAGACTCTCCGGGAGCAGGGCCGATAACAGAAAGAGAGCTGCCAGAATGGAGCCCGCCGATATGCTTAGAACCACATAGGCATCGGTGGCCTCATAAACATAACCAGAGCCGAAGCTGCCAAGGAGCAAGCCTACATAGATGGCCAGCTCGTAGGCAATCAGTCTGAGGTGAAACATAATTAAGATCCCATTCCTATATTGAGTTAGAGATTACCTATTTTACCTATAAGAACGCACTTTGCCCTCGGAGACATCGCCGATGAAGCAAACGGCAGCCACGGAGTAGGTGACACTGCTGCCCAAGCAGGAAATCGGCAAAATGGAGAGCACATACCACCAGGGACTGACCAGACCGTGAGTCTGAATGGCCCAGTAGGCGATTATCGCTGAAATAAGATACTGCAGGCCATAGCCTGCTTGACAGATAAGAATTAGAATGAGAAGTAAAACCCTGAAACCCACCTAGAAAGGAGCACATGAGCAGCGGTTTGCGCCCGTAGCGATCTGCCCAGGCGCCGGCAAAGAGACCACAGAATGCAGGAATAAAGCATTCCACCATTCTCATGACCAGAGTGACCCGAGCAGCATATGGTTGCACTTCCTCCTCGATTCGCTGTAATTTACAAATTAATATTCAATGTTTTCACTTAAAAATAATCCCCGACCTTTGTCTCGTTTGTGGCATTCTTGGTGCCCAGAAGCCGGCAAACATTATCCGGATAACCAAGACCGGACGTGCAACTCTGGTAGATGACTTCATTCTTCAAAACAGTGGCTGAAATCCCAGCGGAATCCCCATACAATAAAGATCAGCTGAGGCTAGCAGCATCTAACTTACAGGAGAAGTTGTAGGCGAAGAGTAGAATTAAAATGAAGGGTTCAAGCAGATAGATTCTCAGGGATGGCTGGATGGCTGGCACAGTCTCTGGCGGACGTTCGTTACTGGCAATTGCTGGCACGACGGAACTAACGCTTCCACTCAGACTCTCCTCGCTACTGGTACTGCCCGTTTCCGGATCCTTGTATCCTGATCGCCGGGCCTTGGCCACCAGCGTTTCGTGGGCATGCGGTTCATCGTTCATCTCTGGCACTAGACTGAGTCTGAAATTGATTCAGTGCCTCCGACGAGCACGGATACGATTTAAGATAAAGACCGCATACACTTATGTGTGGGAGTTGCTCTCTTCGCTGGGATTTCCATTCGGATGCCATGTACATAAAGTGAGCGCTCCTTCAATGAGCTTATCAAATGCGAAGAAAAAACGGAATGAATTTCGTTCTTTGTATATATTTTTTTTACATTTTTTACTTCCTCTTCGCATACAGTGTTCATCGAAAGTGTCATGCAAATGTTTGTTATGATTAGTAATCAATTAAGATTGACTTTATTGGGCGTACACTGTATTTTTGTTGTAATCCCCGTACGTGAGTCAGTCGGGAGCTTGGCATTTGCTCTTGGGGGACTTTTCTTATTGACACTACGTGCCCTATCTAAATTAAGACTTAAACTGTATTTAACAAATGTATACACTCATTAATATGCATGTTGTGAGGCGTCATGTTAATAGAATTAATTAACGATCGATTTCTGTATGATAAAATAGAAACACTTTTTGAATTTGTGAATTAAAATGGATCCTATTTCATTTATCTTCTGATTTAAAAAGTATATTAAATTGTAACTTAAGCTTACACCATTTAATTCATATAATTTACACAATGAACATTAAAGTAAATAAGCATGTTTGAATTATATATTATCGTTATAAGTTATAAAATATCTTTATTATTTATACTACATATTCCTTTGCTAATTTCCGAATATTAAAATTCAATTTTACGCGGCATTATGTCGATAATATATCAGATTTACCCTAGTCGTGATCGAAATGCCAATCGACATCGAATTTATAATTAACCTGAAAACAAGAGAAAGAAGCGCAGGCGTAATGGATCTTAGAAATATGATTTCGCAGACTCCTACGGGAAAACAACTGTCGGAATATCAGCTAAATTTGCTGAGTAAAAACAATATAGAAACCCTGTTCGATTTCCACGAGACTACCGAGAAGAAGCTCCACGAATTGTTGGCCATCCCAAAGGAGTCTGTGCTGGAAATTAAGAAGGAGCTGGCGGATCTTTGGCTGAGGCAATCACAGGCGGAGGGCCCTCCTGCAGTGGAGTACGGCACGGGCATGGAAGAGTGAGTCCTTGAGCTATCTTTTCAGGATAATGATGCACAGTTTTAAAAACCGATCAGATTGGACAAGTTGCTGGACTCCGTGGATCAGCCATTCAAGAGCGGCCGTATCTGGGAGCTGTGCGGCCACCCAGGAACGGGCAAGACCCTATTTATGTACACCCTAGCACTGAATTTTGTGTGGAAACATTCCCAGCAAGTACTCTTCATCGATACCAAAAGCGATTTCTCTTGCAAAAGAATACAGGACTTGCTGCTGGCAAGAAATTGGGATGCGGCCACTTGTGAGAGAGTCATGCGGGCGATTCACGTGGTCCAAGCTCCCACCGATACGGTTTTAATTGATGTGCTAAAGACCCTCGATGAGCAACTGACCGCCCAGGTTGATGGGGCCCTGAAAACTAAGTTGGTTGTAATTGATTCCCTGGTGCCTTGCTACGTCCACTATCGCGGCGATGAGATGTTCAAGGTCAGGCAAGCCTTGCTAACGGAGCTGGCCTGTAGAATTCGTAGGCTAGCAGCTCGTGGCTTGGCCTCTGTCATCGGCAACGTGTCTTTCCCTAGCGAGGATAAAGGTAAACACACCATATTGTATGCTTTGAATCTATTTACTACGTTTGTCTTAACAGATGATTGTATGGATGACGGCGAGGATGACGGCAACAGTGATGAGAAGACTGCGCGGCATAAAGACGGGCCCATGTTCGGTGCCTACTGGGCATCGGTGTGCACGCTGAGAATGTCCCTGGAGCTGCCTACGGGTTCGGATGGCGAGGAAACCTCTGACCGCCTGGGAGAAGCCACCTCCTCCAGCTGTGACGACGGCCTGCGTTTGGTGAACGTCCTCTCAAACACCTATGGCCCCGCTGGCGACTCCTGCCTGCTTCGCATCACAGAGGCTGGAGTGGTTTAACGACGGGCAAAGGGATTGTTCGGATTGTTTTGTTGCTTGTAGGACTTCATCACCCGCTTGCCAGGCTCCAAGGCATCGCCCAGGCCGGGTCTTTTGCGCTTCGTGGAATTCCCGGCCACAACTGATTCCTTGACGGCCTCAGCAGCAACTGGCGTATCGGGTGCACTTGGAGCTCCCGCCTCATCCACCGACAAGTCGGAGTCGTGGGCATACTGGCAACTGGTGCCAAAGCGGCAGCGTCCTCTCCGGAAGTTCCAGCATATCTTGCGTCCGTTCTTCAGCTGCAGATGCGTATCGTTGCTGACCATTTTCACGTGCCGCTCTAGGGAGGCGGTCTTGTGCAGCTCCGCCTCAAGGAAGGGATTGCTGAATACATCGCCCTTGCCCGCTCCCGGAGCAAGAACTAGGCTGGCACTGGGCAGCTTTGGCGGTGGTTTGTCCGCGGGCGGGGGCCTAAAAGAAATTAAAAATGGAATGTCTGGCGGGATCTAATCCTCTTTGAATTGAGCATACGGATTGGCCTCCTCGCTGGCGGAGGATTCAGTGCTACTCTCTGCGTCGGATTCGGAGGAATCGCTATCACTATAGTCTGCAACCAGCGACATTTTGTTTTGTTTACTTTTGCACAAAAACAGCTGGACTGAAATTATGTATTGTAAATACCCTAACGCGTTTCCACAGCCAAAAATACTGAAAACAACTTTACAAAAATACCCTGGAATATTAAAAGAGTATTCGCACTCCGAGGTTAGCTTTTTTTATACTCTTGCAGGGTATTCTAATTTCAGTGAAGGAGTCGTTTCCGAACCTATGAAGTATATGTATATATTTTTGATCAGCATCAACAGTCGAGTCAATCTGGTTCTACGCAAAGTAATCCTTTTGCAAATACTCTACTATAAATGTTGGAACGGGCCGGATCGGACGACTATATCATTTTGCTGCATTGGAACGAACATGAAATAAATAAAAAAAAATAACTTCGTTGTTTTTCAACCCATTTTCATCAATTTTGAGATATGGCCATTTTGTATTATTTCAGAATTTCGGTTTTAATTTTATGAAAATCGGATGACTATACATATAATGAAGTTACCATAGGAACGATAGGTAAAGAAAAAAGTAATGCTTTGAATGTAAAACTGTAACTGCAAAACTGTAAGTATGCAAATTTTAAATTATATTAGAAATTTCAAATCTTAAATATTGTTAATAATCCGATTTAAAAATAATATTTTTGATATTTTATAAAACGAAATACTTATATGCTATGTATAAATATATATCTTTAAATATCTCTTATTAGGTTTGAATCGATTTTTAATGATCCACCTGAAACCTGCAAGGGTATTCCACCCTCGGCGTGCCGAAGTTAGCCTCCTTTCTTGTTTTTATTGATATTAGTTTAAATCTAAACAATAGAAACCACTCTCACTTTTCATTTGTAATGAATCGGCTTTATTCCATAATATGTATAATCACTTTATGCATGCTTTAGTTAGGTTGTTTATGTTGGTGTATAAACTATTTGCTAATTATTTATACAGATTTCTTTTTTGCTTTTATAAATATAAAAAATGAAACTTTGATACAGTAATAATATGTTCCGGCTCCGTTTGCCACTTCCACGCTACGTACAGTTGGCTGCGAGTGTAAAAAATATGCAAAAGTTTAATACAATAATTGGGTGAAACCCGTGCAAAGTCCGTGTCCGTGTGGCAATCGAAGGCTTTAGAGGCCAGCCCCAGCTTTAGCTTTGGTCCGGCAGGGAATAATTCGCTAGTCGAGGGTTGGCGGACGGGCCGAAGGATCGTCGCGATCGATGGGCGGCGGCGAGGTGAGCACTTCCACGCTTTGCGCAGGACCCGCTGTGAGGTAGCCGGCCGTGGGATTGACGCCTTGAACGGGGATAGAGGTAAGGAAACTGGAAGCAATGGCTGAGATAACTCCACCTACCCGTCAGATAGCCACGAATGTTGGTGTCGGCAATAAATAGATCGTGGCGCTGATCCTTGAACTCGGCCCACACGGGATGCTTGAGCAGGATTTGCGTGACCCGTTCGCCGTAGTTGAGGTTGTGCGTCATGCCCTTGAGCGCCGCCACGATTTGCGCCTTCACCGCCGAAGCATTGTCCACGAACTCCAGGCGGCTGTCCAGCAGTCCCAGCATAAAGGGTATGAGACCCACCTCCAGGGATTGGCTAATCAGCGAATCCTATTAAAGGGCAACAAGAACTTCAGACTTATAAGGGCTTTGAGCGAAGTGGAAGGGACAACTCACATGTTGGTGCTTGAAGAGGCGACTCAGTGTCTCGCAGGCCTTCTCAATGCAGTCCCGATTGTGCTCCATGCACTTCTTCAGCGGCGCCACGCACTCTGTCTGCGAAACGGCACTCACACAGAACTGGAACGGAGATAAACGAAGGCATTACACGGATTCTATATCTAAATAATGCCAGAACCAACCTCAGATAGCGATAGCTGATGTAATACTGACAGCGTGTTCTTTGGCTGCACCGACAGCAGATTGAACAGCTTCGGTATGTGCCCCAGCACCGGAATATCGTCCGATAGGTTCGGCTGCGAACGCAGCAGCTCCACCAGCGCCGTGGTGGACAGATCCAGGACATCCTGCTCCGAGGAGCTCTTGCTTATCTGGTCGACGACAAAGTCCAGGAGATCGGAGAGGAACTGCTTGGGCTTGCGCAGCGTCCAGGCGGGATTGCTGACAAAGAGACGGAGGTAGACGCCGGCCACGACAATCTCGTTTGAAACAATATCCTTAAGTATTTCCGGATCCTTCCACACATGGCGGGGATTCGCCTTTTGCAGCTGATAGAATCTGTGAAGAGAGCAGGAGCACGAGCTGCAGAGCAAACCCAACATAAACTGTCCAACTTACCTTTCACAGGACTCGGCCACAGCATCACATACAGTTGCCCGTGTATTGTCGTTCCATATTAGCTCCGGATGCTCGTGGATCGACTCGAAGAGCTGCACGGATGTGGCCGGCGACTCCACCATGGCATCGATGAACAGGGCGGGCAGGAATTTCGATACTGTAATGCGCACCTTGGGCCCGCTCAGTCGGTCCGCAGTCATCTTGGCCAGAATCTCGGCACACATCTCGCGGATCTGCGGATTCCGCGAGTTGCAGAACATGTCGAGCAGATAAATGGCTGCACCCTTGGCCTGCGCCTCCTTGATCATCTCCTGCACGTTCATTAGACCTGACAGCGTTTCCAGCACCTTCACCTGGCTGGCTCGCAGCTCGGGGTCCTTGAGGGCCACCAGATAGTTGCCCAGAATCTCGCAGGCGGCCACCTCCGACACGCACTCCTTGTTGCGTGAGACCAGGGCCACCACTTCCAAGGCCACCGCCTTGACGGTGGAGTTCTAAGAAAGAGAAGTCTCATTAAGTTAAAGCTTAGCTTGGGCGGCACACTCTTACGTCTGGGAATATGTTGTTGGCCAGGAAGCCGAAGATCATGTCAAAGTTGCCTATGCATTGGATCTCCACCTCGGCATTCGCCTTTATCACTGCGATCAGGGCCCTCAGCACCATGGTAATGTGCAGTTCCAGCTGCCCGTCGCCGGCAAAGTCGTATTTACTTTGCTGCAGGGCCAGGTGCTGCTCCGCCTGGGCGTCCGTCTCTAGCTTCTTCCGGCTCTTGGAACGATTGTACGCATTGAGCACTTCGTCAAAGGTGGTGCCAGGCTTGCTACCCGTCGCCGCCTGAAGTTGAGGATGATTGGGAGCCAGAGTGGGAGTCAGTATGCCGTCGCTGCCCATTTTGGGTGCAACTGCAGCAGGATTCCTCTTGAACTGCAAAAACTGATAGGCGTGCTTTAAGTACTCCAGCAGGTCCATGATGAAGAGCTTGGGCTGAGCTATCGCATAGGTGGGCATGTCGTTGTAGATGCGTATGAAGATCCCGCCAATCTGCAACTCGTCTCTGTCGAGTAAGCAAAAAAAATGTAAGGGAAATAATTTGGGTAGCTCCTCTAGCTTCGACTTACTTGTGGGCATTGAACTCAAAGCTGGAGACCAGCTCATAGACCTGGGCAATGTCCTCATGCGTCTCCTTGGCGGAGGCCGTGCGCTGCTGTTCGAGAAAGTCCTTTAGCTGGGCTCGGGTTCCATTGTCCCAGATGAGGTAGGGATTGCGCGTGTTTGCCGTAAGCAGCTTGAGCACATCGCTGTCGCGACCTGTGGCCAACTGGTTGGCTATGTAGCGGGTGAGCAGGCGGTCAAGCACCTGCTTGATCAGCGTATTCTTCGCCTCTCCCGTCACAATGTACTTCTGCTGAATGGCACTGCTGGGACTGCTTCGCGCCGGCTGCTGGTCGCTGTCGGTGGGCGTGGAACTGGAGGTGTCGCTGCTGCCGGACGAGGTGTCCGGCTCCTTCTCCTTGCCACTGGTGATGGCCAGCTGCTTGCTCTGCAGCGGATTGTGGGCGTTCTGTGTGTACGCTGAGTTGGAGCCGGCAGGCATCGCAGGCTTGGGCTTGATGGGTGGCGGCGGCTTTGCAGCCGGCGAGTTGGCCTCGCTGCCCGTGATGGGTTTCTGGCGGAGTTCCATGCCGTAGCCCGCCAGGGAGATGCAACCGAGAACAGCCATCTTGGCCAGGTTGTTGGCCAGCTGCTGCTGATTGGACTTGTCGCTGACCTCCACCCCGCTCTCGTCCAGCGTGTAGTCGTACTCGAAGATGAAGAGCAGCAGCGACCAGAGAACGCCGTTCCGCGACAGATTGCACTGCAGGTCGTAGTTGTTGGCCGCCAGGCTGGTCACAAGGCTCACCGAGAGCGTGTGCTTGAAGTACACCACCCGGCACACGTCCGACAACAGCTGCGGCAGCTGGATGATCTTCTGCTTGCACTTCTCAAAGTTGCAGGCCACCTCGAAGCAGCGCGTCACGTTCGATATGACCTGATAGTGCAGCGAGTCCGGCTTGGAGTCCACCCCGAGAATGGATACGCAGCGCGTGTAGGCCTCCAGAAGCGCCTCGATACCCTCCTCGCGGCGCAGCTCCTCCGCATTCAGGGCCGAGCAGTGCACCGTGTGGTAGCACAGCTCGGAGGCAGCCGTCAGCAGTTGGGCCTCCTTGGAGAAGAGCTCGTCGTCGCGGGTCTCCAGGCGAATGGTCTTGATGAGCTGCGGGTAGCCGGCGTACTTGTACGGCCGCAGGACTGCAAGGAAGGTGAGTAATGTGGATTATCTGACCAGAGAAGTACTTACCATCCGGATAGCGCTCGAAAAGAATGCTCTGGGTGCGGAGTATGAGCACTATGTTGTTAGGATCCGGCCCGCCCGGGCTCCATACGTTGCGCGAGCACAGGAACTCGTAGGCCTGGTTCACCTTCTCGAATATCTCGCGGCCATTGGGATTTTTGTCGGGATGATACATCTGGGCCAGCTTGTAGTAGCTCTTGCGGATCATGGACTCGTCCGGCTTGGGCGTCTTGGTGAGGTCAATGCCCAGATCCTGGTACGCCTGCTGGATGGTCATCTGCGGGGGCTTCTTCTCCACCTCCTTGCGCCAGGCGTCCAGAGTGTGCTTTAGCAGCTGCACCGGATCCGAGATGGGCCAGTTGGGGAACTTGCGCGTGTCGCACAAGTGGCGCAGGTAGTAGATGTGGCAGAACAGCTCGTTCTCAAGCTGCGGATAGCTGATCACCGGAATGGCCAGGTACGGATACCGGGCCATTGTATGTCCCCGGAGTCGCGGAGTGAAATCCGCAATGTGCGCAGCGATCTTCTCGATCAGCAGGCGCCGCATTTCCGAGCTCCAGATCACCTCCGGGGTGTCAAACTCGCCGAGGAAGATCTCCGCAAACTTCTCGGCGCTGTAGTTCTCCAGAAAGCAGACCATGGCCTCGGGCAGCAGCTGGCCCAGGATACTGCGGTGCATGATGCCGGATTGCGAGGTCTCTTCACTGCGGAAGCCCTGCTTCATGTGCGTCATCTTGAGGAACCTGGTGATGGGCAGGATGTTGCTGCCCGTGTACATGAGCATGAAGTAGAAGACGCCGGTGAGATACACCTTGGACATCTCCGGGTTATCCTCCATAATCTGGTAGAGCAGCGTGGCAACGCGCTCTAGCAATCCCGGGTCGTGGGTGAGGCAGACTTGGACTACGTGCGGCAAGCAGATGAACTCGGAAAGCTTTCGCGACAGTTTCGGACCCGGGATAAGGACCGCCACTCCGTTTTGAGTCCGACTCGGAAAAAAGCTAGTGCACTTGATCAGAATGTCCAGAATCTTGGACGACAGCTCCGTCTCGTCGTAGAGAGGCGTGCCCTTGGCGATAAGGCACCATTTGAGCTGCGGAATTTGCTGCAAAGACCGCCAGCCATCCATGCCAATGGCCCAGCAACGGGTCTTCGGCGTGATCAGTCCCTTCTGCCAGAGTTCCTTGAGCTCCGAGTAGGTAATGGGTCCCTGGCGTTCCGGCTTCTGGCCATCCTTTTCGATGTTGTAGTACCAGTCCTTCTCCTCGTACGCAGCCATATTCGGACCCGCCTCGATCACGTTTGTCTTGGTATTGAGCTGAGCACGACCCTTGTGCAAATGGGCCAAGGTGATCAGGTCCACCAGGCACTGGACATGATCGACGAGGGCCCGACAGTTGGACTTCTCCAGCACCAGGCACGAAATGAGGTTGATGAGGGCATCACGCATGGAGGGAGAGAGGCACTGGAGAACAAAAAAAAAAATTGAATAAAAACAAATTTTTAGTAATTCTTATTATTAACTATTTAATTTTATCACGCCTCTGTCCAAACTCACCCGATCGCTGAGCTGCAGGATATACGACATGTCGTTGAACTTGCCAATCTCCTTGTGGTAACGCCTGTACACCTTGGCCAAGGCCTGCAGGGAGAAAACGGTCATCTGGTCGTCATTGACACGTTGCCGGCACAGAACTCGTCGGTACAAGGCATTGAATAGTTCAATCCTGCAAAATCCATAGAATCCGTAGAGAAATTCCTCTTGGAATATTAATTAAGAACTCACGGATCCTTCACCAGATTCTGTGGCCAGTCATCCTTCTCCAGTATCAGACGTATATAGTAGTCGCCAATCTTGATTTCATCGGCCAGACACTGGTAGGCCACCTCGAACTCCTGATAGTTCCAGGCCACAATCATCTGGCCGGCCAGGTCGCGATCGCTGAGGAACTGCCGCAGCTCGTTCTCCAGGCACATGCGCAGCTCCTCGCGGGTCTGGAAAAAAAAGGTTAATTTTGAAACGCGTTCAGGTGAGATTTCTCTCCAATTACCTTATGATTCCAGATGAGATTTGGCAGACTGTGATCTTTGGCAAAGCTGTAAAAGAAATACGGCAGATTCACCACGGCATCCGAGGTCTTTTTCTTCTGCCGCCGATTGCGCAGCACCACCGGGCGATTCTTCAAGGCCTGAGCCGCTCCGTCCTGCTGCTCGATGAGGTTCATGCCCCAGTGCTTGATGCCTTGCAAATGCTTTTCTATCACATTTTTGCGAGTCTTGTTGGAATGTTGGATTGCAAACTTGAGATTGTCACGGAAATTGAGCTTGTCCTCCTCGACATCAGACTCCGGCACGTCCTCCTCCGACTCCAGGAAGGTCAGCAGACCGGCGGGCTGCGGAGTACATTAATGGGTGAAATTCGGTCAGAATTTCAACTAAAAAGAACTCACGAAGATGCGCTTGAACAGCTCCATGGCCTCGTCGCTGTCCGTGAGCCACAGTCCGATCAGGTGTCGCGACAGCTGGCGATGTGTGGTCTGGGTGGGATCGTTGGACGGGGTGTACAGGGCCACCAACAAGTGGCGGCACAGAGCAGCCTCATCCAAGGCCAGTGCTTGCATCTGTTGCGCCACATGCAGCTCTCCCTCCTCGATGATGGCTCTCAAGACCAGTCCGGCGCCCTTGACAATCGCCAGCGACGGATGCTGGAAGAGCTTGTACAGATAGCGACCGCGATCGGCGACCAATTCCAGCAGAATATCGAACTGCTTGCCGTCGGTGGTTTCGCTGTAAGGCACGCACAAGGCAAAGGTCATGAAGTCCAGCATGGCGGACAGTACCAGAGCTCCGCTGCCATGGCTCTGCAAGAGTAAAAGTATGTGGTGAAAATCCACTCCACTGCAAAAACTGATTCCCGGATTACCACATGGTTTGTCCACATATTCAGCAAGGTTTCCAGAAACGATTTCGATGACAGAATGGACGACTTATTCAACTGCTCCTGCTTCAGGTCGTGGTCAGCATTCACCGAATGCATCAGGGAGTTGATCATGTCAATGGCAGAGTACGTCACAGCCAAGTCCTTGCGCCTCAAAGCGGCCACCACCTTGGTACCGATGATCTCACGAAATCTGGCAAGGATTCGCAAATAAATTTGTGGTTTTCAGGGACCTTAAACAGAGATTACTCACCCCGGGAGATTGGTAAAGGCCGCGTAGCCCACTTTGCTGGCCAGGAGACGGGTCAGTGCATGGAATATGGCCTCCAGTTCCATGTTGCTCAGCTGGGCCGTTGGACTGTCCAGCTCCTTTTGCGCCAACGCCTGCAGGGCGCTCAGGATGAGCTTCTCCTTGTTTTCGGCGAATAAGCTCTGGAATTTAAAAAACTTGTTAGGATCACTGGAAAACCACTCTTCGGGGCAAGCCTACATCCTGCGTTACACTGTAGTTGAGGCCACTGTGCGGCACATTGGCATTAAAACGCTCCAGGATCTCATAGCGCTTGGAGGGATTCTGGAAATTGTTGATGACCAGCCGCATCAGGTTCGCCTCCGTCTCCTCGTCCACGGAACTGCTCAGCGGCACATATCGCTTGCCACGCGGTGTGTTGCCAATGCGTATGTGCACATCCTGATTGCCGCTGGAGCGCACGGCGTCTAGGACAGTGGCCAGCAGGGAGTCACGATCGTTGGTGCTGTAACTGCGCACGATGCCGTTTTTGTACTCGATGCTGAAGCGCTGCAGGTTGTCCTTGTCACGAACCAGGGCGAACACATCGGCCAGCGGACGCAGGGTGCAGACGCTGTACGTTTGAGGATCGCGCTCCAGAAGCGTGACCTCGGTGAGGCAGAGGATGCGCTTGACAGGCTCCGGGTGGCGGGACGTGATCTTTTGCACTGTAAACTCGGTCGTGGAGGTCTGAAACTGGTCACCGCTGGAAATGAAAAGGGATTATTTGTAGAATCATCAGATTTTTGAGCACTTTAAACCCACTCCCTACCTGAACTTGCCAAACCGCTGCCTCTCGAACTGCTCCAGCGTAATCTGACTCTTGAGTATTTTAGTCTCAATGCCCAAAAACTGCACCGATCGCTGTGCAATGTTCTGCACTATCTCGTGGTGGTTCAGCGCCCTGAAGAGATGCAGGCGACTGAAGCCGCCGTAGGCCATCACAATTCCGCCCTCATAGTCCGAGATGCCTGCTTAAAACGTGCGCAAACGTAAACAAATACCAGAAAGATGAGTGCGGCAAAGCGACAGGAATGGAAAAACAAAGCGTACACATTGAATTAAAACAAATCTGTGGTACATGGCGATAGAACGAGGCACAGTTGTGGTCGATGAAAGCGAGCAGAGTGTGTTATAGCTACCTATTATTCCCTCGATGTCCTTGTACATGTAGCTGGCCAGCACATCGTTGGTGGTGGGATCCAGCTGGTCCAGCGAGCAGGGCGTAACCTCCAGCACAGTGGGCAAGCTGACGCTGGACCAGTGGTACTTGTAGGCATTGAAGCGCTGTGAAGATTTCGTTTATAGAGTTTAATAGTTTCTTCTTCGACCACATTTAAGGGGCGTTGTCCAACCTGAGAATTTTTGGGCTTGTCGGCAAACTCCTTGTAATATTTCAATATCGATGTGAGTATGTCGTTGCGGTATTCCGAAGACAATTTGATTGTATCCAGTTTCTTATCTTTCTTTATGGTCAGCACAAACTCATTGGGTATCTGAAATAGAAGTATAATCACTATACAGCTCTTAAAGACTCTTTTTCCGACTTACGTTTGACGCCTTGGAGGGCGCCGCCGCCACAATGTCCGAGTAGGACCATCGGTTGGTCAGGTCAAACCTGTCCGGATTGTAGGTGGAGATGCCGGCCGTGCCGATCGAGAGAATGCGCTTGTACTTGCCCTTCCACGAGTGCTTCGTTACCAGGAAGCACTCCAGGTCGACGTTTTCCTTTGGCGGCACCATCGTTTCTAGCGATTCCCAGTCGTGCAGAGAGTCAGCCTACGGAAACGAGAGGTGAGAGAGTGTGGGAACGGGGCAATCAGGGCTTCGACAGTGCACTACAATTGGAAAATTTGGGCACACAGCTGATTCATCCAACAGCGGCGGTTCCTAATTTCCAATTGACTTGCCCCCCGACTCCGGGGCACTGATTAATTAAGTTGACTGGCCCGGCCACTTATCAGCCGAAGTGCCAACGCCGCCGCGGAGAACCAACAAAGAGGCCCCGAAAAGGGGGAGTAAACGTGACGACGATTGTGGAATTACTGCTGCTGCGGCCCCAAAGTCAGAGTCTACTTGGAGCCGCGAATCCGGCTGGCGGCTGGCACAAACGCGACACAAGCTTTTGCGGTGGCTCACCTGAAGTGTCTAACACATTTCGGATGCTTGTACAATTGGCTATATCTTGTACTATCTTCCGTTTGCGGATTTTTGCAATAAACAATTTATCAGCAACAAAGCTAATCGACCAGTGTGACCGCCGCTGGTGCCGTTAAATATGACAGCTTTATTTTAGAATAATACCAAAATATACCGATTAATTTATAAAATATACTAAGCTCAATGACAACATATACCGCAAGTGCCGTTATGGGAAATACCAAAAAAACTAAATACCAAAATAGTAACGGAAATGATCGGATCGGAGAGCTTTTTGAAATAATTAAGTATGAAATATTTAAAACGAATATTTTATCAAATAAGGACAGCCTTTTGCCTTTTTATTCATGGTTTCATTCTCTCTTTAGATTTATTTCACAGGTTCACAGGATTTTAATATTCATTACCAAACAATTCATGTATTCTTCTTAGATATTACAAGTGCTGGGATTTAAGTAAAATTATAATAATTTGTAAATAGAACAACAATCATTTCAATAATAGATAACGTATTTAAATATTATTCATTTAAAGTACAAACCTCGATGACCACCACCCAATAAAACACTCGCACCTTAACTTAACTACCATTAAAAACTTTATTTCTCATTTCGTATTGCATAAAACGTACGTATTTTTATCTAAATGCAAATAAAGATGGCAGAGTGTGTTTCCATGTGTGTGGTGTTGGTTGTGTGTGTATAATTCCAAGATAAAACAATCTCGCCAGCAAAGGCGGCAAATAAAACAAACAAAAACAAGAACACGGCACGAATTCATATTTTACACAAATGTAGAATGCTATGGATACGGAGGATGCTGCCCTCCCACTATCTCTCCGGCTAATCCCCGCGATAATAATGATAATATTAATAGTGTGTACGCGTAGGTAAGCTATGTATCTGCCATGTGCCACGACGATATAAATTCACGCACTGGCCCCGATCTCGATGCAACAATGTAGAGACGAGGAGTCTTTATCCCTCAGCACGAGGTTGGGTGGGGTGTTAAAGATATGACGGATGTGATATATGGGCCGGGTTGCTGAGATGCGAGGGGCTGGGATGAGATGCCTGGAGCGGCTCGAACGATGAGGCTAAGTCTTAGACAAATGTTACGCTGAAACCCTAAGCATAGTTATCGCTATCTTCTAACAACATGAACGTGGAGGGGACGACAATATAGGCACATGGCGTTTCTCTCTCAGAAAATCGCTCTTGGACGCGCTCAGACTGGGAATGGGTAATTAGATCGCCGCACCTCGGTCCCAGGTCAGCAGGAACACTTGTTCTTGGCATCCGATCCGGCCCCGTCGCCCGTGCTGTTCAGATTGAACTTGTCGCCGTCGGCCAGATCAGCAGTTATCAGCTTATCGTTGATGAGTATCTGGAGTTGACGTGGAGACAAAAGGCAAAGGATTAGCTGGGCTTTGGCCACGGATTAGCACGGATTATCACCTTATTCACGAGAGCGCGGGCTGCCTCGTCGATGTTGATGTTCTCCTTGGCGGAAGTCTCAAACCAGCCGGCAAATCCATTCTCCCTCACATACTCATCCATCTTCTCCGGCTGCGTTATGATGCCCTGCTTCTCCTGATCGCACTGGGGTGAAATACAAAAAGAATAAGCACATCTCGGTAGCTATTTTTAATCGTCAGAATTTGGGTTCTTAACTCACCTTATTGGCCAGCAGGATGCATGGTATGGGACTGCCATCCGGCAGCTGCACCTTGGAGTCGAGGTCCTCCTTCCACTTGCTCACGCAGTCAAAGGTTCCGCTGCGCGTCACATCGAACACTATGAAGGCACCCACTGCCTCCTTGTAGTATACCCGCGTCATGTTGCCAAACCGTTCCTGGCCGGCAATGTCCCAAAGCTGCAGGCGAACTATCGTATTGGCGTCCCACTGGAGCACCTTTAGGGCAAAGTCCACACCGATGGTAGCCCTATAGTTCTGGCTGAAGAACTGGTGTACATAGCGCTTGATGAAGGATGTCTTGCCGGTGCCCAGTTCGCCAATGACTAGAATCTTGTAAAGATGTTCACGCTTTTCGCTGGTGGACGTCATAATGGCCTGGAAGAGAGGAATGGATTGGAATAGTTATAAGAGGTTTTTTTTAGAAAAATATTGTTTGGCGAAAAATTAATTATTTCTAAGATATTTAAAGTAAATTACCAAGTCTCTATTTAAGAAATAATATCCTTCTTAATCTGTCTTTTTGCAATCAACTCAACCCCTCAATTCAACAATCAATCGTGCAATTTACTGCCGACTTTAAGGCGCCATAAGCGAAGTTTTGGAATAGCCAGACTCTTAAGGAACACCTCTTTAAGCTGGCTATTATTTACACCTCTCTGGGCTTCAGTCGCTCGCTCCTCTAGCCGCTTGCCAATTCAGACTGAGATTTGTTGGTTAGTTAGCGACGAGCTACCCCTTGCACCACCCGCGCAGTTGAATGACACTCTCGCCAACATAGACACACATCCAAGCCAAGGGAACCGAGCACACCGATGCGCGACACGACACGACACTTGTGGGGCTTCTTCGCTGGCAAACTATTAAACTGGTAGCGACGACACCTTACCGGTTCCATTTCCTGATCCATGGTCAGGTCACCGAAGGCCGGCATGGGCTTGCCACTCTCGGGACCGCTGGCTTCCGCACCACGCTCCTCGCTGTCCTCCTCGGAACCAGAGTCCTGGTATTCACTAGCCACCGACTGGTAGTGCAGCGTCTCCCGCCTGCCCTCGATGCTGTCGTGGTCGCCGAGTATGAGCTGTTGCTGGGCAAAGCTGAGCCGCCGGAGACTGGAATCGCTGAGCTCCTCGTTGGAGCTGGGCTGCTGATTGGCGGCGGCGGCCAATGCGGCTTCGTAGGCACTTAGGGGACTGCGCACGGCGCTGCCCACGGCGAAACGGACTACAGGGGACGAGGGATTGCCAAGTGTTTGGGCACTCTCCGCCGAGGATATACCGTCGTCGGCAGCTGGCAGGGATGTGGATATGGATGGGCTGGGGATTTGGAGCTGGAGGTTTTCCCCTATAGACTGGGGCTCCGCGTTCACTGGATCAGCCAGCGGTCTGGTGTTGTGGCGGTGGCCGCGCTGCTGCTGCTGCTGCAATAATTCCAGCTTCTTGCTGGATCCGCTCGAGGATTGGGACTTGCGAACAGCTCCGGTGCCACTGGCAGACTGAGACTGAGACTTAACCACCTGAACTGCCGGCTGGACGCGACTGGGCTTCGCTGGTGCTCGCTCTCTGGGCGGCGTATCGCGCGTGCTCTCGGTGATAACAGGCGACTGTCTCTCGGAGCTATGGCTATGGGGCTTCCCCTGCGGCTGCTTCTCTTGCTGCTGCTGTGGCTGTGACTGCTTCTTCTTGGCCACCACTAGCTTGGTGGTGCGGGTGCTGCTGGAGTCTCTTGTTGTCACTGTTGTGGTAGTGGTTTTCTTTTTCTTTTCACCCGCGGTGGGTGTCAGGTAATCCGTGTCGCTCCTGGGTCGACTCTTGCCGCTCTTCCTAGCCGCCTCTGGTGCTGGCTCCACTTTCTTGCCACTGATGGTGATCTGGAGAGTGCTGCTGCCCGGTGAGGAGGTGGCGGTGGCTGTGGCTGCCAACGATGGTGTGGATGAGACCTCCAGCTGCTCCACGCTGAGGTCGTCACTGGTGGCCAGGCTGTGGGGTCGCACCTTGGTGGTCTTCCCAGTCTTCCGGAGGCCACCCAAGAGCAGGCGGCGTGTCAGGCTCTTCTTTTTGGTCTTGGCTAAAGCACCGCTGTCCGTGGAGATGGAGCTGGCCACATCCGCCAGATCACCGGGGGTTTCCTCCGCCTCCTCCTGCTCCTGCTCCTGCTCTTCCTCCTCGGCGCTTCTGGTCCCTGCCCTGTCGACGCTTCGATCGGTCTCCTTTTCCCTCTTGCCTTTCGGCTTGGAGAGGCTTCGTAAAGCCGCAGAGAATCTCGAACGGCTCTTGATCTTGCCGCTGGCTTCCACCTCCTCCTTGGGGTCAGCACCCTTGTCACTTAATTCCTTCTCCAGTGTTTCCGATTCCCGTCGCTTTATGGCTTTTCCCTGCTGCTCCTCCACGTGGGGCATATTTTCACCTGGGGTGGGTCTCTGGCGACTCTTCAAGGGTTCCCATCCGCTCCAAAATTCCGAATCCTGATCGCGATCCTTGGCGTCCGGAGGTAAGGATCCTGCAGTTATCCGGTGACCGCAGCGCTGGCAAAACGAACGCGAACTGAAATCTCCAATGCCGCCGTGTAGGCTTTTATAAATTTTAATCCGCCCCGTTAGCCCCTGCCCCGTCTTTTTGTTTGTGGTGAACGGTTTAGCATTACAGTTACGAAAAAATCAGCTAAAACTGGCCAGGTGCACTTACCAACACTGGTCTGGTTGTCTGGTGGTGGTCGGGTCTGGTCCCGCTTGCGAAATGAGCGTGAGAAGAGCCGGCGGGCCTTTGAATGCGCCGATTGAACGCCGGGCAGCCGCTTATCAAGCAATCTCCGGACAAAGATTGACCAGTATGTCCAGTATGGTCGGCCAGCAATAATGGCAGCCACTTGTCCGGCTGGCTAGCCCTGATCCCGAATCACTGGGCTCTGTCATTGGGCTCAGGGTGATGATGAGGTGATGCGTGATGCCCGATGACTGCCACTCAATCAATCATCCGGCACAGTCAGTGGAGCAGGGCGCAGTGTCCATTTCTGGACCTGACCTAGCAGCAGCCACTACTTAGTACTTAGTACACGCCTTAGACCCACGCTCCATTGCACTTGGCGGGCTTCCTTTAAGCTGAGGATTTGCCGCATCAACTTGTCCCAAAAGAGTCGCTCGGCATTAAGTGGGCGACACATCAATCTGGCGTCGGGTTGGCCTGGGTTGTTGGGTTGGCTGGCTGCTTCGGTGGATCGGTGGGTTGGCTTGGATAGATGGGTGATGTCTTGGCCGATTGTCGACTTACTGCTGCGACGTGACTATATAGAATTACGCTTATTACAAAACGTGGTTAGCCGCAGGGCAGAGAGCAAAGCGGCGACAGGGAAAGAGAGCTCTACATACAGCGTCCGTATACGATTACACCGAGTAATAACCCAAAAC